TTGGGGTAATGGAGAAGTTTACAATCCAACAATACAACCACGGTCTATGATGTAACAATATGATATAATTCTGTTACCTAGCCACGCGCCATGTAGCGCAATGCGCTTATACATTATACGTAATATTGTATAATAGTTTGTTGTTGCACTTGCTTTTTGTAATTCGTAAGATTTGTTGTTCAAGGAAGGAGCTTACGCCCTAGAGCTATATAGCTACGACTATGCCCCGGAGTGATTCGGTATTAACAGTGTTCCGCATGTGATCATATCGAATTTTCCACAAAAAAATGATCGTATAGACCTCTAGGCCTTTCTGCTCTTATCTAATGGTAAGTTTACTATAGATCTACGATTACTTACTATTTTTCCTCCAGCGTCTAGTCTAGTCATTGTTATAATTCCTCGCTCATATCTGCACTCTAGTAATGTTTGAAATGACTCTTTTGTACAACTCTCCCGTGTCACGTTTGTCTTAATTGTACACAAATATGAATTTCTTTTTTCTTCCCTTAGTGCCATCTCCCATGGGGTCACTGCTCAGAACGTATTTATGCAGAGGCGGCCCTCCCGGGGGGGGGGGGGAAATTGCCCCCACTTTTTCAAGCACCCGAAAAGTGCCCCTTTAACTTTTTAAGAAGTGACCTTTTTTACATAGGAATAATGCCCCTTTTAATTTTTAAAAGAGCCCCTTCCCCTTTTCAACTCTGATAAGTGCCCCTTTTATTTGGACACGTACTCCTTTTCCTTTGACAAGTTCCCATTTTCTTTTGCAATAATTAGTGTCCATTTTCCATTCTCAAAAGTGCCCTTTTTAATCTCTAGTAGGCCTAAGTGCCCCTAGTTAGAAACGAGAAGTGCCTCTTTTTACTTTTGACAAGTGCCCCCTTCACCTCTGATAATTGTCCTATTTAAATCTGAGAGGTACGTGCCTCTTTTACTTTGGCAAATGCCCCTTTTCCTTTGTAAGAAGTGCCCCATGCCCTTTAAATTACTACCCCCATTTAAACTCGGATAAGCATGTAAGTACCCCATTAAAAAAGACCCCTTCTCATATTAAGTGCCCCTTCTCCTGTAAATGACCCTTTTCAGGAACGAAAAGTTACTCCTTTTCACTTCAGATAAGCGACCCCTTCACCTCCGATAAATGCCCCTTTGAAATCTGATCGGTGCCCATTTTCTTTTAACTAATGCACATTTCCCTTTATTACAAGTGCCCCTTTTTCATTCACATAAGTGCCCCTTTTCATATTTGGTCATTGCCCCTTTTCAGGTGCGATAAGTGCCTCTGTTCACCTCTGATAAGTTCCCTTTTAACAAGTATATAATAATATCTTATAAATACCATCACAATCTGATGGGGCCCCTTTTCCGTCGACAAATGCCCATTTCCTATTTTCACGACTGACTTTTTTCATCCCTCTTTTTGAGGGTGTAAGAAGTGCCTCATTTTCACCTCTGATAATTACTTTTTGTACTTTGGCACATGCTCCTTTTCTTTCCTGATGTCCCCTTTTTCTCTCATCATTAAATGCGCCCTAGCTAATTTCAAGCGGCTAAGAGCAATTTTTACCAAGGCTCGCTCACTACGCTCGCACGCCTCTCTATAGATGATATACTTATGTTACATATCAAAGGTCTTTTCAGTCTTCTGTTATGAGAATGTGCTTATAAATCCATTAGGATTGGGTTTTTTCCTCTTTATAAGATGTAATTTTTCGCACCTCACACATCTTGAAAATTTTCCTCGCTCGCTTCGCTCGCTCGCAAACAATATTTTAGACAATTAAACCCAACCGCAAAAATGCTAAAGCAATATCTTTTGTATGGTGTATAAAGAGAAACAAATATTAAAATCATCCCTGATAAATTGTAATCACAATGTAGGGGTATATAGCAATGTCTAAACAAATTATATTTTCGCTCTGAGGTGCCTTTTTTGTTGGTGCCTACCCCCCCCCCCCCATTTTTTCATTCATTCATTTTTTCATTCATTCATATTGTTTTAATTCATTTGATTGATTGATTATTGATGTATTCATTTATTTCTTTGCTTAGTAATCAAATCATACATTCATTTGATATTAAATTATGTATTATGTTTGTATGCATTTAGTTATTTATTAATGGAAATTTATTCATTCATTTATTTGTTCATTCATTCATTCATTCATTCATTCATTTATTATTTGCTTATAGTTTAAGCTTTATAATGGGGCGTCGCCAGATGCAACATTGTACCAAGCCGAAGCAGGATATGCCAGTTGTGGTCTTGAGTCAAGAGATGTCAAGTAGATCTAGCCTCAATGCAGGCATTCCATCGAAGTTTTCTTCTCGGACGATAAGAGGAGATGGGCGTGCAAAATGCCGTTGGTGTTCAAGAAAGTGGACAAGTCACCAGGCTTCGGCAAAAATCGACCTGAACAACTTGACAGTCAAAGTCTGGCAGCAAAAATGCCAGAATTGCGATCATGAAGTGGAGATGACCTTCAAGGAGGATGAATATAAAAGAATGGTCAACTACATGCTGGACAGGTAAGATTCTTCTTTTCCCTTACACCTGATAAAAAATTCTAGACAATCTGACTTTTGAACAAATTATTAGTACACATCGTATTATGAATTTCCATATATCACCTGAAATTTGTAAACATTTCAAATTAAAATTTCCCACGAGTAGCTAAATTCGGAGCACATCGGAGATCTTCTATATTATGGGGAATTTTTTATTCATCCTGTAGGCCTATACGTGCAAAGTGTCGCTTGTTTACCCTTTGTATATCAGATTAGAGCGACAGATGAGAGGGGAGCCCCTCTCCAACCATGATGATGCCAGCTCGGGAGGGCACGGTCCACCTCATCGCAAGGATCTCTGTGAAGGATGCGATTGGGGATCTGGTGACTGTCGAGTCGCCTCTGGGACCGATAGGGGATCCTCCGACCAATGCGATGTTCTTGCACATGGTGGAGGTAACTCAACTAGAAGGTAAGCACAGGAGATATTAAAAACTTTAAACAAAACTGTTGTCTTAATCAGTGACAATCTAAATTTTGAATCGTGGAACTGATGTGGTATTCACTTGTCTGTCAATATTATTGAATGTTGAAGATTCGAACCCACGCAAGGCTCTTTCTTGTCCTATTGGCACAATTCCCCCAGTTGGCTACAGCGAACTTTCTAAAGCTGGTTTTCTTGAAGTCGACCAAAGATCAAAACAACTCGTATTGCATCATGTGCATAAAATATATCATACTAGGTCGAATCATTATATTCGATCCAACTTCGATCTTGTTACTGACGTACATGATTATAATACAAGAAATAGACGATTCAACTTTAACTTACCTGAAAGAGTAGGTAGTATTGGAAATTCGTTTTATTACAATGCCATAAAACATTGGAATTCCCTTCCCAATGGTGTAAAAGAAATAGGAAACTATGATCATTTTAAGAGGAAATTAAAGGAATACCTAATACTTGACAGTCAGAGAAGAGAAGTGAATGACATGTTATATGATTGAAATTTTTATTCTTCTGTCGGTTCATACTTTTTCATGTTGTATATACTTATGTTTTCGTACGTTATAGAAATTCTACAAATTCATCATTATTTTCCTCTTCTTCCTTCTCCTCTTTTTCTTCTTCTCCTTCTTCTTTTTCTTCTTGTACTTAATATTATTTCTATCATCAGTTTAATGTTGTCATTATTATTATTATCTTTAATAAGTACATGTAGTTCTTTTAATTTTCTTATCTGTCTGTAAATATTACTATTTTAACTTATTAATTTTATACATGTCTGTAAGGGACCCCACTGGAAATAAGCTCTCGAGCTTTCGTGGGTTATCCTGTTCAAGCTGACTTTTTTTGATCTGTTATTATTGTATATTGTTGTATGTTGGAAGCTTGTCGAATAAAAATCAATCAAAAATCAATCAATCAATCCAGTTGTAATACGTACCTGGTATCATGTTTCGTTTATTTTGACTTTCAGTTAAAAGCTTTGAGTTCGAATCCCTGTCTGGCTCTAACAAGACACTAATTGGCACTTGCCACTTGCCACTTGCACGAGCAAGGGGGAGAGATCCATGCAGTAACACCCATGTTGACTCGCCTTCATTGGTTACCTGAAAAGAAAGAATTGTTTATAAAGTTCTTATGTTGTGGCACAAGGTAATGATTCACAAATCCACAACTTTATAATTATCTTCTTAATTCGATTTCTTCTTAATACTCGGTAGAAATATCAGCTCCTCAACAAAGAATTCCCTGACTGTCCCTACCACATCAACCCAAACGTATGGTTCTCGTGCTTTTTCAACGGCTTCGCCTGTCTTGTGGAACCAACTTCCTGACCAACTGAGGTACATGCATACCTTAAAGGGATTCGAGCAGTTATAATAACCGGCGAGTTATTAAGTACTTTCATATAAATAAACGATTAACACCAATAAGCTTCATCAATTGATTTGGCATTTCAATTGATGAATGGCAATTAGATTTGAGCTAGCTAATTTGCCATTTCATAGCTAGTATTATTTATCTTTTTACTGCATACCTTTAACTCCTTGCTGGGCTTTAATTGTAGTCTGTTTAAGCATGTCAAATAGCTAAGCTATGAGATGATATTTTTTACAACTAATTCGAATAATAAGTCTACGTTTTACCTTAATCTCATCTGGAAAATCCATCTTGTGTGAAAACACTTTGTCCAGTTGATACATGAACAATAACTGTTGAAGGGCAAAGGCTAAATTTACATATTTATTTTACTTCTAGTGGTCCTATATTCTGTTGATGGCGTATCTTACTTTTTCTAACATTGTATGAGCTATGCCATTTGATTCTATGTAATCCTTTGAGCACAATGACAAATTAATCGCGTTGTAGATTGTGGCTGCCTTCATATGTCTTTATATGAAGGAGTTTCGTCTAACAATAAAATCCAACTGTTGTTATTCACAAGGCACACCGATGAAAATTAACACTGGAAACAATTTGCTAAAGTCCAACCAACTTCTGTTTTATTCAGCAACTCGTAACTTCACTTTCATATCTTCGGTAAAACCTTCAGGTTAATTACTATCTCCGGTAAACCTTCAGATAACAATCTGTAATGATAATAAACAAACAAACAAATAATGAATAAATGTTTCAGCATGTAAGCATATAAAAACCCTATAGCTAAATTAAAGATACTGATTACAACACATTAATATATGACACAAGATTAAAGTTAAACTGGATTAAATATCTATGTGAACACACCCTGCATTGAAACTATGCAGTAAACTATTAAACAGTACACACAAGCAGACGTACATGAGTGTGAACAGGGCCGCATTCAGACGCGGTTCGTCACTTAAGTTCCTATGCTAAACTAACAAAGAAAATTGTTTCTTTCCTATAAACACTTAGTTTTGCTCTAAATTCGACATGAACTATATATATAACAAACAAGTTATCATCTACATAGTAGCAGAATATATGCTACTTTGAAACACTAAAATGTACTGTAACTTCTTCTGACAAAGACAAAGAACTCGGCTTTCTACACTATACATTATACACACTCATCTCTTTGTCTACTCCTAAAAGCTAGGTACAACATCTAACATCATCTTTACGAAACTCCTATAAAATTCTACCAAACTCAACTGAGATTATATTAAGATACATCCTAGCATTCTAGTATATATCAAATAACATATATAGAAATAGATATCGTATTCTTACCGAATTGGGCCTGTAGTTTGTTCCACAAAATAACTAAAAACTTTCTGCTGCAATGTTATGTAACTCGGACCTTACTGCATCACTTCGACATTCAGAATGACTGGGGTTTGCTTCTCCCAGAACATAGGTGGAGAAGAACAAAGAACTTCCTGTCTCTGTGACTAGTAGTATAATCTTAAAGTAAACAATAGCCCCCAAGATATGCTGGTAGGCATATTAAGACACTGGTAGTCTCATAATAAGACTCTTCAAACTATATAAGAAATGCACATTTCTTCACTACATCCTGATGTAGTGACATGGCTCCTTTAAATGTTAGTAACATTTACTAAACTGTTAATATCCAAATCTAAAACTACGCCAAAACATTGATAGACGTACTACATTACTACCAAGGAACAACATTAACCTCTAACGATCTTTCATGTAACATTCATGAACATTATCTACTGTACAATGCATAAGATAAATTAACTTAACCCATCAATGCTCCAAATACTGCTTGATTGGTAAACAATCACAATTAGTGTAATACATAAAGTTAAACTTAGATGTATATCAAGTATACTTAATCAACCCCTTCCGTTGATGACCGCATGAATACATAATCATATGTAAATTAGTAAAAACATTAAAATGAAGACACTCCTGACATCAGGAACATATACAACAATAAGATAAAGGCTCCTTGAGGGGGAATCCCTACTGTCTTCTGCGTGATAATGACAAACTTGTTTGCAAATATAGGATAAAACAACAAGAAATGTAAAGTCATGAAACTCAGATAAAGGTAGAAATCTAGAAAGAGGAAATGAGTGAGAAAGTGATTGTGAAAGAAAGAGAAATAGAAAGAAAAGGACTGATCACAATTAGTATTACACCTCTGTTATTAACAACAGAGCTAATTATTCTAAGCTTCTACCGGCAGCAGTAACACGAGTTTGTGGACGGGTCTATCAAGGTAGCAAGGTTTCTTCAGACGTTTACCATTACTGTCCAGAGCTCCATCAGCCATGAGGAGCTTTACCTTTCTAACACGTCCGTCTTGACTAGGGAAAACTTCTGCTACCCTTGCCAGAGGCCACTGGAGGCGAACATCTTCAGTCTCCTTCGCGATGACTACATCGCCGATGGCCAAGTCTCGCTGCGTTCGCGTCCACTTCTGGCGGGGCTGTAACTGCTGGAGGTACTCTCGGCGCCAGCGTAGCCAGAATTCATTGGCTAGATACTGCACACGTCGCCACCACTTTCTAGAGTACTTGTCTTCGCCCTGGAAGTTTCCAGGTGGTGGTAAGATTACTTTCGGCTTCATTGTCAGAAGATGGAGTGGGCACAGAGGTTCTGGTGCTTCGGCGTCACTCAGGTTATTGGTGGTGAGAGGTCGAGAGTTGACGATACATTCTGCCTCTGTCATAAAAGTTCGAAAAGATTCGTCGTCAAGCTGGCTGCCTGCCTTAGCAAGTAAGGTGTCCAAGGCCCTTCTCACCGTCTGAATCTGCCTCTCCCAGACACCGCCCATGTGCGAGGAATGTGGAACGTTGAATTTGAATGGTATCCACTCAACACCATTCTCTAGAAGGTATTCTTGCACATGCTTCTGGTCCATTTCTTGTAGAGCTTGTTTCAACTCGTTTCTGGCCCCAATGAATGTTGTGCCTTGATCTGAACGGAGCTGTCGAACAGTTCCTCTTCGATTCATGAACCTCCTCAAGGCATTGATGAAGGAAGAGCTGGAAAGGCTGTTCGCAGTCTCAAGATGGATGCTTCTGGAAGACATACATGTGAAAAGGACACCATACCTCTTCACCTCGCTTCTTTTTTCCTTTAAAAGGAATGGACCGAAGTAGTCGACTGCACAGTAGGTGAAGGGGGCAGAAGGTTCAACTCTCTCCCTCGGTAGCTCCGACATCTTCTGCTGCACGAGAGGCCCTCGTAGTTTTCTGCATGTTACACACTGTGAGATGAACTGTGAAACTGCAGAGGAACCTCCTATCACCCAGTAACCTCTTTGGCGAAGCTCGTTGTGGGTTAAGCCACGGCCCATGTGATTGACTCTACTGTGGCAATCATCGATCAGCAGTCTGGTGACATGGCATTTTCGGGGCAGGATGATTGGGTGTCTGATCTCTCTGGAAATATTTGCCCTGTCTATACGGCCACCAACTCTGATAATTCCATATTCGTCGAGAAAAGGATCAAGTCTATAGAGACAGCTCGTCTTCTTGAGTTCAGCATTCCTGGCCCTGGTCGCTTGTCTGTCAGTGACCTCTCCTGTAGCTTCCAGATTCCTCAGAGCCTGCATTTCCTCCAGGAAATGTTCTGCTTGTACACTTTTAAGGATCACCCTTTCAGCACTCTGCAGTTCGCCTAGAGAAAGCGACTCCTTGAAGGACGGCCTTTCAGCATCTGGAGATGAGCTCGAGATTTTCACAGCCTTGCTCTGCAGCTTGCCTTTGAGTTGAATACATCTGGCTACTGCCTTCTTTGCCCTGTGCCAGTTGGAAAAGCTATCCAGACGGCTAGTTTCGAAGTGACTTTCCTTCTCATCTCTTGCTCCTGTTTTAAGGGCAGTAGCACGCTTTAACTCTGGATCGCTTTCTTCCAGCTGGACGGGCGGCCTTGTAGGGTTGACTTCAAATATACCATCCGTCCAGAGAAATTCTGGTCCTCTTAGCCAACGGCTGTCTTGGGTAAGCTGCTTAGCAGACAATCCTCTTGAAGCGTCGTCTGCTGGATTCTCGGATGTGTCTACGTAGCGCCACATATCAGGATCTGTCAGGTCTCGGATCATCTGAATCCTGTTGGCTACATAGACATGGAATCTTCTGGCTTCATTCTGTATGTAACCCAGGACTACTTTGCTGTCAGTCCAGAAGAATTCCTTGAAGCTGTCATACTTGAGCTCCTGGTTCAGAAATCCACTCATTCTGGCTGATACTGTAGCTGCAGTTAGCTCAAGCCTTGGTATGCTGACCTGCTTCAGCGGGGTTACTCGGGACTTCCCGATAACAAAGGAACAGTGGACCTTGTCTTGGGTGTTGACAAGTCGGATGTAGGAACACTGTCCATATCCCTCTTGGCTTGCATCCGAAAAGTGGTGAAGCTCCACTGCCTTGATTTCACCAAAATCACGTGGCTTGTAACATCTGGGTATCTGGAGGTTCTCCAACTCAAGCACCTCCTGCAGCCATCTTTCCCAGCGTGGACGGAGATCTTCTGGTATTGGACTGTCCCAGTCCAATTTGCTTCGGCAGAGCTCTTGCAGGATTTGCTTTCCTCTCAACATAACGGGGCTAAGGAACCCACAAGGATCGTAGAATGAACTCACTGTTGAGAGAACTCCTCGTCTGGTGAAAGGCCGTTCCTTGAGCTCTATCTTGAAGTTGAAGACGTCATTCTTGATGCACCAAACGACTCCGAGTACTCGTTCTAGAGTCGATGGACTTCGAGCTAACCCAAGCTCCTTTTTGTCCGTAAGCCCTTCCTTCTTGGTGAAACTCTCTTGCACTTCCCTTTCATTGGATACAATCTTATGCAGTGTTAGACCTGCTTTTGCACAGATCGCCTGACTGTTCTTGAGAAGCTGGATCGCCGAGGCAACATCTGGCTCGGATCTCAAGCCGTCATCAACATAGAAATCTGTCCTGATGTAGTTAGCTGCTGGCGCTCCATATTCTTCTTCTCCGTCATCTGCAGCTCTTCTCAAACCGAACGTAGCTACTCCTGGTGAACTAGCTGCACCAAACAAGTGTACCTTCATGCGGTATTCCACAACAGCATTCTCGGGGTTTCCATCTTCCCACCACAGGAATCTCAACAGGTCTCTGTCTTCTGCTGCTGCGTAGAACTGATGGAACATACTTTTCACATCAGCGGCTACAGCTACTGCTTCCTTACGGAACCTGCAAAGCACTCCCAGGAGGCTGTTCATGGTGTTTGGACCTTGAAGTAGCATGTCATTAAGGGACACACCTTGATAAGTAGCAGAGCAATCAAAGACCACTCTGATCTTGTTGGGCTTTCTAGGGTGATACACGCCAGTATGAGGAATGTAATTAACCCGATCCTGTATCTGAAGACGGTCAGCTGGCACTCTCTCTGCATAATTCTGGATGACGTCATCCATGAATGCTCTGTAGTCTTCGCAAAATTTGGGGTTCTTCCGCAACCTTCCAGACAGCTGCTTCCATCTCTTCATAGCAAGTGGCTTGTTGAAGGGAAGGTTTGGGTTTGCAGACTTCAGAGGCAGCGGCATCTCGTAGTGGCCGTCGTCGCGTCTGCGGATACCACTCTCCAGGATCTCCATGAATCTTGTTTCCTCCACAGAGTAAGGCTCACCATTAGCACCCGAGTCCTTGAAGTCCTGTTCCAGAATCTGTATGATTTTCTCAGTGTCCAGGATCTCCTTGGCCTTACTCGCATAGGCAAACTTTGGATGCCTCTCAATTGCAGATATCCTATTGCAGATCAGGACTCCATCATCCTGTACTGACGTCTGGCATACCTTGCCAACTACTCCCCATCCAAGTGCTGTCTTCATGGCATACGGGTCATCTTCTCCTCCTGCTATCACCTCTCGAGGGCGGATGGCTCGGGAACAGTTATTTCCAATTAAGAGCGATACCTTGACGCTTCTGTTGTATGGCATCAACTCATGAGCAACTGGCTCAAGATGAGGCCACTCCTTCAGGACTTCAATCTTGGGGATCTGGGATCTGCTAGCAGGAACAGAATCTCTAGAGAAGCACGGGGGTAGGTCGATCTCATTCTCCCTATTGAAGTCGAGCACCTGCAAACCGTTCACCTTCATGCTCTTGACATTGGCCGTTGCGTGCATGGTGGTGAGTCGGAGGGTGGTACTAGTTCCCTGTACTCCTAACTGTTCACACAGTTCGTCCGAAACGAAGCCTACATTACTCTGATCATCTAGGATGGCGTAATGGAGGAACTCCCGGGAAGGCTCGTCCTTGCATCTCACCCAGACTGGCACGATCATGCAGTGCTCCTGGCCATCTTGATCTGGAAGAGAGCATACGTTGGTGCACTTGGATGAGCCTTCCTCGTGTGGCCTTCTCTGGTTATTCCTTGGTCTATGCAGACAGGCAAGGTGGCGCCCTTCACAGACCTTGCAAACCTTCCTCTGAGTGCAGTCCTTGACCTGGTGACTGTCAGCAACCCCGCAACCCATACACAAGTTCTTTTGAAAGAAGAAACCCTTCCTTTCATGTAACAATTTCTTTGTAAATTCGTGACAGTCATCCAAGTGATGCTCTCTCCCACAGTACGGACATGAGGAATACTCTCCCACGTTTGTCTTTGAAGATACATTTGTTGCAAAGGTCTTCCCTCTCGGCTGGTTGCGATTGCTGCGGTCCCCTTCGTACCGCCTTGGTCGTGCCTCACCACTTCGATTGCTGCGGTCACCTTCGTACTGCCTTGGTCGTGCCTCACCACTTCGCAGACCCTCTAGCTCAGGGATGTTGGCCTTGTTGGCGGCTCTGCTGACAAACTCGGCAAAGACTTCAAATGGAGGGTAGTTCCCAAGACCCCTTGTCTGCCATTTATTTACCTCATCCCGCCATGACCTTTCTAGATGTAGGGGCAGTTTGTTCAACATCTTTATGTTTTCTTGAGGATAGTCCAATATCCCCAAGGATGACTCTGTTGACTTAGCCGACACCACCTGCTCTAGAAAGTCGGAGAATTGACGGAGTCCTCCAGGATCCTTGTCGAAGATACGTGGCCAGCTGCTCAGCTTCTTCGAAAATGCGGTACTGATAATACTGCCACTGCCGTATCTTTTTTGTAACAGTTCTGTGGCTTGGAAATATGCCTCGTCTGTGCCCAGCAGGATGTAGTGCTCTACGACCTTCCTTGGCTCTCCTGCTACGTAGCTATTCAAATAGCTCAGCTTGGTAGCTCCGTCGAGGGGTTTGGAGTCCACCAAGTTTGAGAAGGCATTTTTCCAAAGCCTGTACCGTAAAGGATCGCCACTGAATATAGGAATCTCTAACTTTGGAAGTTGACTAGCAACAGCAAGTCTCTGTGTCGTCATATTCTGTTGCATGATGGCCTTTGCCATATCAGTCATCGACTCTGCCATCTTTTCAAACCCTGTCTGGCTAGAGGTGCCGTCAAGAGGAGGAGTTGCTGTGCCAATTGTCACGTCTTGCTGAGATTTGAAGAATCTGTGGACGGAATCCCCTGGCTGTTCCTTTGGCAAGGTAATATGTTCGATGGCGGCTTCAGAGCCATCACTCTCTTCATCTCCTTCCAACTCCGCTATTCTAGCAGCCGTCTCCTTTCTCAGCTTCACTTTTCGTAACTTCCGTTCCTCCTTCTGGACTGCTCTCATATATATAGCATGCTCGCGCTCAGCCTTTAGAGCATCAAGCCTGTCCTCCTGGTCCATGACAGCTAGTTCTGCTTGAAAGGCTTCTGTCAACCTCACACTCTCACGAGACATCCGTGAGCTTGCTACACTTGTAGCCTTCGTGATGACTGCATCACATTGTTCTGCTTCCACATCGCTCTTGATGAACTTAACACCTGCTAGACTCCTAGCCTTCGATCTGGAAGTCCTCTCTATTGTCGCTTCACGTCGCAATGCAGGCTCTGATAAAGGCATGACTTCAGGCCTTTATAAACCTTGGTCTGCTTACAAGTTCATTAAACGGCTGCAAAAAGTCTTATTGCTGTTCGATTGTTATTCGACTTCGAATAACAGCCTTCAATCGTTATTCAAACTTCATTTGTATGTGGAACTTCACTTGTTATTCGACTTCGAATAACAGACTTCGATTGTTATTGTGGCTGCCTTCATATGTCTTTATATGAAGGAGTTTCGTCTAACAATAAAATCCAACTGTTGTTATTCACAAGGCACACCGATGAAAATTAACACTGGAAACAATTTGCTAAAGTCCAACCAACTTCTGTTTTATTCAGCAACTCGTAACTTCACTTTCATATCTTCGGTAAAACCTTCAGGTTAATTACTATCTCCGGTAAACCTTCAGATAACAATCTGTAATGATAATAAACAAACAAACAAATAATGAATAAATGTTTCAGCATGTAAGCATATAAAAACCCTATAGCTAAATTAAAGATACTGATTACAACACATTAATATATGACACAAGATTAAAGTTAAACTGGATTAAATATCTATGTGAACACACCCTGCATTGAAACTATGCAGTAAACTATTAAACAGTACACACAAGCAGACGTACATGAGTGTGAACAGGGCCGCATTCAGACGCGGTTCGTCACTTAAGTTCCTATGCTAAACTAACAAAGAAAATTGTTTCTTTCCTATAAACACTTAGTTTTGCTCTAAATTCGACATGAACTATATATATAACAAACAAGTTATCATCTACATAGTAGCAGAATATATGCTACTTTGAAACACTAAAATGTACTGTAACTTCTTCTGACAAAGACAAAGAACTCGGCTTTCTACACTATACATTATACACACTCATCTCTTTGTCTACTCCTAAAAGCTAGGTACAACATCTAACATCATCTTTACGAAACTCCTATAAAATTCTACCAAACTCAACTGAGATTATATTAAGATACATCCTAGCATTCTAGTATATATCAAATAACATATATAGAAATAGATATCGTATTCTTACCGAATTGGGCCTGTAGTTTGTTCCACAAAATAACTAAAAACTTTCTGCTGCAATGTTATGTAACTCGGACCTTACTGCATCACTTCGACATTCAGAATGACTGGGGTTTGCTTCTCCCAGAACATAGGTGGAGAAGAACAAAGAACTTCCTGTCTCTGTGACTAGTAGTATAATCTTAAAGTAAACAATAGCCCCCAAGATATGCTGGTAGGCATATTAAGACACTGGTAGTCTCATAATAAGACTCTTCAAACTATATAAGAAATGCACATTTCTTCACTACATCCTGATGTAGTGACATAGATACTTTAGTCACTTGAGAACAGAGACTCATTGTTCTATATGTTTTATTTCAACAATTACTCCAATTTTATATTTTCAATTTTACAGAGGCGGGAGTAGTGACGGCGGCCGGGGGAATGGTAATAGTGACAGTAGTAGTGGCCTTGGAATATTTGGCTCCATTGTATTAGGAGCTGGACTTCTTGTTGCTGGAGCTGTCGGAGGAGCGTTGATGTCGGCCTTCTCTAGTCATAACGAGGAGGAAGAACAGTAGGGAATGGTTGATCCGCCGTTGTTAACTGTAGACGTTGAATCTTCTAAGAGTTACATATTGTGATAATCTTGTGAAATACTGTAAAAGATTTGAACAAAATCTGCTGTGCAGTTTACAAAGTATAATATAAATTATGACAGATCTATGACTATGTGAAGAGATTAAATTAGTAACACAACATGAACAATAAAATGAATATACACTTACGATTTGGGGCGTCATGTTTACAAAATTAAATGTATCGAATTGTTTTAGTTTTAATTTTTACGGAAAGGTCTATGGCCCAAAAATGTTTTGGCTCTCTCTCTCTCTCTCTCAAGCCTTAGTTTTTCTTGTCTGTACGATATCGGAACTTTCGGGATTCATTTAATTTTGCACTATAGGCTACGCAAACCACATGTATTAACTGCACAATTTAATCAGATACTCCTTAGGAATCTGTGCCCTATTTATTACTCGAGAATGATTTTATTCATTATGTATGGTTATTTTGAATGTTTTCAAACATTCAACAGTAGATATGTATTGATTTCTTTGATTGAATTTTTTGGTCACAGTTGCGTATGTTGATTGTTCTGTTGGAAATGAAAATAAAAACTGAACTGAATCGAACCATATTATCATATTTTGATTGTCTCTATAATGTTGTACAAGATACATGTAATCGAACTTTAGTTCTACAAACTGTCGGTCATGTGCAATTTTTAACCTTGTACAATGTACACTGTCGCTCATATAGTTGGAATATTTTATTTTTACCCCATTTTATGGAATAAATTATTTTGACAATGATTTATTATTAATAGATGTAGATAATCAGGCGCGTACGCAGGATTTTTTGAAGGGAGGGGGGGGGGGGGGTTAACATTTTTAAATTGGGCCGAAAATTTCGCAACGACTCAGCCAGCCGCTGAATAAACGGGGGTGGGGGTGGGGTAAGAGGACACTTTTTTGGGGGGGGGGGGGGTCCCAAAAAATCGCAACAACTCAGCCAGCCGCTGAATAAGCGGGGGGGGGGGGGGGGTCTCGAAATTTTATTTGGTCTCGAAATTTGAAAATTTTACATTTTGCTCCGTTGGGGGGGGGGGGTAAGGTCAACATTTTTTAGGTTAGCCATTGGTATAAGTTTTTTTAATTTAAAAAATAAAAAAAAATACCAAAGGGGGGGGGGTTTCCTCCGAAATATACACATAAAAAATACCAAAGGAGGGGGGGGTTCACCCCCAACCCCCCCCCCCCCCCGCGTACGCGCCTGTAGATAATAGTATACATTCTCAGATTTTATTGAATAATAATATACCAGTGTTTGCTTTGTGTGACTGCTAAAGCATGTGTATGCTACTATGCTTATCAACTAGGGGACCTACGCCCTTGAGCCATAAATGACAGTAATGAGAATTAATGCCCCACAAAAGGGCAGTAATGAGAATTAATGCCCCACAAAAGGGCACTAATTTAGCACATCAACACGTTTTTGATCATGGGGCCTCACAGTTGCGAGGCCATTGCTTTACCACTGAACCATGACTGTACGCAGCGGGGGCTAGGGTGGGGGGGGGGCAGTTCCACAAATTAAAAAAATAAAATAAAAAATGCAATATATTTTCAATAATTAATTGAATTTCCCCCCGGTCCCAACATTAAAAAATCTTCTGTGTGCCCATGCCATGAGATATTTTTTATGTTGGGGACCGGGGTAAAATTTAATGAACTGTTGAAAATTGATTGCATTTAATTTTTTTTTTAAAGAGGACATATTTTTGTATTTTTTTGTGTCTCAAAATTTGAAAATTTGGCCGATCGATATTTCGTTTCGTTGGGGGGGGGGGGTAAGGTCAGCTTTTTGGGTCACCCATTACCACAATTTTGTGTAAGGGGGGGTGAGAGGTTTCGTCCAAAACACACACATAAAAGGGGGGGTTCGACCCCCAAACCCTTCCTTATTCAGATTGAGAGTACAGTGTACAGACAGATCGAGAGAGAGAGAGAGAGAGAGAGGGGGGGGAGAGAAGAAGGGGAGAGGGAGGGAGAGAGAAAGAGAGAGAGAGGGGTGAGAGAGAGAGAGAGAGAGAGAGAAGAAGGGGAGAGGGAGGGAGAAAGAAAGAGAAGGAGAGAGAGAGAGAGAGGGAGGGGTTGGGGGGGGGGGTGAGAGAAAGCTGTGGGAATCCCAACGATGTATTCCATTACCGAAAATGTTCTATGTGGGTGAAATTATACAACCTGTGTGGCTTTTCAAATTCATTTATAATAATGGCGTAAATTGTTCTCAGTCATATAATAGGCAACAAATAAAATGATGTTTTATAGAAAAAAAAGTGCCATGTAATATCTTTTTCCCCCTCTTTTAATTCACTGCACCCCGCTGAAATGGAATAATCCACTTCGTGTCTGATGCAGGATAATAATAATACTTATTGCATATTAATCATTAAAAAATTAAGGTTTAAGGAAGGAGCGTGCATAATAGATAGCTAGAGCTAGCTACATGTACGTAGTGATTCCCCGGAGTAATTCAGTATTAGCAACAGTGTTCCACATGTTATAGATTTAACTATCGGATTTTCAAAATTCCTAAAAATGCAGGTTTGTTTGATCGTATAGTTCTATCATTATTCTGCTCTGATCTAATGGTAAGTTTACTTCGATTATTTTTTCTTTAGAGTCTAGTCATTGCTATTCCTTACTCAGATCTGCACTCTATCATTGTAAATTCATTGTAATTCGACTTTGCCCCATGATATTTGTTTTTTATTACTAAATCTATTTATCATTAATTTTATTTATCTAACAAGGGTAGGCTCCCTAGAGTCAAGTTGAGAAGTGATGATGAAAACAAATTGTTATCATTCAGATGAGTTAAACTTGACAGAACAAAAATCAGTCTATTTCGTTCGACGCTGAGACCACGTCTTACTAGGAAGTTGAGCGTCAATGTTTTGCCCTTTGGCCACATCTTAATTAAAGGGAAAGTCCACCCCCAAAATAAGTTTGTTTCGATAGAGGCAGAATAAGAAGAAAATCAGGTGAGTGAAAGTTTGAGCAAATTCTGAATGAAAATAAGAAAGTTATGAATTATTGAAGTTGTGATCAATCAAATACAAATTGGCAACTCTGTGACTTATTATACGAGCTCTCCTTCATTTGCTTTGTGCATAATATTCCATAAAATCATGTTTTCTTCGTTATTGCAGGGGGAGTATATATAGAAACATAATTTGCAATTATTATATTTAGGGTGCATGTATGGTTGGAATTTTTCTTGAGGGAAAATGAAAATTTTAGATTTTTTTAGTACTGAGCAAATGGAAGTTGAGCTCGCATGATACGTCATAGAGTTGCCAATTTGATTGATCACAACTTCAAAAATCCTAACTTCCTTATTTTTAATCGGAATTTGCTCAAACTTTCACTGACTTGTTTCTCTCATTTTTCTACTCCTATTAAAACTAACTTAATTTCAGGGTGGACTTCCCCTTTAAACTTAGTGCTTGAAGGGCAATCCAACCCTTGTAATAACATTTTGTCTATGAAAGTGGAAACATTTGGGAAACAGACCGGCGAAAGTTTGAAATAAATCGGACCAATAATACATAAATCTATGAATTTTTGAAATAATTATGAGATCACTATCTCTTTGAGACGGTAATTTGGTCAGTGGATTGTATGGGGCACTACTCAAAATATATTATGGATAGGCAGTATAGCATATTATAAAACGTCCTCCAAAGATAAAAGACCCCTACATACAAAAGAGTCATACATTCTTTGGGGTCTAATTTTATTCAAACTTACACCAGTCTCCTTCTCTGATTTGTCTGCTTTTGTCTAGGCTCTATAAGTAATTTGCTATCAGGGTAGGATATTCCATTTGGCCGTATAAATTGCATTTCTTTTTATACCAGGTCTCTTTAATATAAATACTACCAAATGTTCTGTTTGTACTTGCCATGCCAATGACAAAACTTAATAACAATAATATACTGTTTTGAAGAGCTTAATTCCAAAAGGAGCTCATTCCACTTTTGATATGACATTGTTCACTTAAGTACCCGCCCTTCAACAAAATTATTTACCTAAATTCTGGGAGCAATTATGAAAAAATGCACCTTCTACTATCACTTTTCCATAGACGCCTGTACAAAATCTGGTAAACAATTCATTTTTTTCTCTGAACTTACAAAAATGGATTTAGCCCCTTTTGGAATTAAACTCTTCATATATTATTATGTGCTAATTACTTCAATGTATTTTTGTTGCAAGCACAATCATCTTAGAGCACCCAAGAATGCTCCCCCTTATAGGGCCTATAATGGCTTAGTTTCTAGTATAATGTTGCACATATCGAATTTATAACATTAGTAACCAAACTTAAGAGAGAAATTGTTAATTGGAGTTAATGAACAGGTATAGCATAGAGCATAGACAGATATTCTTTTGTAAAAATCACCCTTATGTAATAGTTTCTGGGAGATATCATCAATGAGGCCAGTTTCTATATTTGCGATGTTTGTTGTTTGGTTGTACAGTGGCACTGACCATCACCAAGACGGTAAATGCTTGATTTAACATTGTGATGGACAGGAGATGCCGTTGAACCTTTGCACAATGCAAGGCTGAAGGATCTGGCGTACGTTTTATGACATTTTTTTGATAGGCCCCTTAGTCTAAAACAAAGCTCTCGGAATATGTCTTAACAAAATCTTTGGGTATCAGTAATTAATTTAACACGATCCCATAATTGCACCTCCCAATATTCTGCTATCGGTCTTTCATTAATGATTCATGAATCGGGTTAAAGATGTGCTCTAGGATTTCATCTGCCAAACCCAATGGCAATTGCTGAGTTTTTTTAATTGATTATTGATACACACAGATTTTATCGCCTTGATTTATTGTTCAAAAGCGAGCATCATCGTAAGAATAACATTCAAACAAATTTCTTAAAATTTAACTTACTCCAAGTTAATCTTAGTTATTAAACACATAGTAGTACTGACGTTATAGTGAAAAAATTATCGAAGGCGTCACGCTTTAAGTTACGTTGTTACCGTTTACGTTTACACGTTAACTAATTACCTCCAAATAAGCCCATAGTACCGTATGTTACTAAATTTTAGACCCGACGCTGGGCATGAACTTTTGTTCAAAATCTGTTTTATATAACATAGAAAGTTAGTCCAATGTCTTAGTTTTTCTTCGTTAAATGGGATCTAGCTCAGACTCGGGTTCGAGCTTTACTGAATTAGTAGAATACGGTCCATTATGATTTACCGAAGGTTGTATGTTGTTAGTCTTTTAGGTCAGGTAAAGTCCCTCCATTATCCATTGCAATTCCAATCATCCATACATTTTCCAATTGTCTTCGTGAGGAATAATTTCATGTTTTGTTTATCAGTTTATTATTTTCTTTTATTCATTTGTTCATTCATGTATTCCTTTATTATATATTTTATTTCCATTTGATTGATCAATAATTTCTGTATTTATCTATTTTTTGTTTGTTATCCAATTATACATCATTTGATCTTAACTGCATGTATGCATCTAAGTATTTATTGATTGAAATGTGTTCATTCGTTCATTCATTCATTCTTTGCTTATCGTTTAAGCTTCATCATGGGTGCATCGCAATCTGCAACTTTGGTCCAAGACAATGGAAGAGCTGCCAGTGAAGACACACACCAAGCGATCTTGCGTCAAGAGATGTCACGTAGATCTATCCACAGTGCTCACATTTCATCGAGGTTTACTTCTCGGACGATGAGAGGGTATGGGATTGCCCGATGCCGTATGTGTTCAAGGAGGTGGACAAGTCACCAGGCATCAGCAAAAATCGACTTGAACAACTTGACAGTCAAAGTATGGCGACAAAAATGCCAGAATTGCGATCAGTTAGTGGAGATGACCTTCAAGGAGGATGAATATAAAAGAATGGTCAACAACATGCTGGACAGGTAAGATTCTTCTTCTTATCCTTCGCGTAGCCAGGGGGCGGTGGGGGCGGTCGCCCCCCCCCAAAAAAAAACGCCGGCCAAACAAACAAAAAAGAGAAAGAAGAAAGGAAGAGGACGTAGGACGAATCGTCTTCTTCCTCTTATAATTAATGAAACGTCAAAGCTTCCGCGCTTCGCGCGTGAGGGGGGGGGGGGGCTGAATTCAGATATTCATATATATTTGGTTCCAAATTACAGCTTAGTAAAGTTAATATCAATTGCATTTCAATTTCTGGCCACATAATTCACTTGTCACAAACGTGTCGCAATCTCGGTGTTATGTTTGACTCACATATGACAATGTCTAACCAAGTTCTTAATATTTGTAGATCTGTAAGGTACCACTTGCGTAATATCGGTTTTATTCGTAAATATTCGTCCAAGTCTGCCACCGAAAAATTAGTTCATGCTCTGATTTCCTCCCGTCTTGATTTTGCCAATGCCCTCCTAATCAATCTACCCCAGAATCTAGTGTCCAAGCTTCAGAAGCTTCAAAACGTTGCAGCTCGTATTGTTTCTCTGACCACCAAGCGTACCCACATTTCCCCAGTTTTGCAGTCGCTACATTGGCTCCCAGTAAAAGATCGCATTGTTTTCAAAATTTTGTTGCTCACCTTTCATTGCGTTCACGGCTCTGCTCCTCAATACCTTATCTCTCTAATCCAAAACTACACTCCTGCAAGACCTCTACGCTCATCCACTTCCAATTTTCTTGTAACCCCCAAAATTACCAAAACGTGGGGGGAAAGATCTTTTGCATACTCTAGTCCTAAATTATGGAATGGCCTTCCTGAAGACATCAAAAAATGTTTATCCTCTGATTCTTTCAAAACTCATCTCAAAACATTTCTTTTCAAGTCTTGATCTTTTTTCCTGTTTACACGCGCCTTGAGCACTCCACAGAGTGGATTTGGCGCGATATAAGTTACATTATTATTATTATTATTATTATAAGGATTAAAAGTAGAGGACGGTACAACGAACTGTCTGCTTTCTCTAATAATTTAATGAAACGCCAAAGCTTCCGCGCTTCGCGCGTGAGGGGGGAGGGGGAACTGAATTTAGATAAGGATTAAGAGTCGAGAATGGTACAACGAACCGTCTTCTTTCTTTAATAATTTAATGAAACGTCAGAGCTTCCGCGCTACGCGCGGAGGAAGGGGAACTTTATTCAAACAAGGATTAAGAGTCGAGAACGGTACAACGAATCGTCTTCTGTCTCTAACAATTTAATGAAACGTCAAAAGAAACTGAATTTAGACACAGATTAAGAGTCAAGAACGGTACAACGAATCGTCTCCTTTCTCTAAAAAATTAATGAAACGTCAAAGCTTTCGCGCTTTGCGCGGGAGGGGGGGAACTTCCCCCTCCCTGCACCCATACCGCTAGGGAGCGCGCTTTGCATGCTCACTACCGCCCCCCCCCAAAAAAAAACAACAACAACAACAACAACAACAACAAACAAACAAACAAACAAACAAAAAACATAATCCTGGCTACGCGCTTGCTTCTTAAATAATTATATTTTCCTTTGACACCTGTTTAATTGATTAAGCATTCTAGATGATCTGATTTTTGAACAATAATAATAATACACTTCGTACTGTAAATTTGCACATGTCAACTGAAATTAATAAAAATTTCAGGTTTTCGACTAAAATTTATAATCAGTAGGTGAATTCAAAGCACATTGGAGACCTTCTGAGGACCTTAAAAAAAATTCGTTCTGTATATACGTGCAAATTATCGCATATTTATACCCTTTGCTTCTGATGGGCTTCTGCATGGTCCAATATAAATCCTGTAAATCGTATATAATCTTCAGATTAGAGCGACAGATGAGAGGGGAGACCCTCTCTAACCATGATGATGCCACCCGAGGAGGGCACGGTCCACCTCACCGCAAGGAGCTCTGTGAAGGATGCGATTGGGGATCTGGTGACTGTCGTGTCACCTCTCAGACCAATAGGGGATTCTCCGGCCAATCCAGTGTTCGTTCATACAGTGGAGATAACTCAAATTATAGGTAAGCAGAAGAGATATATATAAACTATTTAAAAAATGGTGTTCTTAAACAGTGACAATCTAAATTTTGAAGCGTGGAACTGTTACAGTATTCACTTGCCTGTCAATGGAAATGTGAGGATTCGAATCCCCGCAAGACTCTCATGCATGTCCTTTGGCACAATATCCCAGCCAGTTGTACATACGTATTATGTTTCGTTCATTTTGACTTTCAGTCATGGGTGTCGATCCCGGGGGGGGGGGATGGGGGGATATATCCCCCCCCCAATATTTCAGGTGGGGGGGATGGCCTGTACAATCTTCCCCTCAATAATTCACCATCAAAAAAAGAAAAAGAGAAAAATTAATGATGAGAGCCCGATGAGAGTAGTTAATGGTTATTACTCGCAAGATGACCATCAATATACACATTTTGCTATCTCATTTTCATAATACATACATATATAAATAGAAAACGAAGTAAATGAGACGACCGTATATGAGACAAGTATACATTTAATTCTCGCTCATACGGCTTCATCAGGAATTGATGAATTAATTCAATTTATTCAATCAACAGCATCATTGAAATGCAGTGCGCCAAATGCAAAGCCGCAGCGTTAAAAAGCAACGAAGTGCAAAAAAAGCAGAAGAGAGTGGGAGAGAGAGATAATAAGAGACAAAAAAGGATACAGGCGCGTAGCCAGGGGGTGGTGGGGGCGGTCGCCCCCCCCCCCAAAAAAAAAAAAAAGAGAGAGAAAGAGGATAGGAAGATGACGTAGGAAGAAAAAGGATTAAGAGTCAACGAATCGTCTTCTTTCTCTAATAATCTAATGAAACGTCGAAGGGGGGGGGGGGACTGAATTCAGCAAGGATTAAGAGTCGAGAATGGTACAACCAATCGTCTTCTTTCTTTAATAATTTAATGAAACGTCGGTGCTCCTGCGCTTTGCGCGGGAAGGGGGAAACTTTCCCTCCCTGCACCCACCCCCTAGGAGGTGCTCACTACCGCCCCCCCTAAATTAAAATCCTGCCTATATGCTTGAGAGGATAATAACCCAGGTAGCAAGCCCATGTGGGACTCACATGGGTCCCATATTCTCTAAAATGTTATCTTTATTGAGGGTGACTTGAAAAAGTTAATAACTTGTAAGGGAGGGGGTGCAACCTGCCACACGCCTCTACCTCTTGGTTGCTTTGATCCATTGCCGAAAATATTTTGGCACCTATCATCCCCCCCCCCCCAACCGAGGATACAAATCGACACCCTTGCTTTCAGTTAAAACGTTTTATGTTAGAATCCTTGTCTGTCTCTATATGTCCTTTGGCAGGACACTTATTGGCATTTTCCACTTCATGCTACCCAGTTATATACATAATATACATGATTAATACTTAAGCGCTTCATATTGGATTACTGAGGTGCATGTTTATAATGGGAGTATAATATACCGTAAAGCGGTTTGAGCAGTAATAACAACCGGAAAGTTATTAATTAATACTTTCATAAAAAGTCTACGATTAACACCAATAAACTAATCAATTTATTGATTTGGCATTTCAGTTGATGTATGGCAATTACATTTGAGCTAGATAATTTTCCATTTCATAACTAGTATTATATATCTTTTTACCACCTACATTTAACTCCTTGCTGGGTTCCCGCAAGTGCAGTCTGTTTAAACATGAACATGGTTTAAGGAAAGACTATATATTATATTAGGTCAATAGTTTTTTGCTAAGCTATGAGATGATATTTTTTGACAACTAATTCCAATAATCAGTTAACGTTTTACCTTCATCTCATCTGGAAAATCCATCTTGTATGAAAACACTTTGTCCGGTTGATACATGAACAATAACTTATGAAGGGCAAAGGCTAAATTTACATATTTCTTTTACTTCTAGTGGTCCTTTATTCTGTTGATGGCATATCTTATTTTTTCTAACATTGTCTGAGCTCTTCCAATTTTTATATGTAATCCTTACAGCACGATGACAAATTAATCGCGTTTTAGATACTTAAGTCACTTGAGAGCAGAGACGCATTGTTCTACCTTTTATTTACCATTTACTTTTATCAACAATTACTCCAATTTCATATTTTCATTTTGACAGAGGCGGGAGTAGTGGCGGCGGCGGTGGGAATGGTGATGGTGATAGTGACACTGGCCGTATAGTAGTTGGCTCCATTGCATTAGGAGTTGGACTTCTTGCTGTCGGAGGAGCGTTGGCATACGCCTTCTCGAGTTATAACGAGAAGGAAGAGCAGAAAAAGAGAGAAGGAAAGAAATAGCAAATCCATCGATAATAAATTACATTTCATATACTCTATACCCATGAAGTTTGAATATATAATATAACAATGACAATATCGAATTATTGATAGATAACGTTTGTATTTTAATTTTCAAGAGAAAGAGTCACAGAGATTTATTAATAACATTTCCGAGGAAGATGTAAATTTGACCTGTTAAAAATAAATAATATTGTCATAATCGTGTCATGAAAAGACGGTAAGAAACAAACATTTTAAGTTAGGTTAATTATAAAGAACGTTGATTAGTGGCGGACCCATACCATACCAGGTTTGTGTAGGAGTGGGGAGGGGTGGGGGGTCAAGTCCAGAAATGTTTTTTGTTGTTTAATTCATAAGTCATTTAGTTTACTGTTTTAGTTACAAAGTTATCTGACGATGCAGAGAATAAAAGGTCATCGGCCCAGATGCTTCTTCTTTTCTTCACCCCTCCCCCTTCCTTCTGGTTCTGGGGTACTCCCTTGATCCGCCGTTGTTAACTGTAGACGTGGAATCTTCAGTGAGTGACATATTGTGATAATCTTGTGAAATACTGTAAAAGATTTGAACAAAATCAGCTGTGCAGTTTACTAAGTATAATATAAATTATGACAGATCTATGACTATATAGGTGAAGAGATTAAATTAGTTAAATAACATGAACAATAAAATTGATATGCATTTACGATTTGGGGCATCACGTTTTCAAAAGGAAAACTATCTAATTGTTTTTTAATTTCTACGGATAGGTCTATGGCCTAAAACATTTGTGGTATCCCTCAAGTCTTATTTTGTGCTTGTCTGTTCGATATCGGAAGTTTGGGGTTCATTCAATTTTGCACTATAGGCTAAAACAAACCACATATAAATGTATATTATATTTTTATTTACATTATTGTATGGTTATTGTGAATGTTTCAAAACCATGGTTCAGCTTTCTTTCAGTAGATATGTATCTTGATTTCTTTGATTTTTGGGGTCATGATAATGTTTACATTGATTGTTCTGTTGAAAACTAAAATAAATCTTATTATCATATGTCATTGTTTTACTATAATTTTGTACTAGATACACGTAATCAAACTAAAAATAAATAAACTGTCGCTCATGTGCAAGTTTTAACCTTGTAAAACATATAAACCAAGCAAACACTGACAGCAGCTGCTTATCAACTTTGATGATTATGTTTTCATGTTGCACTATCTTGGTCAGATATGAATGTTAGTTGGTATATTAATATTTATTCGACATTTATGTTAAAGTCACAGGAAAATATTAAGAAGATTACAATTCCAGAAGTAAAAGGGCGTATAGGAATAAAGTCGCCCAAAGAAACAGTTAAGGAATTGCAGTATAAGCGGGAGAGAACAGAGAGAAGGGGTGTATAGCGGACATAATGAATAAGATGAAGAAACAAAATTGTATTATTCAATTTTGATACTCTAAAAAGTGGAAATTTTGTGTTTTGATGAAAAATAATCCAATGGCATTCTCAACTCTACTGAAAAAAAATCTTATTATCTTAAGATACATGTATTAAGATTTTGGGCTACAGATTGCCAACAAATTCAGAGAGAAAAAAGCCCATGATCGAAACCAACAAAATTTTGAGTGATTTAAATGTCACATACCAGCAAGAATATCATTATCTGCACCTCTCTCTCTCTCTCTCTCTCTCTCTCTCGCAAAACCAGTTGCCAGTACACCATCTCCCAACTCTTGTCGGTTTAAGATTCCGTCCGAGTTGTATAATAATCAATATAATCGTTCTGTTTGGTTCTCACTGTAATATATAATCTGTAACTTTTGTTTTGCCATAATTTGCTTACATTTAGCTGAGCACTGTGTTTATTTGATATCATTAACTTACATTCTGTTTTGCTTTCATTGTTATTCTATTCGAAAGATTATGAATTAATTATTGAATGACGAAATAAAATTGCTTTATAAGCAACGCAACCGCTGTTGTTTGTTAAAATAACATATGCGTACATTTTTGGGTGTCGATATCATTTGCATTTGTTTGTTCTTTGTTTTTAGATTTTGTTTCTATTTAACATCCTCCTATTATATATATATATATATATATATATATATATATATATATATATATATATATATATATATATATATATATATATTTGTAATCCCATTATTTCAGGGTGTTATTTCAATAGACTATCAGAATTGAAGTTGAATTTTAAACTAACCGATGAGCGCATATATGAAAAATACTCCCCAGTTCCCTAAGCAAAGAGAGAAGACCTTATCTCAAGTGCAATGCTCAGACGGAAACAAAATACAAGTCTTCTACATTTGATTTTATAGAGGCACGTAGTTTGCTCAAATATAAATACACTGTATAATAAATAGGTCTCTTGAATTTCGGTTTGATTAATTTAGTTTATATTATATTCATAAGCCGAGAATGGAGCTCGGTCACTTCCCGCAACCCGGGCACAGATGCCACCGAGCAACTTTGATGCCTCCAAAGAGGAAGATTTAGGCCGGAAAAATTCACATGCCTATTTGTCCACATTGAAACTTCAAGGGTACCATACTACTCCCGACAAAATACGAGTGACCATACGATAAGCGGCTAGGTTCAAACGTTTCGTTCAATAATCACTGGCAAAACAAAGAATTATAAGGTAAGGGACTAAGGTTCTTTGTAAATTAATATAAATCGACATTTGAGCACATTTTTTTATATACCACTAGACAATTTATATGCGTTTATTTACGTTTGAAAATGTATTATTGTATAGGGGAATTGCTGGCAATAGGTCGGCAAATATATCATTGACCCACATATAGAAATTAGTGTTTTTAAAAAGGCTCTGTCATGTCACGCATACAGATATAGATCTAGGTGCATTACGTACGTAAAAAGCTGTGCTATTGATTCTCAACATTTCAAACACCACTGTACCAAACTCAACTGATTTCAATCAAAATGTGTACTTTAGTGACAATTAATGACACCTAAAGAGCAGTAAAATAATATTTTTTTAACTTACAGATGTTAGAAAGAACAATTTAACATTCAAATTGTGAATGTGAGTCTCCATCTAGGTCTACTGTCAAACTTGCAAAACAGCCGTATCGGCATAATTGTGTGCATTTGTGTGTTATGAGTGTATTGACTATTCATGTATTCAAATGCTGCCTATTAACACGTAGTGCAGTCTATGCTTTGCTGGAGTGTGTCATGTCGCATCAGCGTAGCTCGCAGCGACATGCAACACAAGGTCAAAGTCATCGGTCAATGAAACAAGCTTGTAAAATATGCCACTCATCATGCAAATGGGACCAAACCTAGGTTGGAAACTTTGAATAGATCATTATATGTAATGACTTCACTACTGCACGGTAAAAAGGAACACTAAAATTCATTCAGATTAAAGATACTAGGGTAGCACGCCCGGAATTCGGTAACTTAAGGGGAAATCGCTCACATTTTGAATTTGTACCTCCTTTATTTGGCAATCTACACATCAAAAGAAAAGAAAATTAATCCTCTAACAGGATTTTAAAGTCACTTAAATCATAGAATGATGCTAAGCAAAATATTTCCAAAAGAAGAAAGAGCAGTTTCTGCCCAGTATTCGGTCGCACCGTCCAGAATTCGGTCACACGATTTTTGCGTTTCTCTGTTGACAAGGAGCGAAGCATATTTCCCCACTATTTTCACACAATTGCGCGACAAAGCACTGAATGTCGGTGTGTTGACCAATTACTGGACGAGTGCTACCGCATAGCAAGGATAATGTATAAATACCTCTTGCACATCGGCAAGTGCGTCATTTGAAAAATTCACTGCAATGAGCGAACACGGAAGAGCTCCTCTTCACACACATACTAAATTCATCACACCAGCACATGTAGTTGTGTCACAATAGGCTTCTACATATGGCTATGCATGTTAGCGCATGTGCTAACAGAACCCAGAAGTGCAGAAAGTTGTGCGACACTGACCAATTTCAAGTTAAGTTGGAGATCTTTCCGGGGCAAATTTTTTGTGGGCGCCACTGTCCGGCTGTCGGGCAGCCGATCATTTAAACCAAATGCGGCCATCGTAAGCCCCACTTTGTGTGCTGAAAGTGATTTGAGTGAGTGTGTGGGTCAGAATTTTTTTTTACTGAGATGGTAAACCAGTCACTAGACCTACATATAATTTGTGACATGTCTTTCTTTTTTTACACAGAGTTCCAATGCTGTAGACCGTGATTATTTGATGATACTGACGTCGCAAAGTTTCTTCATCACATAGCCAACATGGATCCCCCTCACCAGGCATTCAATCATAGTGACCACCCTTCATACAGGATATCAACAGGGGAATATACAGGAAGGCATGCTCAAACTAATGTTGGATCTTTGGCACATGTGGAACACATTCCCCAGACCATAGCACCTGCAGCACAGCATACACATGCATCTGGCATGCCCTATGTGGTCCCATGGGGAGAACATCAATTTCAACCCAAAAATGAAACTACCTTTAAGGAAGAAAGTGACTCACACCAGCACGTTGCAAAGGTATGTTATTTACTTTATTAAAATGTGCACATTAAAAAGTTTTTTTTCAGGAGGTCAGCACAATACTGATCATGCAAACAGCCATTACCTGACATAGCACAATACAACAATATGTAGATTTTGTAAAATTAACAGATTTCTTTATTTTTTATTTATAAAATGAGGGGCATTTATTAACATTTGTGATACATATCTTACAGATTTCTGAGAAACATGTACGTTAAAAATGTTATTTGATGTATCTGCATTGACAGTGGCTCCAAGATATAATTTGTAGAAGTATATTTGTATATTTGAAATTAGTGTATACACTGAAATCAGATATGAAATTGGGTTCTATGAGTATGACACATGCTCCACTGTCCACCTCGATGTTGAACTTGAATACTATACTTAGACCTATAACCCTAAACCTCTAAACCATATATATGTACATGTAGCGGCTTTGTAGCCTCATAAAATTGAAGTTGAAGGAGGTTATCAATTCAACGCATGTGTAGTTTGTATAGTATATTGTTAACACAAGTGTAAAATATTTTAGTAAATTGCAACGACGGCCAAAAATAACTTGGATGTAGATACTAAATTCCTAGCTTGATACCTTGCCTAATAACAATTATAAATATTTGCAATTTCTGTTCCAGGTTGATGCCCATGACCAGGAATGGCCAGATGAGAAATCTCCAATTCCTTCGAGTAAACCCAAAGTCAAAAGTAAAGAAGAGACTCTGCCTTTGGATTTGGCTGAAGAAGAAGTGGTGAGCAACTTTGTTCCTCTCTCATGGACTAAGAACTCCAAACCTCATACAATATCCAAGTCAGAGGATGATGTCAAAAATTGTGATTCCACAGAGAACAAGCGTGCCAAAGACCAGAAAGCTGAAGAAGAGCTTGCAGCTATTCATGCCTTCATGTCTGTGGAACCTTCTGGATTTACGTGTATTCAGTGCGGGCATGTTGTCCACCGTAGCCAGCTTGCAAAGCACATCCGCATGCATACTGCTGACAGGCCTTTTAAGTGTGATGTATGTAAACGAGCCTTTCGTCAAAAGTCAAATCTGATCGTTCATATGCGGATGCATACAGGTGAACTTCCATTCAAATGCGATTTTTGCGATAAGGCATTTCGTCAGAAATCTATTCTTGTGACCCATGTCCGCACCCACACCCGAGAGATGCCTTATAAATGTCATCTCTGCCCAAAGGCATTTACACAAAAGTCCAACCTAGTGGAGCATATTCGTGTCCATACAGGTGAAAAACCCTACAGGTGTCCAGAATGTGACAAGGCATTTGCTCAAAAATCTAACTTGGTTGTTCACATCCGCAGCCACACAGGGGAGGCTCCATTTAAATGTGGGGCTTGTGCAAAGTCCTTTCGGCAAAAGTCAATATTGACCACTCACATGCGAACGCATACCGGTGAACTGCCTTTCAAATGTCAACAGTGTGAGCGTGCCTTTGCGCAGAAGTCCAACCTGGTTGAACATGAACGTCAGCACACAGGTGAGAGACCCTTTGTCTGTCTAGAATGTGATAAAGCCTTTATCCGTCACCAGGATCTCCTTCAGCACATGAGACAGCATACAGGCCGCAAACCCTACGATTGCGGTGAATGCGGTAAGATGTTCAGTCGTAAAAAGCATGCAGAGAAGCACGTTCGTTCGCACATCAAGCATCATTTCAACTGTGGGGTCTGTGGCCAGGGTTTTATGGATGAAAACCTGATGGTGATCCATCTCACTACCCATTGTCATTGTCATATCTGTGGCATCAGTTTCAATTCCAAGGAAGATCTGACAGAGCATTGCAGGCTTCATGCCATGGGCATGCCAGACAGTGAGGAGGTACAAGCCAAAGTCCAACACAGCAAGGCCACTGTAACACAGAATTCTCACACCAGCTCCCAGGTCCCCTATGTTGATAGAAGTTCAGATTATGCAAGTACCAGCAAGTCTTTGGAAAATAAACAACCCGATTCATTAAATACCAACACGGTTTCTCCACCTTCATCTCATCAAACTGCTCATTAGATTTTAGGGCATAATTTCCTAATTTAAAATCCAATTTGTGGATGAAGAAAAAAAAATCTGTCAACAAAATGTCACTATGCATGAAAGAAAAACAGAGCAAAACAAAAATATGGCATGGATATTGGGTGCTGATGCAGTTATTATTGCTAACATTATTTTCAGTAGGTAGTGCATACCTACATGTAACCTAATTTTACATACCATCTTCAGTATACATGTAGTCCTTATTTTCATACATTTCACCAGGGTTTTTGTCACTTTTGTCAGGCATACAAGTGAAAATATCTCTTTGTTGTATCAAGAGATCTATAAATGTTTGTTCACATATGCCGTTGTAAACCACTCCTGTTTTTGTTTACAAAATTAGTTGCAAGGGGGAATGAACAAAGGAGCCGAGTGAACCAGGTTCTTCGCTTACCGTACTCACTTATCCATGTGTATGTGAAGTGCAGTACCCTGGTTTACAACGGCATATATGAATAAGCTTCAGTATTCATAAATCCTGAAAGATTATAGAAGAAGGTATTATATCCTAGGGTTCTCCAAATTTTACTTGGGAAAAGTTCATTTTGAAATCAACAATTCAGCTGTTGAAGATATATGATAACAAATTTTAAAACTCAAAGTGCTAGGGGCAAGTTAATGTACAGCTGTTCCATCAACACCATGCATGTGCAGCTGGTATGATTTGTAACAATGGTATTAGAGATTTTTTAAATAAATATTTTGTATACTGGTAGTTCCAGTAAGCTTGTACTGTTCTAATGCTTCTAAGAGTCATCAAAGATTATAAGTCGTTTTTTACTAATTAACTGGTAATAATATTTTATGTGAATTATTGTTAGGAAGCAATTGTGACAATTGTACTACAACATGATGTAATTGTGGTTGGCTTGTACTTCGCTAAATTAGAAGTACCACACAGGCATATTTTTATGCCTCCGCCACTGGCGGTGGTGCCGGAGACATTATGTTTTCAGGTTGTTTGTCCGTCCATCCTGCTTTTTGTTACCGTGATAACTCAAGAACCATCACATGGATTCTAACCAAACTTGGATCAAGTATGTGTGAGCATGCAAAGATGAACTGAATAGATTTTGGGTGGACGCGATCAAGTGTCGCAGGGTCATAAAAATGCTAAAAAGTATCTTGTTTCTGTGATAACTTGAAAAGTGTTAAGCAATTCAAACCAAACTTGCATGAAGTATGTATTAGCTTGTAAGGATGGACTGATTAGATTTCAGGTGGCAGAGGTCATAGGTCAAAGATTACATGGTCATAAAAGTGTTTAAAAATGCAAGAAAACAGCTCATTACTGCGATGACTTGATAAGTGTGAAAGCAATTCACATATGACATATGTATGATCATGGAAGGATAAACTTGATATTTGGGTGGATAAGGCTTAAGGTCAGAGGTCACAGAGCTTGAATAGCATTTCTACTTTCAAACTTGGATGAAGTATTCATGAATGAGCATGCAATGTTAAACTGATTACCGGTAGATTTTTGGTGTAAATGATCAAAGGTCACAAGGTCATAAAAGTGTTTAAAAATACCAGAAAATCTTGTTACCTCAATAATTTGAAAAACATTGAAGCAATGCAGACCAAACATTTATGAAACATGTAATGGATGCAAGGATGAACTGATTCGTTTATGGATGTTCATGTAATAGGTCATAGGTGAAAGATCAAAGGGTCATGAAAGTGTCAAAATTCCCAGAAAATATGTGATAACTTAGCATATATCAAAGTAATGTCAACCATACTGGGCTCAAGTACATGTTTATGTACGTGTATATGTATGTATGAGCATGAAAAGATTAAATAAAAAGATTTTGGGTTTGTGAGGTCACATTCTGAAGGTAATATGTAGAGGCATATAGAAACCCAGTCACCTCCATCTCGTTTAATATTAATTTACATACTATGACTTAATTCAAGACATAACGGTAATCTAAAGTGGAGTGAATGTACATGTATTTTTAAATGCATTACATTCATGTAGAATATGTGTATTGTTATCTTTATTTTACAGATTCTATAATTTACATGTGTGCATAGATGTTGAATGGATATGTAGAAAATGTACCAAAAATTAAATGACATGTACTCAAAGAAACAATGTAAATTAGGTCCAGTTAACTCATTTTTTATATTTTCTCCATGGTTAATGTAAGTGTATGGTGTTGAAGCCTTTAAATATGTAATAAAGAGCGGATTATTCAGAATGCAATAACCTTCCCCCCCCCCCTTTTGTAAGCATTTGCACATATTTTTGTTTCCCTCATTGAGGTTCGAAATTGAGTGGTGTCTATTTGATGGTGTTGTGAAAGGTCTGTCCCCAGATGTAAATAATCATATCTGAGTAATAAACATCTTTAAAAACCCAATTACACACACATTGGACTAGGTACGTTCCCAACACATTAGCTTTTGTTCATCAAGTTTAGCAATCAATACATGAATGTCACAATTACCTGAAGTATCCCACGAATGATAAGGTGTCGTAGTCGAGTGGATTAAGCACTTGACTGGAAATGCAAAGGTCATGGTTTGATCCCTTACATGTCAATGTCCTTTGGCAAGACATCAATCTACATTTATCGCTTCGTACCCAGGAGAGAAATGGGGACCTGGTACGACAGAAACCTTTGATAGAAATTGCCATATGCCCTCATGGTGACCATAGCGGTTAGAATACTTCCGTATTTAGCACTATATAAATCCAGATTAATTATTCACATGCACATGTATTATTAAAGATAAAGTTGAGTTCTGGTCATGCAATTGCATTGTGAAAGAAATGGTGTGGAATCGATCAGAAAAGGTTGATCATCTATCATATAAGTATTCTTGTGTATTGCAAGGTTCTGGAATCCTCAAAGTGATAAGAAATTTGGCAAAGTCTTGTTAAAGTTACAAGCACTGTACACAGAATGATGGACATGTATATGGGACTACACAAACATGCGACGTAAAAATGTGTCCCGATTTTAACGATGTTACATGCCATATTTAGAATATGAAGGCATTTGAAGAGCCATGCTTTTCAGGGAACATGTTTTATCTGATGTTCTTCCACCCTTGCATAATAACAATGATAACTTTTATAAATGTAATGCTTCTCGTTGCAGCATTTCTCACAAATTACATACATGATTTGTTTTGACAAGATTATAGATAAAATCCAATCTTAAAGAGGTTCAATCATGAACCAGTATCTTTTTTAATCCTGCTACAGTGCTACTACGTATCGAATACTGTACCAGTTTGAAGGTTTTTTTTTAAATTTTTTTTACTGGGTGTAAGCCACAAATGTGTTTTAACAATGATAACGATCACAAATTATTTTTCCCCTCTTCCCAGAACTCGATCTTCTCTTTAAGTGCAATTACTACCTGGGACCTCTTGCATCAAAAGTCAAAACTTTAAAAATGTCTGTGACCTGCATTTGATCACCTTCAAGTAGTCATAACATACTATTTGATGGAAAATAAGGATACTTTTCTCCTTCAGTTTATACGGTACATGAGTTTGCTAGCACTTTCCAATCCTTTGTTCTTAAGCAGTTTAAGATTTTAACTTAAAAAAAATATTAAAATCATACCTAACTCTAATAATTATGGACAAACTGAAGGAAAAATTTTGAACAAAAATCAAGTAATACACAATGGTTATTTTTTATAAGATTACAAATTTAATCTCCACAGCTAAACAAACTCAATTAACACCTGATGCAGCATTTCTCACAAATTACATACATGATTTGTTTTGACAAGATTATAGATGCAATCCAATCTTAAAGAGGTTCAATCATGAACCAGTATCTGTTTTAATCCTGCTACTACATATCGAATACTGTACCAGTTTGAAGGTTTTCTTATTTTTTTTCAAATAAACACTTGTTGAAATTGAAGAGATTGCATGTATGTCTAAGTAAAGTATTCTGTTGTGTATTCCTCAGTAAAAATAGAAAGTGCATAATTCCACAAATAACACAAGATCAAACTGAAATGTGATAGGAAGGAAGCAAACCACATATCCTTCTCTTGCTCACGTAAAGCTTGTTCTTCTTTTATATAGAGGTGAAATAAAAATATTCCTATGTGACAAAACCGGCATATAATTTGATTGACCTACAGCCCCAGATTTCATGTTATACAAAACAACAAGAACAAAAATCTATGTACAATTCACACATATGAAGTGTATACATGGGAGTATTAGAAATGCTGTTATTGAAATTGAATGACCTTTTCTCATATTCATGTGAAAGATCATCTTACCAAAAAGGGCCAGCCTGAAAACGGCCTCAAGTATATATATTATATACAGGAACACAAACGGTCCTCTGTCAAGCAACTCATACAGAGCTGACATCTGCACACTCAGAAAGGACAATTGCTTGAAATTGTCGTTTACTGGCATCACATCTAAACTACAAAATGCAGATTGCACAAGACCACTCACAAAGAACATTGAAAGTACAATACATAAAACATGTACATGGACAATTTTCACAGTTCGCTGAGTTTGCCTTTCGAAAGATGTGTTGAAACTACCCAGGAATAAACAGAAGGATATGAGGAGCTATTTAGCTCTAGGAAAGTCACAAGACAACTCAAGTCCAATATTATATTGGATCTCTGGGAATATTTTTGTTTTGTTTTACAAGATACTGTAGTGTCACATATTCTTTAAAAATTCCTAAATATCTATGAACGAAACAGTAATTGCATATTTGTGGAAAAATGGAAAGAAACACAACTCTTATTTGAATAAATACAACAAATTGCTTTGGAGTCTGCCCCTAAAATATGCACACTGAGACTGGCAACAATTTGAGTAAGAGTAAGAATCGCTGTAATCCCCAGAATTTCGTTCAGAGACAAAATGAGTATAGAACACGATGGAAAGTCAAATTAGAATGGTTGTATGGATGTAGCAGATACAAGTCTTGTCATTTTAAAACATATTTTACTTCACATGTGTGAAATCCTCTTTTAAAATAAATTGCATCTGCCCACAGAACATGTATTTGCATATTAGGGAACCTTCATTTGTTGCTTTAAACTGGCTCCATAAAAGTAGAAAACAACAATTCTACAGACAGGAATTCCGACTAATTCCAAATAATGTGTATGGATTTTTGTATTGACAAGTGTCATATAATTCCTGAGAAAATACACCCTGAAATGGTATTTTTACACTTTAAAAACATCATTCTGTGGTGTTTTGGCATGCATGTGCAGGATCATTTTATTAGTATACACACCAGTAACTATGCATAAATAAACATTCATGTCTTGCATTCAGAGCAAGCATGCACTGTGTTTATACACTATATCCTCAGTATTTTCCTCCCCCATTACTTTCAATAAAAAATAAAAGTTTGCACAGCAAATATCTACCAATTGCAGAAAAATAAGGACTTTTAATTAAACTTAGGTTTTATTACTACAGTTTCTTATCTTAAAATGCTGAATAATTCTCTCAATCTAATTTCCTTTATTACCTGATGATTTTATCAATATCTACATTTAAACACTAATTAATATGCAAATTTAGGCATATCCAGCACATTTGGTCACTTAAAATCAATGGAAAAAATCCATATTTCAATTAATTACCATTATCATTTGTCTTGTTCTATTTCACTCCTATTTCAAATCTAAAATCTTAACAGTAATTTCAATAATGGTGCTTCCACAGGTGCTCCAGCAACCATTGCTCCAGGCTTCAAGATACAGGGGTACATCCTAATGGATGCTAGGACAACGGCACCATATCGCCTAGAAACCTAGTATTTGGAGCGTTCAAAATTCACCTTATCATTATTATCATTAATACTTCTTCTTTTTATTGCCAGGTGCTTTCTTGGCCGATGCCGGTTGAGAGGATTGGTCCAAACAGGTTTGAGCAGCAGACAAATGACGGAAGCTATGAATCATGTTCAGGATTGGTACAATGACCCAAGGAGCATTCATGCCAATGAAGTAGAACCAGAAGTAGAGAGGGTCACCATACTTGCAATGGGCAAGTCCATCACGGAACTCGGTCATGAAGAAAATGATAGTACCTGTAATGAACACATTTTGTGAAGAGAAATAATAGGTATATAAGATAAAGTAACTGATTATTGCCTTCTAGGGCATGCACATATATATAAAGGTTCCCAGTACTAACAAAAAATGAGAGTAAGCAGGCAATCTTTATACTATTTGGGGAAAACCCACTAGCATCCATAAAGACAAGTTTCTGAGAGCTACCAGGGGTAATTAAAAAATAAAAAATAAACTACCGGTAGATTGATGTACGACTGCGCGCAAATGATGCCTCCGCCATTGAGCGGTTTTACAAACCAAAACAGAAGCAATTTTTAAAATTTAAGTTTGATTGTAATCCATTAACAGGTTCTCAGAATATCGTGATTACAAGCCATTTTTCATATACATGTATGACCATTTGATCTTTGACCTCATGACCCTAAAATCTAATCAGTTCATTGGCTCTGCAAGATACATACATGTCCTGAGTTCGATAGTAATCCATCCGTAGGTTCTATTGACAATGCGTTCACAAGCTAATTTTGCATACATAATGAGCCCCCATGACCTTTGACCTCATGACCCCAAAATCTAATCAGTTCATTGGCTCTGCAAGATACATACATGTCCCGAGTTTGAAGGTAATCCATCAATTAGTTCTTGAGATAATGCGATCACGAGAAGGGGACAGACAGAGCTAGGACGGACAACCCGAAAACATAATACCTACGGCTACTTTGTCGTGGAGGCATAAAAACAAACATTAACTTGTGCATTGGAACATTGAAGGTATTTCATACCATAGAGCTGGCCAGTGGAAACCAAGAGCTGAAGGATATATCTGCTTGGAGATCGTTTAAGGTAGGTGAGAATGATGAGGAAACAGGCAGGTCCCTCCAGCCAGGCTGTCACAGATTCTACACATACAGTGCAGTTATCACCACTGAAAACAGAATACAAGATACATTTAATGCGAAATAGGTTAAGAGTCAGCATTCCAGATTAATGTTCACTATCTTTGGAAGTTTGGATGCTACAGATTTTATTTGTACAAATCTTACAGGGAAATCCAACCCAAATAGACAACTACTCTAACGAAAGCAGACAAATCAGAGAAGAAAACTGATAAAAGTTTCAATTAAATCTGACTAATTATAAGAAAGTTACGAATTTTTTAAAGTTGTAATCACTTTACCTATGATCACTTCAAATTAGCTGAAGCGGTAATGTCAATGTGATATATTGCCGGACTACTTTCCAATCTGTTCCAACATATTAAATAACTAACATTTAAATTTGTCAAAAAATTGTGGCTCAAGAGGGTCTATTCTTTTTAGAGGACCTATAATAATATGCTATCTATAATAAATTTTGAGTAGTGCCCCAAGGGAGAAGGAACTTACAGTATGAGAAAAACTGAAATTAGTGAAATTTTTGTACACAGCAAATGTGAGAGTTATCCACGTCCTACGTCACAATCCACTGACCAAACTACCAATTTGAGATCCGCATAGACTTAGTGATCTCATATTTCAAGCATTCATAACTTCCATACTACTGGTTAAGATTCATTTCAAACTTTTGCCAATCTGTTTCTCTCATTTTCTGCTTTCATACAAATCAACTTATTACAAGGGTTGGATTGCCCTTTTAAGCTTTTTATGTTTAAGCTATTATATATTGTCTGTTTGGAGCCAGAAGGGCATTAACTTGTATACTTTAACACAGAGTTAATGCTCTGACCAGACCATCTACTTCTGGTGAAGGGAAAGCATTTCCAAAGATATTGCTTTAAATAATCCTGTATGTAAATCAATTATTTGGATTGTCAAAATATAACAAACAATTACAGCCATCTTAATATAAAACTCATTTAGAAGTCAGATCAGGAGTACTGGCTTAAATATTATTATCTTTCTTAGCTCGTTACTCGGACACATCATTTCTTACCAAATGATACTAAGATAAACTTTCGTGAATTGATCCGAAAATACACTGGAAAAAATGAACATTGTTTGGCAGATATTCACTTATTTAGTCTTATTTAGACTTATTAGTCTTGACCATTCAATGTACATGCAGTTTAATTCTATACAAAATAATATATCACCATCAGAAATGAAGACAAACATTTTACTTAATTTACACCTCACCCCTCATGAAGGTACAAAAGGCAAATTCACTTGTCAGTGCATCTTTCTGTGCAGCTGGACGATTCATGCCTTGATCATAAAAGGGAAGATTAGCGAAATTTTGGCAACCTACAACTTCTATAATTAAATACTTACATTACATAACGGCTGTCTCCTTTCCCATATTCCTTCCCTGAAGAATAAGAGAAAATAATAGAAAAAGAGGGAATAATAGAAAAAGGGGGAATAATGAAATGGGGGAATAATGAAATCAGGCAATGTAAGAGGGAATAGAACTACTTGAAAATGATTGTTCACATGAAAACTCATTTTGTTTATTTCTATTTCCAACAAAATAAATAAAGTACATGGGATTGCATTGTACACAGTAAAACAATGAAACTAAACAATATATTTGTAATTGGTCCACAGTGTACAACAGGCATATAAAACAGGTTGGTCATGGAGGGGGCGGCTGAAAAGGAGGGGACTGCTAAAAAGCTGGGCTTGTAGATTGCAGCCCCCTATAGTTGCAAAAATAGTATATCAATAATAAGGGAATGCACAGATACATAAACCAAATAGACATAATATAGTACATGTACCATATATATAATCTGCTGCAATCACAAATAGTATATCCGTAAAGCGCTTAGTATAGAGACTTCCGAGATGTATTACCTAAGCGCTATATAAAAGCTGAATATTATTATTATTATATAAATGTATGACTCTAGAAAGTGGTACTTTAAATATTGGTGCATTGGTAAATTTAAATCTTGATGGTATCACATAAAAATAACTGATTGAAAAGTGAAAAAATTCCATGGAATATGAAGACCTCAACTTACAGATCTGACCCAAGAAATCCGTCTTGCTGGGGATGGTCTCATAGAAAACACTGAAATAGCCTTCCAGGACACAATGTATCATACCGCACAGACCAAACCAAGCCAGCATAGCCCGCTGGCCCAAGGGATGGGACGTCCATGGAAGTCCTTAGCAGTCAGAAGCCATACTGCGATGAAGATGACAGCGAAACCCGGTAATGCAATGCTCAGAATGCCAACATTGGTCATGGAGTTGGGAATGTAATCCTTGACGACCAGGTTTGATGGGTTGAACGGGTGGTTGCTGTTAGTGGCCATCTTTATCTGGAGAGAGAAAAATGGAAAAAGAAATACATATCAAACATTCTTAACCAGTAAAGAATTATGCAGTTCATTTTGGATGATGACATCACTGAGTCTACTATGAAAGAGATGTGATGGATTGGATACTGATATGAAGGCTTAAATAGCGAAGAAATAGAGAAAACATTCAGAGAGCAAGTCCATTCACCCATCAGATAATAGTTGGAGAGAATTTTTTCAGTCTTGGTTTTCTCGAGGAGTTATATTCATAAAGAACAGAAGTTCAATACCGGTATGTATTTCATCACATTTGAAGTTCTGAGATTGCTTTGAAATGTCAAAATATGACCTTCTACAGTACACAAAATGGTTTAATATTTGGTATACTAATTATGGATTATGCTTAGAATGATGAGACTACATATAATAAGTAGATGATTATTATAATATTCAAAGGAAACCTAACTCCAAGAAATAACCTGGGAGATTTATTGTATTCTTGACCAATAATCTAGTAGAACCCCCAACAAAATGTATAAAGCAAGAATAATGTAGTTTCTGAGCACAATATGGGCAATTTGGGCATCTCAATTTTCTTGATAACCCTGACGTACTATGCAAAGTTGTATATCAACTGAATGTCTTCAAATTCAGATGCTTCCTTCCCAGGTGTGTGTGATGAAGATGCATTTCATTCATCTGCTACAGTGTATTAACTACAATCGTCAAGAGCGCAAAATTGCATAAATAAGTTGGTGCTCTTTTGGGGTTGTCACTGTGGCATGCGTCTGTAATCCAGCTAATTCAGGCGAGGACGCAGGTTCGAAACTGAGTCATGTCTTTCGGATGGTCACGTTTAAAGGTCAGTCCCCAGACGTAAATAATCATATCTGATTGATACACGTCTGTAAAAACCCAACACACACACACACACACACAGGGTGAAGGGTTCACATTTGTCAACTGCTACATTTTAGTATTTTTAAATACCGTAAATGATTTAAAATTATTCCCCTGTTATATATTTTTCACCAAATATAATTTTTACCTTCTCAGCTATGATTTTCCCTCATTGAATAGAAAAGATTACCGGTAGGTTATTGAATTAAAAACTCTTTATAACTAAAGCTTGGTGTATGATACAATTACAAGTACAAGTTCGCCAAGTACATCGCATTATCAAGAAAATGGCAGCACCCATGTCATGCCAAAAGGCATTACATCATGCCAAGAATATCTTCATTTATATATCTCTTATACACTTTTGTGTATAAGAGTACCCACCAGTACACTTATTCTTTGGGGTAAGGTTTCCTTTTAGTGCAATCTAGGAGCACACGTGTACCTTCAAACATCTGATACTGTACACCAATGAAGCATTCTACACATATATAGGAAGGCTTATCACTGACTTGCGTATACTTCTAAGGACATTCTATTCATAGATTTTTATCTGATGGTATATACTGTATCCTTGTAATACAGTGTCTCTCATCTGTCCTCTATCTTTGTCTTGTAAAATAGTACACCATTCATAATGATATATAATTAAATCTTACAGTACAGTGGGTGTCTTAAATTTGCCTTATCTTTAAAAGGTTTAGAGGTCTTTTACCCTGCAAATATTCAAGGATTTTATCACACTGTGCAAACAGCGTACCTTAGCCATTAGGTAATGTGTAAATAAAGGCAAATTCATTAGAACCCTACCATGTGACCCTAACAAATAATGTTATACAATATCATAAAATGCAAAACTAGCCATGTCCACACAAAATTCGAAAACATCAATCAAATTATCTTAAAGCCCCACTGTACTACTTATAGCTACATGTACTTGCACTCTCTATATAGCCTTTTTCTTATGTTAATTGAGAGCTGATGTGATGAGATAACCACCTATCAGTGACTTGCAGGGAGGTCTAATCCCCCTGGCCATACTAGTGCAGACAGGCTTTAATGTTGCAAAAGCATAACCATAAAGCTTATGGAAAGTGGAAGTTGAGAGGGGAAAGGGATATTGGAGGTGTTGCTATCGTATGCCATTATAAATGAACAAGTCTGAGATCATGTAAAAACACTCATTACAGTCAAACCTGCTTTAGGGACCACCTGTCTACAAAGACTACATTTTTTGTTTCCCTAGAAAATGGTTCCTCATTGACACATGTACTAGGTATCACAGCTAAAGTTTGAAAGTATCTACATTTCATTTCCCCTGCCAATTTCATTTTAGAGCACATGGAAAGAGAAGTTTTGATACCTCATTTGTCAAATTTGAATAAGTACTTTTGAAAATACGGCCACTCACATAAGAGACGAAACGGTCAAATTTTGCGTAATTAGGCTATAACTGACAATTAGCCATTTTCAAGGTGACATAATTTTGTAATTAATTGATGAATCACCTTTCTTTTCAAGAAATCTGTTCTCTGTATGGATTTCTACATGCCTATTTTTTTCCAGGTTCTTTAGACAAAGATTTTTTTTTGTGGAATTTTTCAAATATTAAATGAAGCCCATTTTGATGCGTGTGACAAATGGCTATTTTTGCACGGCCGCCGAGCTATCACCGAGTGTGTGTGTGTGTGTCGTTGGGTTTTCATACAGACGTGCATCAATCAGATATGATTACTGAAAAGACACTGCCTGAATTTAATTGGAATTTAATAATTATTATCCAAAGATCAGAAAAGCCGTCATTACAGTTATTTGATGTAGATTGAAACACACAAAATATTTTTTTTCTGACAAAATTTGATTAAATTTTCACCCTATAAATTGACAAAGATTACACAAGTTTGTTCTTGAATTTCTTAAAAAGTCACTTTGAAATTCAAAGTTCACTCGCATGACGTGTGAGAAAAATTGCGAGTGTATTATTGGTCTTGTGATCGCTTTAAAATCTGTTTAGGTTACGATAGCATAATAATTCCGTCGAAATATATATGTATTTACTAATTTGTTCGCCAAATGCTGCAAATCCTGCCTCAGTTTCGATATTTGAAGCCTCAGATTCATGCTCCGTTTCGGATCTTGATGGGACGGCAAGCGGCAAGTGCGGTGATGCGACACGTGGCTGCCACGTGACCCGTCGGGTCCCCGTGCGAAGCTGGGGGCTTGCTCGCTGTAGTCACTCTCGCTCAGTGCGTATTATACACAGAGTACAGCTGTACTAATCGGATTCGCGCTCTAGCGCCATCTAGCGGTCATTCTTAATATTTACATGATCGTATTCTCCAGTAAATTCTCTTTCTTCTCGTATCAAAATTGAATTAAAAGTATGTTTTTCTGATATAGAAAAATTGTTTCAAACTTTTCACTCTGATTTTTCACGATCTTTTTGAAACATACCCCCATCAGTTTTTATATGAAAATAAAGCTTAAGATGTGCTCTTTCCAACCAGTGGATTTTTAAAACTCAAAGACGAATGGCGTTCAAGCGAATTGAGCTAAAACTAGGGATACAAATCCTCCGTCAAAAAAAAATGGCGACAAACGAAGTGAGACCGTACGAATTAGAGGGTAAATCTCAAGCAACTGTGTCGTAAGTAATTAATGGATTTTGATGAATATGACATGACATGAAAGACGGAATCCTGAGCTTTCGAGAGACATATAATTTTATATTTATTTTGTCCATGATATGAAAATCTTCCTTCACAAAGAGAGAATTTGCGTGGTTGAGCTCTGTGTGTCCCCACTCAACGCAGCTCTTCTGTGATACCTACATGTACTAAAGGAACCTCCACATAAAGACCACTTGTTGGTCTCCCTTGGGTAGTCGATCTTTACAATCAGTACGAGAATACACCTGACGGTGGCCTGTACTTATAGCGAAGAAGAAGGTTTCACTGTACCTAGAATCAGCATGTGTCACAGTTACTGCGCATGAAGGAAGATGTAATCCATTCACGGTAACAGTTACAAATACGGCTGCAAGAATTTCAACACCGAGCTCCATTTCAACAAAGAAAATCCGGAAAAAAGACCCTTAAACGCATCATACAGTCAATCTGGTAAGTGTTGTTGTTTTAGTTTATAGGCATTTGTCATTCACAAGTAAATATTTACGCCTCTTCTCTTAGGATTTTTATTCCTTTAAAATTTGATTTACTTTTTTTGATATATAGATTTGGATAAATTGGATTTTTAAAAGTTAAATTTTCGTTTAATATTGAAGAATTCAGTGGCTGGCGAGAATAAATGCTTCGGATATGAATCCGCTAAAATGACATTTTAGTCCAAAGTTTGCACAACAGACCATATGGTTGCCTTGTCTCTTAAGAGAGGAGCCGACCCTACCCAAATACGAGGCTAACGGACGAATATATGGTTAATTTCGTCAAGACTAGTCAGCATCTTAGCTATACATAAAAATGTGCGTTAATTCATCTCGCCGAGTTCAAACTTCTGCATTGATATTATTAGTACACGAGGATCGAGCGAGAATACGGATACAGCTGACCTGACACAGCAATGCGTTTCTTTCGTGCTCCCTCGACGAGACGACTCCACCCAACCCTCCCCCTCGTTCTTTAGGTTCATTTTCTTCTTTTTTTCCTTTTCTCACTTTCTTTCGGTTATAGATCTAATTTCTTTTCATTCTTTTCCTTTCCTTTCTCTTCATCTTTTTTCTCTTTCCTTTTTTGTTTCTTTCCCTCTTTTTCCCATTCCCCTTTGGCATTTTCTCATTTCCCCGACTGCTGCGCAATTTTACCGACAGTATCCTGATAGGTGGGTGTGTCGCAACACCCCCCCCCCCCCCCCCCCCCCCCTCTAGCGACGCCCCCTGATATGGCATAGGATAAATGATCCAAGTCCAACATAAAAATGAAGGCATGGGACGAGCATCGCACTTTATTCACACATGGACATCTCATACATTTGATCAGAAACAGTTACAATACTCTCGCCTCTTGACAGTATATGTAAATTGCATGCAACATATAAATGGAAAGTACATTTTATTGTAATCCTTACTGGCTAATCTAAAATTCCAGGAGACAACCGGTAACAGATCCAGCACCCAGTACAGTCGACAATCTCAGCCAGTGCCCAGCTAGTCAATCAATCATGCAAATAAATGAATACGTTGTTAACGTACGCGAGCAGCTTGTGCGACCAGCTTGTCCAATGAGCGCGCTCACACGCTTCATTCACGGCAGGTCTATGATTCGACTCCGCCTACTTTCAAATTTCCTCCTCATACATCAAGCTCCAACTTGCCGTTTATAGGGTCTAGTAATTCCCATACCGTATACATATACACCCAATCCGTCTGTTTACAGTCATTTTGATCTGATTGTAATATGGCCTCATCTCCAAATTTGTACCCACCCATTTGGTCTATTGTTCATTTTGTCGAATTAAAAAAAAAACCCAACCAGAAAAAAGCCAAATAGGTCTAGACTACGCTGACTGTAGTTTGAACGATTTCGACAGTCTAAGAAAATGCCAACATTTACCAACAATTTGTTAGTCACGTTCCTACCCCCCCCCCCCCATTTTGTCAAATTTAAAAATAAAATCCAACCAGAAATAAAATCCAACCAGAAAGAAAGTCAAATATAGTTTGAGCGATTTTTCGACAGCTAGTCTAAAGAAATTTCCAACATTCGTCAACAATTTGGGGAATGTCACGTTCCTAGCTATACCCCCCCCCCCCTTCCAATCCCATTCCCCAGATTGTCATGAGCATTTTTTTTTACAGTAATTTTGATTTATTTTTATGTAATTTTATGTGGTTATGTAGAGATTAAAAAAAATACATTCTAGATGTATATAATAAAACCGAACATAGATCTAGTACAAGATCTTATCTACACTTAAACATGATCTGCAGTAAACGTACAAATACATTGCTCGGAATATAAATTTAGTATGCATTTATGCTTTCTTAGCAGTAAAATCGGGGGTAAAATAAACCACCCCCCCCCCCCCCCCCCCCCCCCCCCCCATCCGATTGTAGAGGTCAGTACACAGTCAGACCGCAGCGTGCGCGATAATGAGGCTGTGCGGCAATTTTTATTCAGATTCCCGTTCGGTGAAAAGCTCGCTTACAACGCTCTCGTAAAACACGAGACCAGCCACGGGATTTTGGTAGCATCATTTTCTCGCCCTCGTATAGCCTTTTGACAAGGCCTCGTGACTCTAAGCGGCTGAGATGAGTCTAGATACCCGGAGTGAACGCGCGACCGAGTGACGGAACGTCACGAGGCCTTTTGGAAAGTGGGTTTCACTGCTGCGCATGAATTATTCATAGATACATATTAACATGCCAATACGCCTACTTTGGATTTATTGACCAATCAGAACGGCGATCTCCCAGTTGGCTTCGTTCGTGATTCGTTCCATGTAGAGGTCAGTGGTCTTAGCACGTACGTAATAGTTCATAGCATGTAGGTCCATGTTCGCACTACGTAGAGTTTACTGTGTGTGTGTGTGTGTGTGTGTGTGATGGATACTACTATGCTGAAGTCGTGCGAGGATACGTTCGCTGATTGAACGCTCCATTTTCTGGAGCGAATTCTAGTCGGAAACAAGGGTTAACATAAGAAATCCAAATCAGATTGATAAAGGCCACTAGGATGGGCTCCTCGCTCTCGCGTTCACTTGGGTTTTCGCGATTAGTCTCGTTTTAGTCGCTCGGCGTCTATCAGACAAGTGGCCTTGTTTAAAGGCTAGCCCTCGTATGGCTTACAGTGCAATTCATCATGGCGGAATCGTGGGGTAAGTCAATCTCTGAAATTTTCGCTGTTCTTTGACACCAAATTTGCCCAAATTAGTTACATTTTGGGCTTACTTTTATCGCAAACAAAAAGAGCGTTTTTTAGTCCTCGGAAATTAACTACTCATTACATAGTGTCGTATTTTGCTTGTTCCTGACTGGTATTGATAATATTATTTCGAATTTTTGCATCCTACGTCGTCTTTGATAACCAGTCCATCATTTGATGTTGAAAACACGTAGATGCAAGTAATGTTTGAATAAGAAATATGCCCAAATTATTGGACTATATTTTGGAAATCTACCGGAAGTAGACGGAAAATGATTAGAAACCGCGGGGAATTGCTATGGCTACGGCCTTTTAGTCAGGAATGGCGGGGTTTCTTGTGTGTCGCTGCACGCTGTGCCATTGTGTGGCGCATACAGCAGGAATTTATGTAGTCCCATGTGTATATATTTTTGTCAGCTTTTTAGTTTTTGTTGTCGCAAATCGACAGCAATGTAAATAAATCGACTTCTCATTAGTCATTGCTATTCATTATAAATCTAGATCAAATGATATGTTTCAAATGTATATTTACAAGGGTTTAAACATGTTTAGACAAGTAATGAAGGGTTTGATAACTGATCGAATTGTACTGGAATCCTGAGCTGAGCAAGTGAGCTGAGTTGAGCTGAGCTGGATATTAGTTATTAGAATGACAAATTACTTACAGGATAATTAATTATATTAATTTGGAATTCTCAAACTTTGGTTCTGCCTTCTGCTTAACTCAAACCTTACAGCCAGCCACAGAAATGAGCAGCATTTCCTTTTGCGAGTTGTAGACCTATATATTAATATTATGATTATGAACAGAGCAGAATTAAAACAAAAAGCCAAAGGTAAATACTTACATTTTAGAACTTGTGCACATCTTGAAAAATGAAGGGAAAACTTCATGAATCTGACACCTGTAATTTGTTTTCATTTAAAAATTAAATTTGAAAGCAAGCCAGTTTTGTCTACCATAAATGGCTAGCTACTTTGATAAGATCTTTTTAAATCCCCATACATTGAACTAAGACATTTTATTCTTCTTATCATTTGTTGTTGTTTTTCTGACAGACGCACTCAACCATCGAAGCTTGCGGGACATTGACAGACATCACACATCAGTCTCCATTGCATTCCTGGATCAACATTTACTGGACTCCATGCCTTTGTTCGTTTTAATGGTTATTTATTTGAAGACTCAACCGCAGTTTTGCTTCACGTTGGAACAAACAATCTTGAACGGGGAGTTTGGGAGAAGGACGAGAAGGATTTTGTTCAGCTTATTCCTTTCAATAAAATAAAAATCTCTGATACTTCCAAAGTTCCAAGGTGGGATTCCGGAGCTTCACACGAACAATGCATTCATTATATTAATAGAAAACTGACTGAACTGTCACCTTTATACAATTTAACAATATTTAACTCTAATAATACTTTTATTCTCAGCGACACATTTAATGTGTTGATGGTCTCAACATAAATGTCAAAGTCAGTTTATAAATAAAATATAAATATTAGAAAATGCAAATTTTATTCCTAGTCCTATCGCATTTATTATTTGTAGTAGTGTTAAATAATACATTTTTTTGTCCATTTACTAGGCTATTCAGAAGAAACCAGACCTGGTTTTCTCTTGGGTTAGTTGGCATGAATTTTGATTTAGAAATGTGAATTACACAGACCTGTTAAATAATAGCCCCCCCCCCCCCCCCCCCACAAAAGAAAAACAATCTTTTTAAAAGATATATTTTGCAGATTTGTATTTCATCCAGAAATAGTACCTACACAGGGTAAACATAATATAAATAGTCAAGCATTGACATATTTTGATATGTTGGTGATGATGATTGTGATGGTGGTGATTATGATGATGGCAGTGGTGATGATGTCGGTGGTGATGGCGATCATGATGGATATGGCGATGATGATAATGATGACGGTGATTATGATGGCTATGGTGATGATGATAATGATGACAGTGATCATGATGACGATGATTATCTTGATGGCAATGCTGATGGTGGTGATGATGAGGGTGATTATGATGGCAATGCTGGTCGTTAACGTGATGGTGATGATGGCAATTAATGGCGATGTCGGTGGTGCATGGTGATGATCATGATGACGGTGATTATGATGATGATTGTGATGCAATGCTAATGGTGGTGATGATGTAGGTGGTGACGGCGATGATGGCTATGGTGATGATGATAATGATAATGATTGTGATGGCGATGACGATTGTGATTGTGATAATGATGTTGAAGATGAAAATAAGAATTCTACAAGTTTTATTTGAGCCCTTCAGCCCAAGGCACACTTATATTTCTATCCAAGGGTCATATTACACACAAACAAACCCCGAAAATAAATTTCCAGATATATATATATATTCCGCGGGTCACTTTAAAACAAAATCAAACAGAAAAGAGAATAAGGGAAAGAATTTTGTAATATTTTATTTCCAGGAATACACATGAACTGGAGTAATGCAATTGACAAAAGAATTATGAAATAAAATATTACCATCATCAAATGTCTGGGAATTACCAAAAGAAATTCCTGTTTAAGGCTCTTCTAATTAGCCCATGGTTTACAAATATAAAAACACATTTCAGATTTTTACAACCATGAAATTAATAGCAGGGATGGGATCATGGGAACAATCATATTTTCAATTTTCAATAACATTGCCCCCCCCCCCCTGAAAGTTTGTATTTACACAAACATACATTTCATAACGAATAATGTGTCTTCTTTGTTAAAATGATATCAAAGCCTGGCCAAAAATAGCCTTTATAGACACTTAAATCCCCTCTTCTGTCCCTAGAGCTGGAATTCTTTATTGTACTTGTGTGCGTATCCGTATCCAACTTTGTACTTTCCGTTCACTTATATAATTATGTAGCGCATGAGTATCGTACACAATAATAAGTATGTGGTGCAATACAAAAGCCTCTACGACCGGGGGTTACGCACACGAGAATAATTCATGAATATCCCTAATCTCCGTCTATTTTCCGTGCGTGTTCACGTATAGCGCGCAGACTGGTTGGACCGCGAATCGACGCAGAGCTATATATAACGTGGTATCCCCCGGTTGATCTCGATGCGAAACGCTCGTCGATCGGCCATGTCTTATTTTCCGCCGGAGTCTATTATGCATTAGCTACTACTTTGCTTGTTCCTGACTGGTATTGAGACAGACATTCACAGGAAGTATAATATTATGTTAGGAAAATATCTACATTATGTGGTAAGCCAAAATTCAGCGAGATGCACCCCCGATAAAAATGGTTATTTAACGTGTATATCCGACTCTTCAAATATTTTTTTTTGCAAGTTTTTTTTGGTGTTTTTTTCACATTTTGAAACTTCACTCACTATTTATTGAATAGTACATTATAATGTTTATAGTTCTGGCTCAATATTCATGACGAATTCAATGTCATTAAATGAATCCTGAGCATAGCAGAAAGATGAGAACTGTGCCATGTTTTTGCTTATTACGTATTCATGAGGAGCAAATTCGTGCATACGATATGAATAAATGGAATCCTGGACAACTCGCCACAAAGACAACCCGCCCCAAGACAACCCGCCACAATACCCTGGACATCCCGCCACAATACCCTGGACAACCCGCCACAATACCCTGGACAACTCGCCACAGCCTTTTCGGACAACTCGCCACACTTTTTTCCCCTCATGATTTCTAGATCTAAAATCCCTCATCTTAGATGAAATTATCATTTTTCATGATTTTCGTGCTTTTATAAACACAGTTATGACAGGAAACATGGAAATTGTGAGTATTTTGAGAGCTGTTCTAAAGAATAAAGATGATTTTCCTTGCGCTTGCAACAAGAATCTATTTTGGACGAACCCAAGCCAGGCGTACGACTACGAGTTACGACTAGAAATCTACGATTTTTAAGTTCATGTCTCAGGAAACTTTTTAATGGTAGGATATGCTGCTATGTATCTTTGGCGTATCTTTACATTCTAATATTACCTTTTTTTTTTTTACCTCAGCGAAATTATCGCTCGCCTAGGCCTACAAAGTAACAACTAAAAGATTACACTTGACTGTGCATTCGCTTTGTACTGTGTCTGTGAGCTGTAATTTTCATTTTCCTAAAATTCCGTACAAATTAATGAACACTGATGGGGGGGGGGGGGGGGGGGGGGGGGGGCAGTTGCTCCCCAAATAAAAATACAAAGTGGTTTATTTCTAATTCGATACCAGTGATTTACAATTGTTGCTGAAATGACATGATATTCAGGGATTTATTCTCATTTTTTTTTATAATTATACCTTTTTACGCGTTTGTTGGAAAAATTACAATCAGGCAACCAACAAATATGCTTATTTTGAAGCCTTTATGTCAGGGCCTGCACTTTTTGAAAAAGTATGTTAAAGAGAAAGAGGAAGAAAAGAACGAGTGACCTGCTAGTTTCACAAATGATGTTTCAAAATATGCTCATCTTGGCGTAATTAAATGCCTAAATCCCTGAGGTTACAGGGGCTCCGTCCTCTGGACCCCACTAAGGGCCCTAACGTGGGCCCATGGATGCTCATCGGACCGTAAGTATACATACATAAAACCCATGAGCTTCTGGGGGCTCCACCCCTTGACCCCTGGACCCCACTCCACGTCAATTTGCGCTCAACTCACTTTGCTCACTATACGCTCTATCAGATTGTTGATACTCCACTTCAAAAAACGTTCCGCCAGGGGCCTGCATGTTACGTGTAAGAGTGGTGGCGATGCAGATTTTTCTTCTGCCCCAAAAACGTTTTTGCGCATTACGCCACTGCCCCTGGAGGGTGAGCCCCCTGGAATATTCCCCACCCACCCAAGTGACCCAACCCAATCCCAAAGTGCTTCCGGCGCGCCAAACTGGTTGCGATGTCAGGAATGCTCGTCCCGGCCTCTTTGGTAATCCTGGCAGTGACAACAAATATATTCCCCACTGAAATATAGTACTACTACTACTTCACTACTACTACTACTACTACTAGGCCTACTACTACTAATAATAATAATAATGATGATGATGATTACAATTTAACGACGACGGTGATGATGATGACGACAACAATAATAAAAAGTACTAATAATAACTGCAAGAATCCAGACATTGTCTTCAGGGACAACAACAAAGTAAATATCATCGAGGTCATCGTTCCCCATGACATCAACATCGCCATCAAAGAAAGAGACGTCTCAAGTATGAAGACCTCAGGATAGAAATCGAGAGGATATGGAACGTTCCATTCAATTCAATTCATTTGATATCATTCTCCATTAAAAAATATTAAAACATACAAACATGGTATATCTAGCGTTAAGCAATTAAGAAAACTCGTAAAATTTATAACAGTTATAATACAATTCTTTTTGTTGGATCATAATGCTAAAAGGCGTGGTCCTATTTTTGTTACTAAAAGTGTAATAGGCCTACTCGTAGTGGTAGACAAACCAATCCACGTGATATTTTAGACTTATAACTTTAAATTGTATGTAGGGTATACTTAGTCTTTAGCTCATGTTTATTGTGTTTTAGAAATATAAAAATGTATATATCATGTCTATGTATTTTATTATCATATCTTACTTTGTTTTTATATATTTTTCTGTATTGTGTTGTAAATATGTGGTGCTATCATACCCCTGAAGGGGGTCCATAGAGTCAAATGAAATTTTATCTTATCAGATAAAAGATTGATTACAAGAAAAATGTGGGGTTAACAAAAAGGGCAATTAGCCTTATTAGCGTCAATCACTTAGCAAGAATATACTGTATTGTTGAGAAAAGAAAAAAAGGGAAAGGGAAAGCAGAGGGAGCCTGAACACCAAGAAGAAGAAAAAAGGGAAGGAGAAGTGCATTAACTTAAACGTAATGTCATTTATTTTGACTGGAATACAATGATAGAATATGGGATTTATACAATCGTTTAAAAATACTAATTTATTTAGAGTTTTTCATATTAAACGGGATATTTTTCCATAAAACTGGCCCTGTAAAACATTAATTTGTACGGAATTTTAGGAAAATGAAAATTACCAGCATTACGAGTTTCATGAGAATGTATTTCATAATTAAATTTCAATTTACATGACATGGACCTTTGCAATAAACCCTTGCCACATAAACAGAAATATAGCAATATTAAATTATTTATATCACGAAAGTAACCCAGAAAATCTAGAAATAAACCACATTCCAATTTTATTTCGCGGGTCAACTGCCCACCCCCCCCCCCCCCCCCTATCAGTACGCCAGTGCTTCCAGTATCCTACCATTAAAACAATTCTGGGACAGAAAAATGCAGCTGTTATAGACCTCTAGATCAAAAGTATATTATTGTTACAAGGGAAATCAACTTTATTCTTTGTAATGACCGTGTTTATAAAAGCACGAAAATCATGAAAAATGACAATTTCATTTCAATATATATTATTGTTACAATTAGGGAAATCAACTTTATTCTTTATTCTTTGTAATGACTGTATTTATAAAAGCACGAAAATCATGAAAAATGACAATTTCATTTCAATATATATTATTGTTACAATTAGGGAAATCAACTTTATTCTTTATTCTTTGTAATGACTGTGTTTATAAAAGCACGAAAATCATGAAAAATGACAATTTCATTTCATTTTAGATCTAGAAATCATGATGGGAAAAAGTGTGGCGAGTTGTCCGAAAAGGCTGTGGCGAGTTGTCCAGGGTATTGTGGCGGGTTGTCCAGGGTATTGTGGCGGGATGTCCAGGGTATTGTGGCGGGTTGTCTTGGGGCGGGTTGTCTTTGTGGCGAGTTGTCTGGACCCCGAATAGATGGAAGCGAATTCGCGCACGCTGCGGTCTGACTGTACAGATTAGTATATGGCGCGCTTTCAACAAACCAGGAAGTTACTCGAACGTGAAATGTGATGACGTCATGTAGCCTGTCGTTTTGTATTCGTTTGTGTTTGTTTCGCAATAATCGTTGAGACGACGAAATCGATTTGGGCGTACACCGCATTGCTGAATGCTGCATGCTACGTGGACCCTATAGCTATTTTGAGTCATTATCAACGTGATACCCTGTTGGAGTAGAAGCAACGGAGTTTGCTCTTGATCAACTACTGAAACTTATTACAAGTTGAACGTTTTAGATTGCTTTTTTATTAGATCTACTGGCTTACTGCAACAAAGTAGTTAGATATTATTATTATCCAACCTCGGCCATGCCACAAGCTTACATCTGCTCTTGGATGGAATTGGAAGTGCATGAAGTTATACCACCACTCGTATACGTTGACAAGAAGAGTTCAGAATCAGATATGTCCACTGTAGTAGCCTTATCGGAGATATCTGGGAGTGAAGACCAAACGAGCATTATGTTGAAAAAGGTTATTAAATTGAAGAGGCGTTACAGGGGAAAGCGAAAACCAAAGGTAAAGGAGAATCGTCGACGAGCAAGACCAGGAAGGTCCCGAAGCGGTTTTCCAGCAATCGGCGCACCATTTAACAATAATGAATTTTTGATCAACCAGAATGAGAGAGATGCCATGATAATTGATGGGAAACAGAAGTGCACAGCCACAGTAATGACGCATGGTAAAAGTGATATGGACTACTACAACGAAGCCAACGAGGAACAAAATTTCCTTCACCATTGCAGTGACAAGGAGGATAATAATTGTGCCACCACTTGCTCAGAAATGATGGCTAAGACTTGCTATGGACAAGATTCTTCTCCACATTGCACAAGCAGTAAGAGCAATGAAACATCTGACTATGATAGCCTGCATTCCCCTTCTGAATCAAGCAGTGGCTGCAGCAGTCATTGCGAAACTGAACATGCCAAAGACAACATTTTAAACGATGAATTGTTTGACATTGATTTCGCGCTGCGAAACTTTGAAGCAGATTACTCGGCACATCAATGGGAGCTGAAAGAACAGTTGATAACTCTTCCAAGGCAGCAGTTAGAAACCAGATGTTCACTACTTATGGACCAATTGAAAGATCTAGAGGAGAGAAGCCAGAACATGCAGATGATGCATGGAGTCAGTCGGGTCAAGGAGTTGGAACTGGAGCTGGAGTTACTGAGGGAGGAGAACAGGAGGTTGAGAGGCGTCGCTGCAAACAGTCCGACAGCAGAATGAAATAATGAGGGTGATACTTAGCAAGGAGGAAAAATTCCAGTTGGATTTCTCATGCCATCCTGACGTAGACTGAAGTTCTGCCCTTCGTATTTTTGCATGGAATGTGGCAGTCATGGAGACCTGAATTTTCTACTCTACACACGGACATGACTCGGAAAAGGTGTGCATGTGCCTCGTGTATACTATCTATAAATTTGAATAATATTTCACATGCTCACCAATTAGTTTCATTGAAAAAGGAAAATGCTTAGTAAATAGTTTAATACTGAGTGTAGACTGTAGCCTTGTAGGGAAGAGGAAGTCTTATTCGCCATATGGAGTTTACCATACATGTACGACTATGATGTATATATATTTGTGGACTCTTTTCCTTTCGATGAGTCGATGAGGATAATGGAAACTTTATGAAGATTGTGTCACTTACTCACTTTACATATAACAAATTCTATTTTTAGTCTTTTGTGGTCTGTACTCAGTCACCACTACTTGAATGTACAGTGAAAGATTAGAGGATGATGAATCTATTTTTGGTTAAGAACTTTGTATGGTTGTTTTGAATGTTATAATATTTATTTAAGTATTCTTTCTTTTCTAGGAACTCCAGAGGTCTACATGTACATGTAGCAGTACGACCGAGCAGATGGGAACTCATATCACATGGACTGGTCATGGCTAGTTGCTCTCACCAATGACCAAGGTACATAAACTAGAGTGTATCAACTATCAAGAGAGCAACATCAACTTATCCAGTCCTTTTTATTTTGTGATTTTTATTTTTTAAGATTGTGACTTCCATGATCTCCACATTATAACCGTCATATATTATGTGCAATTTCAAAGTTATCATCGTGAACGAGGTTCTGATTTTTACTTTTCAGTGGAAGCTTAAAATTGGCCCTTAAATTCTCTTTAGTTAAAAAAAAAAAAAGTTTTTTGAAAGGGGGGGGGGGTAACAATTATCAACAAAATATTCATATTATTTTGAAGGCTTATTCCTTATTGATTGAAGTAGAAGTAGAAGATCTGACCCCATTTGTAGGGGACCATTACATTTCCTTCATTCTTTGTGTATTTGGATTGGAATATTTTCACCCTCTACATTCTTTTGTCACCTACAGATGGCTTCCAGAGAGTGGCGACACCATCACAGAAGTTGGCAACACTTCTCATGGTATCATGGTATAATTGCATGTCCTTTCATATTTTTCTCAGTTACTATGAGGTCATAGCCACCTTTTTACATTGATAGAGAAACTAGTAGATCATCAGTACTTGTATTTTCATCCTAGGTCTTTTTAACACTGAAAAGTAAGGGTTAGGGTGGGTTTTTAAAAAAAATAGCTATTAATATATCACCAAACTATGTAAAACTTTGATTTCTGTATGTGATGTTAACTGCTGTGACTCATGTTGGAATTGATAATCATTAGATTTTTTTTTTAAACTTCCACACAAAGTAAGCATTTACAATTTTACATGTTCATGTTTTATGTGTTTGTGACTTTTGTTTTATGTACATTGCCATATCCATAATTGTGAAATTTATGAGTTATTAAAGTTTCAGATATTTATCAATTAATTAAAACATGTTTGATGTTGTGAAATGTGACTTGTATTATTAGGTAATGAAGCAGATTTGTTTAAATGTACTTAGTACATGTAGTTTGTTTAAGTATGATCTATATGTACACTAATTCATATGATCTACAGGGAGGGAATCCGATGCAAGAGCTCAAATGAGAGTGGATGAATTCAAGGTTTAGAGATAGAGAGTTTTCTTGTAACTTGTAATCTTGTATAATTGAGTTACATACTGTAAGCTCTTTCATGAGATGGGTGAGTTCTGGTATTTGTACAGATGAAAAGTAATCAACGCTCTTTCTTGTTCTTTTAATGTCACTTTGGAAGAATATCATAGCAGAAATGTCTCCTGAGAGGATTGCCTCTTCACTGCCCTGCCGTCACTGAAGTATGATGAGCAACAGCTGAAAAGACCACATCGTCATGCCACATGACTGTGTATCGTCCTGCACATACATTTCTGTTTATTTTTATTTGCTCTGCATGTGACTTACAACAACTGAATCAATTTCTTTACATTTGGTTGTCTCCAAAATCTCATACATGTAGTATTTAAACCAATTCTTATGTACTACATGCAGAATCAACCCGATCTTTAAACTTTTCATCCGTACAAGCATGTGTTCACCCTCATATTAAGTTGGTTTTAATGATGAAATGAAAGTGATAAAAGCAGGGAAATGACAGAAACAAATGAGTGAAAGTTTGAGCAACATCCAATTAAAATAGGGAAGTTATGAATTGTCAACATTGAAACAAATTGGTAACACTATGACTTATCTTGTGAGCTCCTCTCCAATTTGCCTCCTACAGAAAATTTCATAAACTTTCATTTATTGATGACGGAATAGATTTGTTTCATACAGGGGTTGTATAAAAACATACAATGTATTTGCAATAATTTTATTTAGGATGAATGTACGATTGGAAAATATAGATTTTTGAAGTTATTTAGTATAGGGCAAATGAGAGGGAACCTAGCAAGATACGTCACAAAGTTACCAATTTGTGTTTGTTTGATTGATTTCACCTTCAAAAAATCACAACTGCCATATTTTCAAATTTCAATCGTTTTTTGCTGGAACTTTCACTGACCTGTTTCTCTCATTTTTCTGCTTCTAAATCTACTTAATATCAGGGTGGACTTTCTCCTCAAAAGCCTCAACATTTTCAAAGAGTTTGCACAGATAATGTACATATGCCAAACCAAGTTACAAGAGTGAGTGGGTCAGAATTGCATCTATTTAGTATAGCGAACGTGGTGAAAGTTTGATGAGAAAGAGAGAAAAGTGGGGGGGGGGGGGGGTAGAGGGGAAAGGAGATATAAAAGCACCTACCGGTATACAAGATTTGTGAGGTCGCAGTGTGTGTATTGTGTTTTTACAGACGTGTGTCCAGTCTTCCACTGTTAGCTGGATTACAGGCGCACGCCACAACGCCCAGTGCGAAAAATTATATCTTATAAAGAGGAAAAAACCCAACCCGGATAGCGCATTCTTATAATGGAAGACCTTTGGGGGAACTTGCTCTTGGTCGCTTTGAATTGGGGGAACTTTTAATGATGAGAGGAAAAGGAGATACTTATCGAAAGGGATAAAAAAAAATTAAAAAAAGGAGCACGTGTCAAATTACACAGGATAATTATCAGAGGTGACAATTGGGCACTTCTTCTTATACACCTGAAAACCGGCACTTATGAGAATGGGAAATGGGCATTTGTAGAAAGAAAAGGGACTCCGATAAGATTTTATTACTGGCATTTATCGGAAGTGAAAGGGGGCAATTATGAGAAGGGGAATTGACTCTTATTACAAGAAAAAGAGGCACATGTTTTATGACTGATTTTATTACTGGCATTTATCGGAAGTGAAAGGGGTATTTATATGGGAGGGGAAGGGAAAAGAGCATTTATTAGAAAGGAAAAGGAACAGTTATTATAAAGTTGGAAAGGGGCACTTATCAGGAGGGGAAGGGGCACGTGCCAAAGTAAAACGAGCATCTCTCAGATTTGAATAGGGGCAATTATTGGAGGTGACGGGGCACATATCTGAAGTGAAAATGAACAACTTTTCGTACCTGAAAAGGGTCATTTATCCGAGATGAAAAGGAGCACTTATCAGAATGAAAAGGAACACTATTCATAGGTGAAAAGGGGTATTTATGAGAAGGGGAAGGATATAGTTCTTTCTTTTTTAAATGGGGGTACTTATCATGAGGAAAAGGGGTACTTTTTTAGAAAAGAGGCACATATATGAAAATAAAAGGTGCGCTTATATGAGTTAAAATGGGGTAGTTATTAAAAGGAAAAGGGGCACTTTGCAAAGTAATAGGGGCACCTCTCATATTTGAATATGGTTATTATCAGAAGTGAAGGGGGGCACTTATCACAAATGAAAAAGGGCACTTCCTAGAGATTTAAAAGGGCACTCATGAGAATGTAAAGATGGACACTTATTGCAGAGGAAATTGTTGAAGGAAAAGGGGCACGGGCCAAAATAAAAGGGGCTCTTATCAGAGGGGAAGGGGCGCTTTTACAAAGTAAAAGGGGCACTTTTCAAATGTGACGAGGGGTGATAAAAACACCATTCCACTGCAGCTTGTACGGTAATAATGCCTACAATTTTGTAATGTAAATGCAGCAGCCATGAGTTATAATCTTAAACGAATTGCAATTGATTACTAAATATAAAGGAAAAGTTATACTTATCAATATTACATGGGGAACTTATCATTTTGAAGGAGCGCTTTTTTAAATGGAAAATGTCGCGCCCCCACACCCACCCCCTTTAGCGACGTCCCTGGTTGTTATCCCGTTATTCTTTTAAAAGAAATGCAATTCCTCATGCTCTCGCACCTCTCTTCTATCGTTAATTCTCTTTCATCTTTTTTCCTTTCTCCTTTATCTCACAAAATTCTCTCTTTCCCACCTTTTTTTCCATCTCATTTTTTTGTTCTTCTTGTGGTTTTTTTCTTGGGGGGGGAGGAGGGGGCTACACACCTGGCAAAAGGGACCCCATATTATGCACACTGCAAAATTGCTTGCCCCGCCCCTTTCCCGGTAAAAAAAAAAAAAATCTTATAATATTATCCCCCTTTCTTTCTTTTCCCCTCTCATTATTCTCCTTTTCCCCTTTTTCTCTCCTCCGTCTTCCCCCTTTTCTTCCTTTTCCGCCTTTTCACTCCTTTCTCTTCCCCTTTCTTCCTTTCGCCCTCCTATTCTCCTCTCCCCTTTTCTCTCCTCCCTTCTTCCTTTTTCTCTCTTCCCTTTTCTTTCTTTTTCCCCTCCCTTTTCCCCTCCCTTTCCCCTCCCTTTTCCCCTCCCTTTTCACTCCTTTTTCTCCCCTTTCCCTTTTTCTTCCCCCCCCCCCTTCCCCCTTCCCCCCTTTCTGTTATTTTTTTAAAACGAAATTGGGTGTTCTCTTCGGGGAGCTCGGCGCTCCGGATCAACGCCATCTACGGCCATAAACGGGTTCGTTCGATCCGCTCGACGACACAAACGTGGAATTCTGACCCCAATACTCTGCAGAATCTAGCATTTTTTGTTGTTTTGCCGCCGTAGGTTCTCAATTTAGACTCAATTATGAATATAAGATGTGCGAAGGTGAGTAAATGCGGCCATTCTTGGTATTGTGGTAAACTTCATTATGGTAGCAATTCATGAATAATACCGTTTTAATCTAGAAATCTAGATCCTATTGAAATTCCAATGAGTCCCACACGTCTGCTCCTGTGTCATGTTTGACATTTTGACCAACTGTGCATGTCTTGGACTTGGGGGAAATACTTGAAAATGCAATGCACTCGTACCAGTACTACAGTGAATTGAGGGTATTTTATTATTTAGAGACAGAACAGCCCTATACGCTGTAGTGGACGCGCGTTTGTGTAAAGAAACGTTACACAAAACTTGGCCAAACTTGATCCCTAATTTTGATATTTTGCCGGATGCGTATCCGATGCATTTCAAGTCCTAAATTAGCTAAATGCTTAACTACTTCGGTTCCACTTACCAACTTGACAACTTAAATCCCTTTGATGGTCCCTTTTCAAGAAATTATGGGTCAAGATCGACATCCATGAAGAAAATCTTGCAGCCGCGTCTCATTCCTTCTAGTCTACGCCGAAGGCAAAATGCTTATAACGGAAATAGTCTACTGTGCACGAGCTACGAGTTCTAAATCGGGTTGGAGGTCAATATCATTTAAGGTTCTAAGACACGGGTGGCTAACCCGCGGCCCGCGAGCTTTTCTGGTGCGGCCCGCACGTAGAAGAATCCCCTATCCAACTCAGTGAACGGAAATACGCGCCGCTGATTGGCTGATCGCGCGACCCTCGCTTGTCTGCTAGCTGCGAGGTATGGGCGATTTGCTACAATGTGCGCGGTGTATTGTACCTGGTGCACTACATTCGACAGGCAAGCAGCCTGTTGTGTAGCGGCCGTGTTGCGAGAGCGGGGCTGTTCGGAAGATTTTGGCAGTCTGCTAAACTCGAACACCAAGCAAAAAATGGCGACCAAAGACACATTGAGTGTATGTGGTTTCAACATAGGGTGTACCGCTCTAATGGGTGACTTTGTCACAAAAAATCCCTAAACATGGGTCCCACTTCTAACAAAAATATCATTAAAAATGCGTCCGTTTCTTCAAAATTTTCGGGCGTTTGCTATGCTAACACCCCCCAAAACACCCGAAAATTGTGGAAAATGGGTCTTTTTTCGAGAAAAATTACCCTTAATAATGGGTACGGGTTTCGAGGCTTGAGCGGCACACCCCTGTCCAAGCCAAATCTGAGTATCCCCCCGGGCATTAACATCACTTGCCATGTTAATTTCATTTTGTACATATAAGTTAATGTTGTGAATCGAGAAATATGTTTGAAATGTCATGCTTGTCTTGAATTTGTAGCCCTTTTCTCCCGCCGTTTTTTTTTCTTCACTGATTTTGTTTGCTTGTTTGTTTTTGCAAAATTGCAGGTGTGTACACGTATTGCATGAGAATTTTTTTTTTGGGGGGGGGGGGGGGGGGGAGAGAAGACTACCTATGGCCCGCCAAGTAATGCCAATCGTTAGCTGTGGCCCGCAAACTTTAAAAGTTTGGCCATCCGTGTTCTAAGACCTCATGCATTCAATGTTTGTTCCCACACAAGAAAAAACTTGCAAACTACTAGCTACTTGTTGGGAAAATTTATCAGAGTGATATTGATCGAGCTTTCCTTATCTTCCAAGTGTTCCTGATGATATTTATTGGTCTAAGTACTAGATTGATGATAATGTTTTAATCGGCCAATACAGTGGACAATGTATCAAGAATTTTAATTAAAAAACTAAATTCTTAAAACAATCATTTATTATTTATTTCTGTTAATTAACCCCCCACAAGTGTAGGAATAGGAGGGGTCAGTGCATAAGTAAAACATATAAATCAAGTTCATTGCATTTTTGTTTGTATAACACTTGACTTTTACAGCCGGAGGACCTGATAAACATGCAGCACTGCAATCTACTGTGTCTGCCAGAGAACTACCAGATGAAGTACTACTTCTACCATGGGCTGTCCTGGCCTCAGCTCTCATATGTAGCAGAAGATGATGATGGCAAAATTGTCGGATATGTGCTGGCTAAAATGTAAGTTTATGAGATGTTTTCCTTCAAGATTTATTTCTCTCTTTTATATTCAAGCCCTAAATTTGATTTTTCCACTACATGTTAAGCCTTATAATAACAAGTGGAATAAACCCTTTCCAGTTTTGCCACAGCAGAAGTGGAGAAATCAGAGAAACAAGTGAGTGAGAGTTTGAAAAGTGGATTATTTAATTTGATATTAAAATACAAACCAGTGCAAAACAACAGTATGAATTATTCATGAATTGTAAAAATTGCAGTGAGTTTCAAAATAAGAAACTGTTAAAAAACACAACAAATGTATTTTTTCTCTCCCCCCCCCCCCCCCCCTCTCTTTTGCACAATGTTACCTTTGAGATTCTTAATCCCTTGTAAAATTTGCAAACATGAAAGTTCTTTTTTTGCAGTTGTGAGAGAATAACATCTCAAACTTATGATCAAATTGCCAGTTTGTATCCATTAGAAAGCAACCTTTTGCATACCAACTGCTTGGATTCATGGATTGTTAATACATGTAGCTTTTTTGAGGCAGTACTTGAATATCATTACCGTATATGGTGTGCTTTACTTGGTTACAGGGAGGAGGATCCTGATGAAGTACCCCATGGTCATATTACATCACTGGTTAGTATTTCTATCTCATGGCTCCTATTTGAGATTTGTGTATTAAAGAAAAGTGTTTTAGTCAATTGAAAACATAATAATAAAAACAAGAGCTTCATGGCTCAAATTTGAGTGTGTATAAAGAGGTGATAGTAATTTTTTTAATGACAAAAAAGGGGATTCTGCAATATGTTTTTGATGAAAGTTGTTCCATTGTTTTGTTAAATTTTATACAATCATTGTCATAAGACCCCTGAGCCCGGTTCCTTTTTTTTTGGGGGGGGGGGGGGGGAGGAATGGGGGAATGAGTTATTCTAGTGCTGACACATTTCCATTAGATTGATGTTGCCTGGCCCTCATTCATTTTCTGTCAATTTGATTACCATAACCGTACACTATATTTTTAATTCTTTTTATTATTGCACATTTCCAAATTTGTCATTGACTTTATTATTATCAGATTGACAGAAAATCATAAGACAGGGTAGTTGTAAAACTCCTATATCATGTAACATTTAGGTTTTACTATTTTATCTATTTCATCTTTATTTTTTCTCATTGGTTTACAGGCTGTCAAGAGATCTCATCGTAGACTTGGTCTAGCACAGAAACTCATGAATCAGGCATCGTTAGCTATGACTGAATGCTTCAATGCTAAATATGTTTCATTGCATGTCAGAAAAAGGTTAGTTTTTCCTGAATTATATGGGAGGACAAAATGATGAGGGTTGTTTTACTTGGCATGAATCAGTTATTGTCATTAAATGCCATTTCCCAATATGTTATGGAAATTCAGATATGCTTGTTGATGATATGCTGCTGTCTTTATTGTAGAGAAAACTTTTACTCATTAAAAGAAAATCATGGTAAATCTGTAGTTATTATGAATTAAGCTAGTTTCTAATTTGATCAAAATGTTACTATAGCTCTTGCTATTGTACAGACCAATGAATATGTCATGTTGGCCATGTAAGATGTCAGCCGTTGTCAGAACATACCTAAGTGTATATCTGTTCCATATTGATAGGTATTATCCTCCAGATTCCTCAGGGGAGCATCACAAGTACGTGATGTACAGAATCATCAGAATTTAGTTTTACAGCATGTTTTATATTTCTGGGTACGAAAGACAATATAAGTTTGGAGATTAGTAAAAAGATTTCTTTCAGTAGGGAATACAAATTCTGATATTTGGCAATTGTTCATAATGTTATTTTCGACAGTTTGATTATCCCTCTCAAGTGAGTACTTTTAAACAGGCAACGTACTGTTGATAGATTTACTCAGTCACAGGCAAGGATAACTATTTCATTCATATCCCTCAAATGAAAAAAAAAAAAAAATCTCATCACATAATTTGATCTGTTTTTCTTTTTTCCTGTAGCAACCGTGCCGCTCTCCACTTGTACCAGAACACACTCAAATTTACGTAAGTATACCTAATGATCACTGCAGTGTCACATATAGCAACTTGGAATGTCTACTAGTGCTTTGTACTGTAATTTTCTTAATTGTTCTATGATTTATTTATAATTTCATCTTTACTTTTAGAGGAAAATGTCATACAAAAGTTTACTTGCTCCAAATGAAATTTTAGCCACCAGTACATCATTAGAATATTCAGTGGAAGTATTTTTCTTGCCCTTCTCAGCAAATCTTGTAGCTTGCTAGATAGGCAGGCGTAATCTGAGGTCTTAATTTGCTTTTGAGGAAAAGTGAAAGGGAAAAAGTGTTGTATTCCTTTACATTTGTATTCCAGGTTCCTTCAGCTTTCCATTGGGATAAAGTTGTATTTTCATCGAATAGGATCTTGAAATATTGAATAAAAAATACTGAATGCAAATACCTATAAAACTATTACAGCTACCTACATCAAAAAAATAAAATGTGCGTCTTTGTTATTACTTATATATATCAACATCCCTCTTTCTTTCTTTCTTTCTCAGGACCAACGATATAGAACCCAAATACTATGCAGATGGTGAGGATGCCTATGCCATGAAGCGAGATCTAACAACCTTTGGAAACAAGGTATTTTCATAACACCGTTCTCTTTATTTGCCATGTTATCGACTTGAGTAACTAGTATTGAACAACTTTATTGTATATCACATTAGCACAAAATGAAATAGTAAATGGATTTCTACATATGTGTTGTATCAATGAAACTGTTCAGTGAGAGAAAGAAAACAAACAGTACAGGAAGAGAATACCATGAAGGAATTAAATAAAATGAAAGAAATCTCATATTCAATATTGCAATGAGAAGTGAGAATATAGTTAAAGGTATAGTTGAGTATTGGTAATTTCCAAAGTGCCCCTCCAAAACAGATTTGGTTTATTTCAGTACCATATGAAAGATCATCGAAAAAAACATGGGAGATGATAATAATTCCAAATCAAATGCTCTAATTGTTGTGCAATTTGCTTTCAAAACATTATATAAAAGTGTTTGACGTCCGGACATCACTTTTGACTTTCGACGGTTTATTTTTTGAATTTACGTGTTTAGCTCCCTCTATGTCATTTAACAACCAGCGTATTTACAACGAGTGTTTGAGTTCGTTGGTACGTACAGTACTACAGGTAGCTAGCAGGCGGGTATCCGACCGCGCGCTAGTAATACAGTACAGCTGATCAATTCCAATACGCTGCTTTCACGTAAAGTATAACACACACAGCTCATATCAGATTATCACCGGCGCCGATCGAACGCTAGACAGCTACAGACAAGCTTTGATTGAAATACGATAACGAGATCGAGATTGGAAAAGGAGCTCGAGGTCACGGACGATGGCCGACTCGGACTCAGCTAGTGCTAAGCCTAAGGACAAGGCTAAGGCTACGCTAAATCGGAATAAGACTAAGTAAGACGGTAAGAGGAAGGAGAGAAACAAGCAATGGCAGCTCGACCATCCGGCCCAGAGGAGGCGCGGGAGTGGCTGTGAACAAGGCCAGGGTACGGCGGAGAAACTTCGCGAGCTGCAGGCGGCCTTCTCGTTGCCGAGTCTAGAGGATGCAATAGACATGCCAGGTCACTGAGAGGTAAGTTGAAATGATATACGCCCCACTGCATTGGGTAGGCCTACCGTTTTAATTTGATCTAGTCTAGAGACTAGATGCATGGAATCGGCAAATTTAAGAAATTACGTTTTGTTATCTCTTGCCTTGGATTTTTAATTCAGATTTCATGAATCATATGATATTGATAGTCTAGCCTAGGTCTACAGTAGACCGAAAGCTTCAGTCTCTATATCGTCGGTTGTTCCACTGAGACTACGTCTGGCTCCACTAGACCTCCGGATGAATTTGGTTCAAATGAAAATATTGGAAGCATATGCGATCCTACAATATTCAGTGAACGTTGTCGCGTTGAAATCGAGTCTAAAGTGATGAAATTGTAAATAATAATCTCTTTATGGGGTATACTATAACTCTCTCTCAAGGTCAATATATTAATTCAGCTATACAACAAGCTACAATTGACCGATTGGCTATTACCTTTTTGAAATTATATATCACAACTACATATTCCGGGATTTTTATGGTAGCACTAGCAGCTACCGTTGTACGACCGTAGGCGCTATTTTAAATTTATCAAAATTTACCGGGAGCACCGGTAAATTTTTATATTCAATTTTTTTCGAAAGCAGAAGTGTTTTAGGAGCTAAATTTTCTAGTGCTTATAATACTTCCACAGGGGCATCCAAATATATCAAAATTGTAAAGAATCACTATCCACCCAATTTTCAAAATTTCCCAAAACTTTGTAATAGACCCTACCTTTAATGTCCCTCGTTACAACTGCAGTTTTCTTTGTAATGATGACGTGCAGGGCTAGTCAACCGGGTAAACATCCTGCTCTTTTTAAAAGTCGACAAGGTTATACTATAGCTTGCTTGAGATGTGACTGTCTCATCTATATTTATCTCTACCAAAGAGTGTCTCAACTTCACATACATGACAGAGAACCAATGCATCAGTTATTAGTCATGCAAATTCCAAATCTGGCTAGCTGTGATAATTATTAGAGAATGCCATCTTCAAAATAATTTCTTTTGGTGATTTAAAATCTGAATGTTTTTTACTTTGTGAATGACTTTCGTTTCTTCACTTTTTACAGATATGAAGAACAGACAACACAATCCATCCCCAGCGAAGAAATTCCAAGCAGCAGTAGGGGAATTAGCAGGTGAATAGTACAAGTCACCTTTGACCGCAAATTCATGGAGAACTTGGCCTACTCTGCTGATTTGCTCGCTTCAGGTAGGATTCTGTATACATGTACGAAAGGCTCTGTAAATTGAGAGGAATTTAATGAGAATGCGTTCATTACGTACATGTTTGCAAGATTGAGCTCTTTTTCGGTTATGACCTATACAATTGGGACATATCAGCAGGTCAAGATAATGCATCTTATTTGCTCATGTGTATGACATGGGATTTTCAATATTGATTTTGTGGTATGAAAATAATGAAATGCCCTATCATTTATATCAGTTTTTATTTTGTTTTCATAATTCCTTAGGCACACCAGCATGCTCGAGTGTTTCCACAACCATATACTGATGTACGCTTCCAAGCGGTATTCCTTTGAGTAAGTATTTTTAGTATCATTTTGTATGTTTGAAGTAAGATTGTCTGTGGAAAAGTTGAAACATATCATTACAGTACGGTTACAGTTACAATATCATATTTTGAAGCAAATAGCAAAGTTAATGAGAAATTATGAATGACATCTATATAAATGCTGAAATCACTTTTGGATGCATGCAGAGTCTTGAAACAGCAGACTTTGTATCGTACTTGTGTCGGTACCTGATGTTAAGTCAAGTTGGAGTGGTTGTAGCAGGGAAATGTAACTACCTTTAATTAAGAGTCAATAATTTACAACACAAATCCAGAACTGAAGTGAATGGCTCGTATTCACAAAGGAGGTTTGTACAAACCATGGTTTGGCCAAGGTTTACATCTATGGAATGCCATTTGTAAACTGATGGAGAAGGAATGTAAACTCCATACTTGTTAACAATGTTAATTTACAATTTACGGTATGCGAGCAGCATTCCATAGATGTAAACCATCGTCAAACCATGGTTTGTACAAACCTCCTACAAACCTCCTTTGTGACTACGGGCCAATGAGTCTGAGATTTGTCTAAAGCATTTACTATTCATTCATCATGGTAGTGGTAATACCAATTGTTTGTCTTATCCATCCAGCTACCCAGCAAACCGGGCAAGGAATTTGCTTGCGGTCATCGACTACATGGCACACAAGGACAGGCCCGACCAGATTGATGAACAAGGCAATACAAAGTGAGTGGAAATTAGAAAGAAAGAAAAAAAGGTTTTCTTTTCTTTCTTGTTTTTCCTATTTTTATTTGTACATTTTTTTTTAGATGGACAAGGCAATCCAAAGTGGGTGGAGTAAAAAAAAAAAACATGATTTTTTGTTTTCCCTGTGTAGTTGGACAGGGCAATCCGAATTGGCAGTTCTTTCCCATGAAATTTATCAATTTTGGGGAAATTATTAAATATCTAATTGTCCTTCCTGGGAACGCCCCTTTTAAATCGCCAAAATATGACGTCATCTAAAGAAGTTGTCCCTGTACACGACGCACATCTAAATTATGTAGATGACGGACTGTAAGCTGATGGTTTGTCAATCATGCTGCTGATTTTGGACCCTAAATGCGGACTTGGATTCAGTGTAATAATATACTTGGTGTGTAATGCAAGGTTCTGGAGTCATCAAAATCATCATAAATTTGGCAGAGTTTTGGTAAAGTAACAATCACTTACACAGAAAGATGTATATGGGACAACACACATGGTGTCGGCCTGTCGGGGCTAGTACTACCCTGATTTCCTTATCTTTCTATGCTCATTACTCAGCCAGTATACATTTTCTTCCAAAATTGTTTGGCACATGACATTTATTTGTAATCTTGAACATTCAGTGTAAGTTTCGTTAGATTCTGTGAGAATTCATTTTCTTTTTTTACCAGAACTCAAGTTTATCTTTAAGAGATATGAATCATTTCCAATTGACAAGAATGAGTGTGCATATAATGCAACTTGTTACATTTTGCATGTTCTTTTATTTTATGATACAGATATGTTGCAGTATGGTCAAAGTGTGCCAACAACTACGTGGCCCGGAAGGAGAAGGTCCCCAAGACCTACCCCTACATGTATGTACAAGGACTCATCGGTGCGATACTGGAACGCAGAGAACAGGACCAAGGACCACTGTTCTCGAAGGCTGTTCTGCTCCCTGATGACCCTAGACACACAAGGCCCCAGCTTGCACCATTTCCTCCACCACAAGTTGATGTGATCCTAGCCAGGAGACTAGGCCGATTAGAGAAATCCATGTAATCCTCTGTAGTGAACATTTGGGATTGTCTGACTTGAGAACTGCTTTTTTTCGAGCAGAGACTAAGGGATCCAAATGGCGTCCTTCCGTCCATCCTCCGTGACTGTACACAAATTTGAATGAAGTCTAATGTGAAATCTTACCTGCAAAAATCAATTAGGGTTGCTAACTTTCCAACCCTGCATCTGTTTGTAACCATACTTGATTGGTAGATGCCCTTTATTGGCCTCCATGATATTCTGGAGTTGAAGGTCACATAAGTAGGTCAAAGGTCAAATGAGGTTCATTGTTGCATGATTGCATGCAAGACTCTTAATCGCCTCGATTTAATTTGTCCATGTGGCATGTTTTTAGGCTATCTTGAGGATTGGTTGGAACTTAACATTTTGGACTCATTTGGTTGCTAATGATTTTGTGGTCCGGAGGTGAAAGATTGCATGGCTTAGCATTACGAGCATGTATTCTTGATATGTCAGAGACCCTTTGACAAAATACCACCAAACTTGATACTAGAGTGTCCCTGGGGATCATGGGGATGTGGTTATCTGGAGAAAAAAAATCACATAACACATGATATACATGTACCAGAAATAAATTGTTATTGTTGCTAGATTAGCCACCATGCTTGGCACTTGTATATTGTATTACAATAAGAGGTTGGCAAGTTTACAAATGGAAGAAATGTAGGAATATAAAAGACAAATTGTGACATCAGTGTATAAAAGCTCTATGTGATTTATACAATTCATAATTTGTGATAAAATCAGTGCTTGCTCATGTGGAAATGGTGGATATTTCAATTTGTATCTATTTGGCAACCTATATTCCTTGAAGAAGTTACGGTAGTAATTATAAAATTTACAGCCAAGAGGTCAAACCATGAGTCAACAATGTGTTTGGTTTTAGTGACTGTGCATGTAACTGAGGTGACAGTCGATCATGTAAAAGACTATACTTCGGAACCTGTTGAAAATCAACATGGACAGAAGAAAGATTTGTAGAATATCTTATTGTAAATAGTCTTCATTTTTTGTTTAATGCAATCAATGTGACTAAAATAATGCAAGCGAAAAAGAGAAATGATCACAAGACAGCAAAACAGTTGGTTTCATGCATCATTTGAATCAATGAACGTGAATCAGCTCAACGCCAAAGTATTGTGGTTCAAGGTTATACCATCAAGAGATATGCTGCCTGTAACTACTTTGTAGTTTGAAAGGGTGTATAAAGGAAGAAGGATACAGTTGGGCAGGCGAGTCTTTCTGTTGGTCTATTGTAAAAAACTGGGTCAAATTTTTTCCAATTTTTTTGCAAATTGTAATAAAACTTGGTATACCGATTGACCCGAGGGTGTGCAAGACACATTTGTTGTGTCTGTCTGTTAAGGTACCTCCATGGTAACCAAGCTTTGCACAAAGAATACAATTTTGTTTTAATAATCTTGTGGAGCATATTCTTTCCAAGTTTTAGCAATTTTATAGTTTGGTATCTTTGATGAGGCATTATAATAACAGTATAAAACTCAATGCATGTGCAGTGTGTAAAATAAGTATGTGAGCAAACTATTGGAAGTAGTTTGATCGATTCATATGAAACTCAGTACACACAACGAAGAATTGTCTTTTGTGTGCGTATAGGACATGACCAGTTTTGAAATGTCTGTGCTATTTTTTTGAAAAACCTTATGTTGGATGTTAATCACTTGAGGTGATATTCATAGTCGAGCATTAGGGAAGATGAAAGACATATATGTACCTAACTATACTTAATTTTGTGCTGAAACTGATATGATTCAGGATTTGAGATCGATATGGAGTATGTATACATGTATACTCGTACACATTAAGGAAAAGAATCACTCAGACAATTTTTAAAGCATTTATATATAAAGTAAGATGTGAAACTTAAAAGATAAAACCAGTTATGGTCATGCGACTGCATTGTGAAAGGATTGTTGTGGAATCGATCAGAAAAGGTTGATCATCTAGCATATAAGTCTTGGTGTGTACTGCAAGGTTCTAGAATCATCGAAATGATAAAAAAATTGGCCCAGTCTTGGTAAAGTTACAAGCACTGTACACAGAAAGATGTATATGGGACTACGCACAAGTGCGCGACACATGCGTTATATCTATCAAGTCCAAATAGATATAATAATTTACCAAATATATCAATTAGTAGGCAGTTTCTCGGCAAAATTTGTATGATCACGTACTAGTCAAAACATTGTGTGCGGGCAAGCACTGAATCAAATGACCGGGGTAATAGTATATTTGTCAAGCGCGTAGAAACATTACTGTTATAGATACTTTTCTTTGGTAAACTTATCTACACATTGCCTATAGAGTATGTCAAGTTTTTATGAAAGACACAAGATAAGATGTATATAAATAAGCAGTAACTAATAAGTAACAAGACATGGTGGTATACAAATAAAGTATATTGCTCCTTCTTAATGACGACGGTTAAAGTTGTCATAGCGATAGATGCTAAATAAAAATGTGCCTTTTTTAATACACATGATCTGTTTGTATGCAATGGTTGGAATCAACATCACGTTTAAATATTGCCTTCAGTACAGCAAGTATAATTTGTATTCATCTCAATAATGTTGTGTAAATTTAACTGTTAGTTATGGCCGAATAAAGCTTTCAATGTACACCATAAAAATATGTTATGTATCTTCATTTTAGCATTACTATAATTATATTAAAATCTTATGTCTTTACACATTTACAAGTTATCACGTACTGACGTAGGTCATGCAATACACAGGCACTGTAGAACACAACTTATTTACAAGAAGTTACAATCACTTTTTTTTTAAAACTTTACAATTGCATGCAGTACCAAAATAAGAAAAACAAATAAAAAAAATACTGAAAAACACTGCATTATGGACAAGTATGAATCAAGTAAGATGTTAAATTAATTCACTACTGTTATTCATTATAGTATACTGATACAACAATTTTTAATATTTTTTTAAATTTATTTCTTTTTATTTCTCCACTTTCCCTTTAGCCATGTACCTTCATGTTGTTATATATGTTAAAGGTGTCGCTCTGGACCTATAACATATGATAAGACAAAAAATCCACCAGTTATTTCTGATTTCTATCAAATTTTTAGATTTTGTGTTGTTGTTGTTGTTTGGTATTATCGGCGTTTCATTCTTTTTTAGAATATTTACGCCTTTCACTTTATTTCTTTTTTTTCTTCTATTTTTGGTACTATTTGTCAATTCATATTCATCTCTTTTTTTTGGATAATATAATCTCAGATCTACTGGTCCATGAAAACCCCTCACCGCAATTGGCACCTTCCTGCCACACCTGCGCGGTACATTGCGCAATCTTCTCGGCCATCATTGGCCTAGGCAACTCTGGTGCCGGTGAGAGGATTCTGGAGTAGATCTTTTGAGTCTCTTGTTTGGGGTTTACCGTCCTCAATCCGTCTTTACTCTTTCTTACCTTTTCTCTTCTAGTATTTTTCCATTTTGTAAAACCTTATTTTTCTATCAAAGTGGGTATCAACATCTTAGGGCATTTGGTTGTCGTGCGATATGTGCCCAAAAAAAATGTGGATTTAGTAATTCCTTTTTGAATGAAACATGGATTTAGCTTCTTTTGGAATTGAATGGATTTAGCTCCTTTTGGAATGAAACTGTAATAATGTTGTTTACTTTCTTTTCGAAAGGTTATATTTATGTGTGATTTCACTATTATTATTTAAAAGGAAAGGTTTGCTGCTAAATTTGAATAAAATTTCAGTGACTTTATTGAGAAAATATGATTTATTTTTTATTTTTTAGGTACAATAACATGTTTCATTCCAAAAGGAGCTAAATCCACGAAAATAAAAAATAAAAAAATTTAGTAAACATCAGAAAAGCCGAAGGGAAGATTTTTTCTTATCATTATTGGCAGATAATCAGGTCCATGCAGGGTGACACCTTTAACATATATAACAACATGAAGGTATACATGGCTAAAGGGAAAGTGGAGAAATAAAAAAGGCAATTTACTCAGAAGTACCCAAAGTGGATTTGGCTCCTTTTGGAATGAAACTCTTCACATATTATAAAAGGAAGACAACTAATATAAAAGGAAAAACGAAGGCCCACGTCATTTACATAGAAGGTAGGTGGACAGATAACCTCGATGTTTTTAATCTAATTTCATCTGATCATTCCACAGCTTTGTTCCTACAAACGAAATACAAAATTGCCCTTGCGTTGTCTCACATATTGGTTGATAGATAGAGTAAGCCACTTTCTTCACACTGTAGAAGTAATCAACTGGGTCATACCAAGGAGTGTGTAGTAACTCCTTGGTCATACGACGTACAATACATACACATACACTACTACTAGGTCGAGCGTACTCGCACTACATACACATACAGTATTCGCATATCGCGCTCAAATACCATAATGTGTACAATATAAATCAGTCAGCGCGCTATTAGACATGGTTCGGATATTACTTGCACGCCCATATCCGATCGTCGTCTTGGCGAAAATTCACGGTGTGCTGCCGCTTGACCGAGAGGTGGCGCTATACAATTACACTGAACACGCCTCGAAAGTAAAATTTTTGATAAATAAAATCATTTGCAGTCGAACAGGTTTTTTGCATATAAATTCACTCTAATGTAATATTTCGGATTTATATCTTCAATGATGCATTCTTAGACATTTATTGTATGTTTTTTACGTTTAGATCATAGTTTCGTTCGCTAATGTGAGTATTGACCAACACTCAACTATTCCTTTAACAGAACGAAGGACACAAATTTGCATGCGATTTGTTTTGCTTTTCTCCTTTTCCTTTTTTTTTGTATTGCTGATATTTGACAGCTAGACTCTAATGTCATTTTATTTTAACCTGCCCTGTACCAAACACTACAGCAAACACATGAACCATATAAAAAAAAAGGACTTGTACCTTTGTTAGCACTACCAAATTCATTATTTTGTTTAATCATTAATGTGAAAGTAATATCATTTTTATTTTGTGTTTTATCACTAATTTCAGAAAAACAGTGTTGAAGACGTAGGGAAGGTACTGGAGAAGATGACAGTGGAGGTGAGTGGAGAGCAAGAGGATACGGCCGAAGGGGCATCGGGGGATGGCACCCCCTCTCCACCCTCGGGGGTAGCAGAGAGGCTCCTGCAAGGAATGGAGAAACAGAAAGAAGGAGAGAAGAAGTCATCTCAACAAGGGAAAGGGGGCAAGGATGAGGGCGGTAGTGGGGGCGGGGTGGGTAAAGGAAGCGGGGAACATCCACCCAAAACAGGAAGAGAATCTAAGAAGAGTAGAAAGAAGGCCAGGGAGGCAGCTGCAAGGGCTGAAGAAAAGTCGTGAGAGAAGAGAATGCCCAATTTCTTTACATGTAGCATTTCTTTTTAGTTAAATTATCGCTTTCTGTGATTGCCTAAGTATTTAAGTAATTTTGTTTATCTCCACCTTTTTCCTGTAATATACAAGAGTGTGTATTATGGAAATGAATCAGTTGCTGGGAATTTTGGAAATGATATGAAATTATACAATGCTGATAAACGGTGATTACCAAAAGTTGCAAACACCTCTTGATATGGGCAAGTATTTTATTACATTTCATGACATTGGGGTCAGAAGAGCAGGTAAGCTGTGAAAAAAAATTCACCTTTTTTTTCTCCCAAAGAAATATTGAAAATAAGTGACATAGATGATATATAGGGTTAATACTGTTAAGAAGCTGTCTTATATGTTTATATTTTTTGAATGCTTGAAAGCATGAGGTTCAAGTTTATTTAATTCCAATTGAAAGTACAAAGGAGGGATTTTATGATCAGAGAATATTACAAGGTATTGCAAACATTGTATATTGTGTTTTTACAGCAAGAAATCTGATAAAGTACTTCTTTTATCTTACTTACTGTATAACAAAGTACAATTTTAAAATTCTGACAATTCAGTGTTATTTTTTCTTTATCATGCAAATAGTTCACATGCATGCTCTTATGTAAATGGAATTTCTACCTACAAAAGTGAAGAAAGAAAAACACCTATACTGGAGGGATATAAACTTTTAAATGAGAGAAGTTTTTCAATAAAAAAACAAATCCAACGCATTTCGCGGGAAACATTGAATTCAGAAATAAACATGACCAAAACTAAAAAGAAATAACCATCTGGTATGGGTCATTCTTTAATAAAACTGACATTTATCAATGTTCCCCATGTATAGAGGCGGTCAGTGGAGTCATGTATTTGCAATCATTTACAATGCAATATGCTACCATCTGGAGAATGTATCATTGATACTCATGTGGTAATGTAGTATGACATTGTACCCATTATACACTTAAATTAGGTACTGTTTAGATATTTGGGAGAGCAAATAAAAGTGAATGAATTAAGTTTGAAGCAAATCTAGTATTAGAAACTTTTGTTCTCTGTTTTCCTAATGCATTTATGAAGTGGCCTTAAAAAAATACCTCAATATTTTAGTTTTTTTTTTTATTTGTTAAAAGATACATATGATTTTGCAACATTCCCCTTTCTAGGTGTTGCTTGTATTCTTCTGGAAAAAAGTCCACAGTCAAACTCATTGCAGACAACCACCTAACCTAACCAAGTATAGAAATGTGTACTACTAGTTATTCATTCAATTGTGCATGTTTTGTCCTATGTTGCCCGTGGCCTACTACCACCACCCCCCCCCCCCCCCCCCCCCACTGTACCTCATTAAATCTTCCTAAAACTATGTTTTAACATTAACATACGTTGGAAAGAGATGTCCACAAACTAAAGACAAATATATTTTATCCTCTAGTCCATTTTGGTAAACCATGCATGCGTTTACTGGTATGTTGTAGCCATGTTATCAAGAGCAAGAGTTAGAACTTGATTTCGTTCATCTTAACAAATCTACTTATTTACAGTGCACACATTAACACAACAAAATGGACATAAAACTCTATATCATAAGAAATGAGACATTTTATTGGGCTATTTTGGATGGCAAGAACAAGGGATGACCATGAGTATTAATAGCAGTGCAGATCCATACAGTACAGAGATCTTTAGAGAAAGTCCTTTTTTTTAAGCAGCATTGTCATACAAATATACAGTTAACTCTGCATACCTAAGTCAAATCTGTTGGGACCGCAAAAATAGTTTGCCACATGCAAAATTCAGTGAAGTGTAAATAATACGTTTTGCATTATTTGGTTTTAAAAATTTGACCTGTGCAACTTTGATTAATGCAGAGTTTACTGTATATATATAATAAAAACGAGCAAGTAAATGCAAAAGTATATGAAATATTAACTACCGGCATAGTAAAATTTGGCAGAAGAACACCCTGTTTAAACCCCATTTAGTACATTCATTTCAATACTATATTAACAAAACAGATATGTCTGGAATTGGTTATCAGCCAAAATTATGAGAAAATAAACGTGGGGTACTATGAAAAAAAAAATGTACAGAAACGAGGAGTAATAAAATATATACAGTTAGCAGGTAATGTGTGATATATATAAAAAGTTGAATTTTTCTATTTGATAAAAATACTGTTTGTAATACATTTATATACAAAATAGTCTTCTTTGGGATATATATATATTATTATTACTCTGTGATGGTATAAAAAAATACTATTGTGAAGAAGAAGGAAGCAAACCAATTTATTGCTTTGGTGAGAATACAAACAATAAGGCAATGTTTACAGATGATACCAAAATCGGTGATTCTATTCATTTCTACTCCTAGAGTGCATCAATTATCTGCAGAAGTAGTTGATAGTTATTTGTTTTTGATTGTAGGAAAGACTGAAAGTATCTCTCTACACAGCCCAAGTCACTCTTTTAAATCCCTATTTGCCAAATCACAAGGACCTGACACACCCTTTTGTTATGTTTTGTCTCCATTCGGCAGATTTTCAACAGTGATCACGTTTATATTGCGTCCATTGAAACTTGTCACATACATTCTTACTCTCCATGCGGACTGTGCAGACTATCTTGATTTTAGTGTCGCAACAGTTTTAAAAGTCCAAAATTATTATTATCTCTGTTAATCAATGTAGTTCTGATAAAAGTTTTCAAGGTATGAGAGAAAGACCTGAAACAAAGCAATGTACCAGATAATTGCGGTTGGTGAACCTACTGCCGACTGGAACTGGTTGGTTCCTTTATTAAGCCTATTTTGTGGCTAGGCCCCCAAGGTGCTTCCTTGGAGTCTACAAATTAGTGTATACCAAAGTACAGGTAAAAAAAAATTTAAAGAAATTAAGCAAATTAGGGTACTGGGCATTTGGAATGAAGTATCGCTTTAATTTGTTTCCTTTCACATGGAGCACTTGGTAGTTTTAAATATAAAGTCTATTCCTTCAAGTTTACTTGGAAGTTTCTTGGTGGGCTAAACCGCTAATCAGTAGTCTACCATGTTGCTGCAGCTTCATCTTGTATTAACCATCAAAGAATCCAGAACATACATGTACATTCATCCATCATATGTCGGGTGTCCTTTGATCAGTTCTAGTGCAACTCGTCACTGTAATGATCATCACCGTGTCTAAGGCATGTTCAAGATTGGTCATTTCCAGTCAATGCTATAGACCTTCCTCTCATCAATGCCTCCACTCTTGAGGTAGTTCTGATCACTGACCAGCCAGTAGGAGATGTCATTGTTGTAGCCGGGGTTAGAGCGCTTGGTCCGCTGGGCGGTGGGTTGGAACACTGCATGGCTGGACCTCTCGCTTCGGGACCTGGTCTCTGGCATGCAGAGCTGGACCTTGTCCAAGAGGAACCCGGGCCAGAAGACATCGTGCTCCGGAGCTTTCTCAAGGCTGATATAGCGTTGCTTCAGGTGACTGCATCATGAATGGAAAGGTGAATAGAAATAGTCTCAACCAACTAGCAATATCATGTCAAGAATACGACTAAAATTTGATTTGTACACCAAGGTCCATTCAAGGAATATGATGTACCCCATGAAATATCGGAAACAAGAATGGATTGTTTTGCAAAATATTGATCAACTTCACTAATATTCTCCCAGTATTCAGGGTTCTGCACCAACTTTTGTCATATAGGGGGTCCGGTTTGAGATTTGGGAGTCTGTATGCATAGGGAATTTAGGGATCTAGAGTTCGATTGTTCCTTTGTGACTGTTAGTGTTCAGCCCTGCTGTAAACCTTAGGTGTTGAATACAACTGTGTTTCTTTAAATGTTGTGCAAAGTTAAAAAGGCTTACTGTTCCGTACAATTTCTTTGCAGTTCTTTATCGTGTGTGAGGATGGAAAATACTTACCCGGTAAGTTTGTCATACTCCTCAAACGACATCCAGCAGTCAATCTTCCTAGATATGAAGGCCTTGCCACTAGAAAGGTTCTGCATTTCTGGTTTGGACCAGACATTATGCTTCTTTGGGTATACATGTCTAGAGTCAACCAGTACTTCTCCTGAAACATAAAATTGAATGAGCATGATATTTAGCTCACGACTTGTGTTTGTTCCTTGTGTATTCTTAAAGTGACTTCATGGTTCACCCAGCTTTATTGACTCATTAATAAATTTGATATTGATGCTACGGAAGATGATCATAGCACTACAAATAGGATGATTTCAAGTGTAACATATGGTCACATATAAATTCAACAAAGCAAATTGAATCCTCAAAGACCCTATGCAGGTACGGCGAGTTGCCCAATGACGACGTAAATGTAAGTTACTAGCCATATTATTACAAACCCATTGAAGGAGCCACTTTTATGGATAGGAAGACTGTTTTATCCTGCCCTCTGCCCCCTTGATGTTGCCAGGCGTTAAACGGACTATTCCATGGGACATATCTTCTGTATTTCACTCAACGCACCAACCCCATTGCCCTCATGGTTTTCCATGACCTCGGTTAATTGGGTGGACAAACGGACCCAGGGTATAGCTGCCGTCTCTGCACCCTGTGTAATATGTCTTCGTTGCCTACCACGTACCCTCCCTCCTTTGCCTTTTCCCCCTAAAGTAATTGCCCCACTGGAAAACATAAACATGAGTATATGTTTAACCACTCCCATCCTACCATGAGAATGTCTATCATAATATACCAAATAAAAATTTATTACCAATAAGCCCATCATTTTCACAGCCATTCAGTCAGTTGATATCAAAAACTGGCTTAGTTATTTTGAACCCCAACTCATGGCCCATTCACATATGCCAGAGGACTTGATGGTACATGGGGGTGAAAAAAGTAGCTGCATGCAACAAAGATTGAATGCATATTTACTTATCTGTGTGCCCTAATTACAAACATTTGAAGTACAGTACATTTCAGTAAGCTTAGAAGAACAATACTGTTAACTTTAACGTTTTCGAGTGGCATGTGTGAATGAGCCTTTATTTGGTAAAGTTTGTCTACTGATTAATGGAGGACCCAGTGTTAACCCAATTCCTCCCACAAAAATTACAATAATACTTTAACTAGATGATTTTTAACAAAAATTATGCCATGGAATCAAATTATACGATATGTTTATTCATTTTGTAACAGAGTAACATAAACTTGAGCTGTCTAAAGTGGCTGACACTTGTAGTTGACTCTAGCTGCTCCACAAAGCTGTGGACCAAGTCTAATCAGGATGTAGCATTTTCATGCCAGGATTTGTATGAATATGGAGATACAAGAAATGCATAACGAACCTGACTTGGTGACAACAACTTTCTCCATATCATGGAACTCATCGGGTGACTCTGGAGGCTTTGGTGGCTCTGCAAATCTATTGGACATGGTGTGAGTGCCAGGCTGGCGGATACGCTTCTTTAGATGGCTGACACGTTTATCACCAGGATGCAAGAGTGCTGAAGAGATCAATAAAGTTATGACAAGCATGGATCAGTGGTTTAATAAAAATTAAAAACAGAGGAAAAAAAACAATTTCATCTGCAACAGCAAGGTTCAGTGTTACCATTAGTTTTAGATATTAGAGGGGATCTGAGCTATAAAGAGCTTAACCTGAGTTCAGTGTAAAATTAGTACCATTTGCAATACATGCTCTTTAGTGCACTAAATTGGCCAAAGAAATCTTTAAACCAAGCAACATTCAATCCTCTAATGACTGGTATTGTAATAACTTTCCACCTTATCATGACATGTCTTTAAAGGCTTGCGATTCATTACATTATTCAATGTACTTGGTGAGAATTTGCTTGAGAAATTGCACAGAGTCCTGACAGCCGCCTTGATTAATGGAACAACTGCATTTTTCACCTTGTAAACCATCTCACTCATGAGCATTAAAGGGATCCGGTAACTTTGTCTTAGATCCTTTAGAAATAATCCTTGATTTAGCTCATGCTGCAATGATAATTATAAACCTTAAGGTCAGTCAGGAACTCCATGACTTTTACGAGCCGATCGCCTGCCTGATTATCAAGATATTAATGATTGCCGAACGGTTTTCATAACACTACAGTCTATTGGGGAAAACGAGTACGGTAAAACCAGTCACTCAAAGATTTTTACTTTTTTGAGGCACTTCTTGATCATTTTGAAATGCGATTTTTTTTTAGGGCTTCAATGTTACACCATATCACAGACACTGGTAACATGTAGGACCGTGTATCTCAGATTTAACACTGTTAAACGATCCCTTTAATTATTTTCATAGAATCCCCTGCAAAACATTAAAACATCAAAGGAAAACAAACATAAAGGAGAATCCCTCACCTCTTTGAAGGAGCTTTGGAGTAAGTGGAATGTCCCTCTCTTCACACAGCCTACATATGTCATGATACTCTGCAAGCCTGGCTGCTCTGTAGTCATGGATCTCAACACCCAGATCTCCTCCTAGGGTAGACACCTTGGAATGGAGGTCTACGGCCTTGTCACCCGTCTTCAGCGGACTCTGAATCGCACGAGGGAGCCTCTTCATCTTCAGCTGCAGGAAATAACAATGTCACGGAATATGTTATGGCTTACTGGTATTCTCAAGCCCGAAAGAACAATTCTACAAAACAGACGTGAAATATTTCTTAAGCCTAATGCACAAAAGGCTACACATAATCAGGAAATCTCCTATACTTTCTCAGCACTTACTCTTTCTTTTTTTTCTCACTCTTTATGAAAGTCTTACCATAAATAGCCAATTCATGTATTTACTTTCGAACAATAATTTCAGTATTAATTATTAATAACATTTCCTTGTTTTGTTGCGATTTTTTTCCCTCTCTGTCCTTCAAAATTATGTCACAGGAATTATGGACTCTGAAAAAATAAATGGAGGTAAACTGAAACACTGACAAGCGTTCTTCAGCTCAGAAGCAGAGGGATAGTTATATATAGTTGGTGCAATCATGACAATAGGTCGCATTCACATAAAAAGGTTTGAGTTTAAGCCAGGACTAAATCATGGTTTAAACTTCCCCCTGAACTCAAATAAGTATAAATAAGCGTAGAGAAGCCTATACATTGCTTGTTTGTTGGACATGAAGATACGCATGTATTATGCTTATAGAGGTTATAACCATGAGTTTCGAATTAAAATGCATGTAAACCACTTTTGTGAACTCATGCCAATATGAGGTTGACTTTCCACATACATACCTGATAAAACTTCAATAAAATTACTAACACTTGGTAACCCATAGAGCTATACATTCGAAGAAGAGCAAGCTAGATACTTACATTATCTGACATGAATCTCTCCCTCTTCCTCTTCTCGATCATATCATCAGGGTTGAGTTCCCTTCGTTCTGTGATGTCATGTTTGGGAATCTCTAAGAGCGATGCCAAAGAGTCTGGTGTATTTACTTCTCTGGTCTCTTCCAGTCTATCAGCGGGCGGTACAGGTGATGATATAGACTCCCTTACCGGGGCTAAATCACTGATCACTCTGCGGACTTCAGATGTCGATCTTGTCTTGACCGGGCTCTTTCGTTCCTTGTCGGCTAAGATTTTTTTTTTTTAAATAGAAGAAACATTGATAAACAGTTCTTTATTCACAATCAGTAAAAACACCTATTTTGGAAAGCTTTCACTTGTTGTTCTACAAGCTTCCTCAGACCTTTTTCAAAGCTATAGAACGAAGTGTGCACATACCGGTACATGTAATTATGACACATTCCAACAGAATTTACCTCTTACAGTTTTCGTGTCCAGGACTCAGCGAAAATCCTCACATGTGTTACAGAACTACATTAGATTATTGCATTTAATGAGGGTATTTATTGCTCTAGAAACATTTATGTACATATTAAATGTATCGCTGATAATCAAGCTACAAATACATTAAATATAATTGGTAGAAAACATTTCATACTCTTAAGGTGAAGCAGCAAGTCATGTATTGGATTTCTTTTACAGTAAATGAGTATGAAATTAATCCGTAATGTAGTTTTGAGAAGACTCAAAAGTTCTGGTAAGTTATGAATTGTAAAGCTTACCCAAGATCTTTCGTTTTCTTTCTTCCAGATGATATCTGTCCATGCCTCTGACAAACTCACGATAGTCAATCTCAGCATTGAGGTCCGAGTCTAAGCTGTCTATTACCTCATTCAAAAGAGTTTCTGAGATGGGTATCTTTGCCTGCATTGCCAATTTGACAAATAGTCAAGATTAGCAACAATACAAAATAACAAAAAACATTGACATACTATTGATTTTGAGGAGCTGAGATTCAGAACTTAAGGATTCAAATTTTCTAAAACATACTGTACACATTTTCCAAGCTCATCTGTCTAATAGGGGGGCAATGAAAACAATTAAAGCAAATGAAAATTTAGAAAACTTATTCTATGAGCATGACAGCGATGGGCATGACATTCAACTACACATATGTACATGTAGGCCTACTTAATACATCCAAATGAGTGCAGCAAATACATCCTACAAAACTACACTCGACAAAAGCACAGACAATTTTACATAAAGCACTACAAAATAAAGAAAGAACCATATCAAACATAAACTGAATTGCACTACCACTTACCCAAGCAAATTAAAAGTGATTCCTAAAAAGCATGCTTTAATTGTCAACATTATGAACAGGAACGTCCTCCCTTACCTCTAGATCATTATTTAACTTTTCCTTACATGTGTATATGTTCTGAAGTGGCCAAAGTAGTTTTATAGCATGAATAAAATCTTGAAAATATAACCCTTTTTAAAAAGATAAAACTCATACCGGTATGTCAAAATCTTATTTAGATTAAATATTGATTTTTTTTGTTTTGTTTAATTAGACATTTGAAATGTCATTTGGCAATATGGGTTATTGCGGGCTGCTAAAAAACATCTTTGATATTTAGTCATAACATTATAAAAGCAGATAATTCTCTTGCTTTCAAATAATCCTTCACTTTATCTGTTAGAAAGGTTGCAATACAAATGATTGTTAGTATGCACCACGCGCCCCACCTCCTTGATGCATTTCCTAAACTCGTCTCTGGTGATGGCCCAACTCTTATCCTTATCAGCCTGGGAGAAGAGATCTATGAGACGTTGCTTCTTGCTGGCCAGGTAGTCAGCGATGATGCCCATCCCTTCTGGTTGAGGTTTGGGTTCCTTCTCCGAGAAGTCTTCCATCTTGATGGTCACTTCTTGGACTTCTTCTACTTTCAACTGGATGCAAAGCAATGTAAAGTCAACGCTAGTATGCATGCAATCCGTAAGCGAAATAAGCAAGTCCTTGCCATTTTTTTGCTGATGTGATGAGTAACTTTCAATGAAGATGAAATGCTTAAAAATGCCTTTTGGGAATATCTGTACAGAATAGCCCGATATGTTCTCGTCTTTTCTTATCCATTTATCTAATGCCTGATATCATCCAGAATGTACTTTCTTGAAGACAAAGTTGATCATCGTGATATGAAAGTACTTTTCAACTTAAGATTAATTTTGGGGGAATTTTTCTAATGACTCTCTAAGAACTCAACAAATGCATGCAGGATGAAACCTAATTCTAAATTGTGAACGATTACATTTACTACATGAAAAGGAAAATTCTACGCCCCAAAAATATGTTTGACTGAACACAGAACACACCCTTTCTACTCTAAGATGGCAGAATCATATTTTGCATGAGTTTAGTAACTATTTGTGCATGTAAACAAAAACGCACAAAACGGCAAAGACATTTTTTTTCTCACTCAATACATGCTAACTGACTACAGGAAAAGGAGAACTAAATAACAGAAAAGAATCATGCTGGAGAAGTACTGCTAAGTCATGCAATACAAAAAACATAGTATTGAAAATACCTTGGGAGGAGGCAGATTCTCGAGGAGAATTTTGAGCTAAGAAAAATACATTTCAATGATAAACATAAAAATGAAAAGTCAAAAAATTGTTTATGTGTCATATCCAGAAAAAATAATGCACATTTGAATTGCATGATCAACATTTTTCAATTAATTTGCAAAGCATTGAAGGAATATTAGGTTGTCAATTCAATTATCTTTTTAGTAGCTGGCAGCTTCATGGTACATTAAGAGCCTTTATAGTTAGCTTATCATGGCCCTTACATCTTTATTTTTATATATTAGCTATGAACAATGTTAATTGTTGCACCAATCACCCACTTATAATAAGCACATGACTACTTGAAAAAACAGATAATGTACAAAACATCATGGCAATATTTTACACAACGCACTATTTGGCAAACGGACACAATTTTTTGTTCATGAACTGCAATAACTCAAATTTTAAGTGCACAATAACTATGAGTTTTAATAAACAAGTCAGTACTGAACTGAAAGAACTATCAGGTGACAAATTTAGCACGTGTACCTTAAGAGCTTTTGCCACTCGCCTAGCTTCCTCCAACTGCAGAAGAACTCTCCTCTCCAACGGTGTAGGATTAGGTTTAGCTCTAAGCCATGACTCTTTCAAACCCATCGACTCTAGACCAGCTCGGAGAGCCATTCGGTCACGTAGCCAGCCCTTATACTCCTTCATTTTTTCTTGCACCTATGAAGAGTACAAATTTAGAAAAATATGTATATAGGTATTTAGCAGAATATGTAGAAGACATAAACTTGTTCTCTATAGTAGCAGTAACAATAAATTTGAATTTGATAGAATCTCAAGTGTATTCAAGACAGAATAAATAACACACTCTAATTCTTGTTATAGACTATCATTCACTTTGCTACCATGCTTTATATTTGTATGCTTTATCATGTGAATAATTTTGTTGTCCTATATCGTTGTAAACAATTTTGTTAAGCAACCTCCAAAGTTTGAAAATGTCCACATATGCCAAATAAATACAAATTATCATGAGACAAGGTTCTGACCTCATTATCATGAATGATCTGCTTGTCCTTCTCTGTCAAGACCATGTCTTCTTTGTTGATAGGTTTCAGCCTTGGCCTTCCATCCTGTTGTGTCAGATCAGAGTGCGCTCTCCTCACATTCACACTCCTTCCTACACCCCCATCCATCTTAGGAGCAACATGGACACGTTTTCTAACTCTAGGGTTGCCAAAGACCCTGGCAGCCGTGGTATATGTCTTGCTACGGATAAGATCCCTGTGCTTGTACAACTGAAATAAACAGATATTAAAAGTAGTAGAGTCCACCTTCTTCATTCACAATGTAAGCTCTTTGAATTAAGGGGGGGGGGGGAATGTTTTTTTTCTATTCAAGAAATATGTTGTATATGCACATGAAATAATCATCAATATTTTGTATCCATTTTCATTGACTGATTATACAAAACAAATCCTTTTGAAAAAAATTGCAAATACCTATGCTGTTTATATGTGTCTGTACAATCTCAATCTCTAATTTGAGCTGATTTTCTTGGACAGTACGAAGCAAGTCCTCTCAACAAATTTGCATTATTGCCATTAAGGTCACAAAATGATTTGTGATGATTTGCCCGATATATTCTCTCCTATGTTTGCTTTAAACATCGTTATTTACTTCTATCCCACAAGACAAAGAGACAATTTCAAGTTTTTCTTTAAAATTCTTACATCTAATATAATTTGTTTGCCCTCCCCAGTCTTTTTTTCTCCAATGCCAATCTTAATTGTTAATTGAAGATGCATGTTCCGATTTTTTAAGGTATAAAAACAAATTAGACTTTGTGCTATGCTAACTAAGGGTGCGTTTAATCGACACTTTTTCACCCTAGAATCACGGTTTCTAAAGACGTTTAGTTTAAAACGCAATGCGTTCAAGCGATTTTTTCGTCGGTCGTAAAAATAAACGTGTTTGAAAACACAAACATGAAACGCTGAAAAAGATGCGTTTTGTATCATGATTCAAAAGAATCACGGTCGCTAAAATTCGATTGAACGGACGGAGTTCTCAATCATGATTGTATGACGAAGCCTCTTCCGGTTTGGGAAAAACCGCGCGCCCGCTTTGCATGCAATTTGCGTTCACTATACCATCGTGGCCTGTTCCGTTATGTTATTCCTTGTTTTTCCTTCTATCATTTTTTCTCTCTGTTTTTCCTTATGTTATTCTTTGTTTCTTCCTTCTATTCTTATGTTATTCTTTGTTTTTTTCCTTCTATCACCTTTTCTTATGTTATTCTTTGTTTTTATCATTCAATCATTTGCTCTTTCTATCTTTCCTTATGTTATTCTTTGTTTCTTCCTACTATTCTTATGTTATTCTTTGTTTTTTCCTTCTATCACCTTTTCTTATGTTATTCTTTGTTTTAAGCATTCTATCAATTTCTCTTTCTGTCTTTCTTTATGTTATTCTTTGTTTCTTCCTTCTATCATCTTCTCTTATGTTATTCTTTGTTTTTTTTCCTTCTATCACCTTTTCTTATGTTATTCTTTGTTTTTATCATTCTATCATTTGCTCTTTCTGTCTTTCCTTATGTTATTCTTTGTTTCTTCCTTCTATTCTTATGTTATTCTTTGTTTTTTTCCTTCTATCACCTTTTCTTATGTAATTCTTTGTTTTAAGCAGTCTATCAATTTCTCTTTCTGTCTTTCTTTATGTTATTCTTTGTTTCTTCCTTCTATCATCTTCTCTTATGTTATTCTTTGTTTTTATAATTATATCACTTTCTCTTATGTTATTCTTTGTTTTAATCATTCTGTTACTTTCTCTTTCTATCTTTCCTTATGTTATTCTTTGATTCTTCCTTCTTTCACCTTCTCGTATGTTATTCTTTGTTTTACTCATTCTATCACTTTCTCTTTCTGTTCTTCCTTATGTCATTCTTTGTTCCTTCCTTTTTTCACATTCTCTTTCTGTCTTTCCTTATGTTATTCTTTGTTTCTTCCTTCTATTTTTATGTTATTCTTTGTTTTTTCCTTCTATTACCTTCTCTTTTGTTATTCTTTGTTTCTTCCTTCTATTCTTATGTTATGCTTTGTTTTTTCCTTCTATCACCTTTTATGCTATTCTTTGTTTTAAGCATTCTATCACTCTCTCTTTCTGTCTTTCTGTCTTTCCTTATGTTATTCTTCGATTCTTCCTTCTTTCACCTTCTCTTATGTTATTCTTTGTTTTAATCATTCTATCGACTTTATCTTTCTGTCTTTCCTTATGTTATTCTTTGTTTCTTCCTTCTATCACCTTCTCATTCTTTGTCTTATTATTGCGATCTATGCTCAAAACAGCAGTCGACAGTCGGCCGTAAACAATTCCACAAAGCGCGCGCCGAAGTTCCTGGGCCATACTGCGCAGTGTGATGCGCAGTGGTTTGGCTCGCAATGAGCTAGAATCAGCGTTGATGAAAAATCGCTTGAACGCAAACCGCAGTGACCTTGCTTTTTGTAACGGCGTTTTGAATTGTGATTCATGTTTGTGATTCTAGCTTCGAAAATTCGATTGAACGCACCCTATATTGCTTGGGTGACTACGCATTTTGACTACGCATTTTAACTGGGTGACTCTGTGTATTGGTGCTAATGCAATATTTTGTTTACTAATTTCCTTATTCTATTGTGTTTTTAATTCTCCCCTCTCACGTCTTTCTCTACTGCCACGGTTTTTACATCTACAATACTTATTTTACCAGGAACCTATAATATACAAGCACTGCTTTTTAATAGGTTTCTCACATTCTACTTAATCTATTATTTGAATTGATAATCATTGAGACGTGCTTATATATATACCACATGTATTGTATAATTTTCATTTTATATGTATGTCTATATTTTTTGTAAAATGTGGAACAAATAAAACTTGAAACTTGAAAATGATCATACTCATTTAAACTTGATCTTCATATCTATAAATGTGAAATAAAATCATTTTCCAACCTGGTAATATTACCATTGATTAACTAATCATGGATTAAAGCTTTTAGACATACCTTCAGTTGCTCCTCCATGGGTAGGAACTCTGTGCTCTCAGGATTAAAAAGTCTCTCTAAACCAAAATCTAACCAGTCCTCCATGCTTTCTCCATCACTCCTGGATTTCTTTTCTTTTCTATTCCTCTTCTGCTTTCCAGGCATCTTGCTGCCCTTTCCTGGATCTGATTTCGCGGTCCGTTCTGCTCCTCCCTCTTGCTCACTTGCCATTTTGATGGTCTAACTCTCTGTATAATTAGCTTTCATAAACCTGTAACATATAAAATCATTAATATTAAATAACTTCACAGGACATGACTTGAGCTATCAGGAGTCGACTTATGGCATCTCATCAAACGTGAGAAAACTTTGCTTTGGCACTTGTAGCAGCATCACTACGCTTTATGTCTATGAAAAAATTAAGGCACCATCTAGACCTATACATTCTCAAACTCCTAAACACTGTTACAGTTAATGACACCTAAATAGCAGGAAAATACAATCACAATACAAGTGCATACCGATGAGCGGGCGAGGGCACCTGTGTTATGTTATCTACCGTAATGAAGATCCGAGACATTACGGTAGATAACTTCACACAGACGCGCGCCCGTCTGCAACTCGCCATCGGTATGCACTTGTATTGTGCAGCGGTTTGCTGTGAAACCTGTGAAAAAGTGTATAGATCTACTAATATCAACGTTTTTCCGAAAAATACTCCAAAAATAACACGAAAATTTACACGAAACAGGTAATAAACATAACGACTAATATTAACTCATGATCTTTATCTGGACATTTAATGAATATTGACTTTATTTTGGGTATGTTTTAGTAGTTACGGGTTTTAGTAGTTACGAGTCAAATTTTGGATAGGCTTCTCGCCTTCTGAACAAGCGCCAAGTTATCAATATCAGTGCATGCACAGATGTAGACCGAAAGCTTCAGTCTCTATATCGTCGGTTGTTCCACTGAGACTACGTCTGGCTCCACTAGACCTCCGGATATAGAGACTGAACGATCGCCTATGCCATCGTACGTTGAAGATACAGTCTACGGGTATACGATAAGACGATACTGCCCTGACGCTAAGTTAAATCCTTTTTTTGTAAGAATCGCATGCACTTTCATATACAATTTGCATTTAAAATTAAACCACACATGATAAACATTAAGAAAATATGTACCTTGGACCTCTGCATATTAAATTCTCTTCAAAAAAGTGTTATTATCTCTTCCACTTGACTGTCTTCAGACGTCAGCCATCTTGAATCAAAGTAATGAATATTCATGCCAAAGTTTTTTAGTCTCCACCCCATTGACCTCATTCATAGACGTGCGCGTACGTGCACGTTCATGTACATCACGCTGCTGCTACTCATGTTTGAGTTCTTGTGTCTGCTTCACGTACGCGCGCTATCCTCGACGTGACGCACGGAGGAGCTAGCCGAGGCGAGGTCATTGAATATTCGTTAGCCACCATTTTGATTTTTGTCGGTCAATGCTTGACGTGGGTCATCGAGAAGCAGCCAAATGCTTGGTAAGTCCTTTTATTTCTTTTAAATTTCTATTTCGTGGGGAAGGGGGATAAAAAGGGAACTTTTAGGGACTGACAATTGCCTAGAAAATTACTGCAATTGAAGATAAATGATGTATTTCCCCTTAAGTTTGTCATGTTTGTGGGAGGGGCCTAACGGCTAAAATCTAGCCGTGATATCTTCAACATACGATGGCATAGGCCATCGTTCAGTCTCTATATTCGAAGGTCTAGTGGAGCCAGAAGTAGTCTCAGTGGAACAACCGACGATATAGAGACTGAAGCTTTCGGTCTAGCACAGATGCAGATTTCTTTTTAAAAAAAAGGTGGAGGAGGAGGAAGAGGAAGAGGAAGAAGAGGAGAAGGAGAAGGGTCGAGGGGAGGATAAGAGATGGAGAAGGGGTGGAAATATAGGACTCTTACTCTAGTACTGCTCCTGTACTGGTTTTAGGAGGAGTTTTGAAGAAAAGCAGGAAGGAGCAATTAGATCTAGGGTAGCGCCCAGTATTCGGTCAGACAGCCGTTTCAACAGCTGTAACAATTTAAAAAATAATTTAAGAGCCACGAAACTTGCACAAATCAGGCAGCTGAACAACTTTTCTTAACTCTCAAAATTAAATCAGATTTAGGGCCTGGAAAGATCTCCAACTTAGCTCAAAATTGGTCAGTGTCGCAAGACTTTCTGCACTTCTGCGTTCTCTTAGCACATGCGCTAACATGCATAGCCATATGTAGAAGTCTATTGCGAAACAACTGCGTGTGCTGTCGCAATGAATTTAGTATGTGTGTGAAGAGAATCACTTCCGTGTTCACTCCATCGCAGTGAATTTGCAAATGACGCATTTGCCGATGTGCGAGAGGTATTTATACGATACCCTTGCCATGCGGTATCGCTCGGCCAGTATTCGGTCAACGCATTGACATTCAGTGCTTTATCGCGCAATTGTGTGAAAATAGTGCGCAAGTACGCTTCGCTCTTTGGCAACGGAGATACCACGCACAAATCGCATGACCGAATTCTAATCGGCGCGACCGAATTCTGGGCAGAAAAATGCTCCGTCTTCTTTCGGAAGTATTTTGCTTATCATTAGGCCCTAGATCTAGAGTAAAGTAGCCCGTTTTCGGCCACTTAAGACAAAATCCTATTTTTAGGACTCTTTACTTCCTATTTATTATCATTTCTTGTTCAAATCATGAAGCAAATATTATTATTATTTACACAAAAAAAGAATCCCAGAAAAAAATCACGAATTGCCATGACAATATCCATTTCAATTTTCACTGTTTTGGAGCCCGTTATCGGCCGAGCGTTTCAGTTTACGGCCGCATGTACAAAGTCAATAGGAAGCGCTCGCGCGCGCCGTGCGTTTCCGCGCTGATGTACAGCACAAGCGGGCGGAGCAGGTATCCCACGCCGGAGCTCCCTGGTGCTCGCCTGGCCGAAGACGGGCACAGCGGTGATCGGAAGTTGGAATCTGAATTAGATAGAGATATCGTGTGTGCGTCGCGGTGTGCGGCTGCATTGATTTAATACATGCGATGACATACTTTTGAGCTTGCGACTAGCACAAAATCGGGCTTTAAATCTGAAAAATACTTGAAATAAAGCTCATTTTATGGTACCCATATTTCTTACAGACACGCGTAAGATACTCGATTTTTCAGATTTGGGTAGCGGGACCGGCGATTACATCGCTAAAATGTGATATTTTAGGATATATTTTCCATTGCAAATGTGGTTCTTCAGTGACACTGGCATGGTATGGTATGTGTGGGATATGTGTTATGCTATTATGCGATGTATTTTAGAGTGATTTTACCTTGTATCCAACCAATCGGCCGAAAACGGGAGCTGGCCGATTACGGGCTCCTTTACTCTATTCTATATTTTAAGTGACTAGAGCCTAGACCTCTATAAAATCCTGTTAAAGGAATAAATTTCTTTTCTTTTGATGGGTAGATTGCCAAATAAAAGAGGTAAAAATTCAAAATATTAGTGATTTCCCCTTAAGTGACCGAATACTGGGCACTCTACCCTACACAACATAAATTTCATCGCATGGGACTGAACTTAAACTTAACTGGGATTCGATTTGTATCTAGATGTCTACTTATCACTCGTAAATGTCACATTATTAACAAAAATATGACCTATAAATCTATGTTATGTTATTGCATTATATCCTATGAAATACTCACACATATAACCGGTCTCATTCACAGAATATACCATTTCCATGTTCCATTTGGCCTAATTTCGGGCGTCATTTGTTGCTGTGCCAACGATCAACTCAGAAGTATATGGCAAGCCAAATGACATGTTCTGAAGTCCACTGATCCCGATGTCGAGATCAAACGACCCCGCCTATGTGTCTGAACTCTGAAATCAGAAAAAAGTCAAAAACCCGTTTTTAATTACAAATAGATCTGACTTCTAAAACATAACTTCGAATATGACCATGTTACAGGTGATTGATATGGAGGGAGAGTGGTGCCATTTCAGGAAATTTAACTAAAATCAGCTCTTTTTTCTTATTGATATTTGTAGCAATCATTCACAAATTAGTTGAGTCTCCTGCAATTCGAATTCTCAAAGTTGAATAATATGAATAAATAATCGCCTTTGAAAAATGATAAATTGAAAATAATTTTTATTTTTAAATTAAAACATTTTCCGACTCCGAATGTCAAAGTCCTAAATGGGAGAATGGGAAACTCCAATAATTTTCTTCCATTATTTTTATCCTTCGAAAATGAATTGTGTAAACCAGAAATTCCAGAATACTAGTTTTGTGGACCAAGTGTAGAAATATTATAATGAAGGGAACTTTTGTGGGATTGGGACCCCTTCCCCACGAATTTGGTCCAGGGCGCGTTCTCTCTCCACCCCCTCCCACCCTTAGAGGCGGCACGCCCGGGGGGAAGAGGGTCACAGTGCCCCCCACTTGTTCAAGTACCCCAAAAGTGCCCCTTTTTTCATAGGAAAAGTTCCCCTTTAACTTTGTAAGAAGCGTCACTTTTTACATAAAAAGTGCCCCTATAAGTGCCCCTATTATTTTTTTAAAGTGCCCCCTCCACTTTCCACCTCTGATATGTGCCCCTTTTATTTTGACACGTACCTCTTTTCCCTGACAAGTTCCCAGTTTCCTTTTCAATAAGTGTCCATTTTCCATTCTCATAAGTGCCCTTTTTAATCTCTAGAAAGTGCCCCTTTTCGGGCCCAAGAAGCGCCCCTTTTCACTTTTGTTAAGCGCCCCCGTCAATTCTGATAATTGCCCTATTCAAATCTCAGAGGTTCCCCTTTTTCTTTGATAATTGCCCTTTTCCTTTCATAAGAAGTGCTCCTTATACTTTTAATAACTACCCCTTTTTAACTCCGATAATCACACTTTATATTTTCACATGTGCCCCTTATTTTTCTAATAAGTGCCCCTTTTCCTTATGATAATTGCCCCCATTTAATAAAGAGCCCGTCCCCTTCTCATAAATGCCCCTTTTCGCCTATGAAATTAGTCCTTTTTCATTCTCATACTTGTGCCCTTTTTCATGCCTGGTAAATTACCCTATCCAATTCTGAGAGATACTCGTTTTATTTTTACAAGGGCCCCTATTCCTCCTGATAAGCGCTCTTTTCATCTCTAATAATTAGCCCTTTTTATTTTGACACGTGCCCCTTTTCCTTCCTAATAAATGCTTTTTTCCCTTCATAAAAGTGCCTCTTCCCCTTTTCATAAAAGCCCCCTTTCACCTCTAATAAATGCCCCTGTCAAAATCTGATCGGTGCCCCTTTTCTTTCAACACGACATGCACATTTCCATTTATTATCTTTTCATATATGGTCAGTGCCCCTTTTCAGATGCGATAAGTGCCCTTTTTCACCTCTGATAATTATCCTTTTTAACAATCATACGTGCCCCTTTTCCTTTCTTATAAGGAACCTATCCCTTTTTCATAAATGCCCCTATCAAATTCTGATGGTTGTCTCTTTTCCGTCGACAAATGCCCATTTTCCATTCTCCGTGCCTTTTTCATCCCTGGTGAGTGCCCCATTTTCACCTCTGATAATTACCCTTTGTACTTTGACATGTGCTCCTTTTTAATTTCCAGTAAGTTTATCCCATCGATAAGTGTCCCCTTTACTCTCATCATTAAACGTGCCCCTAATTTCAAACGACTAAATTAAGAGCAGTATCTCCCAAAGTTCGCTCGGTACGCTCGGGCTCACATTTATAGATGTTATAATTATGTTACTTATCAAAGGTCTTTTCAGTCTTCTGTTATGAGAATGTGCTCATTTATAACCCGATGAGGATTGTGTTTTTCATCTTTATAAGATGTAGTTTTCGCACTGCGACCCCCTGCGACCTCACATTTTATTACGACCATCATACCCAACTGCAAGGTATGATGCTTAAAGGTAATACAAAGTTTTGGGAAATTTTGAAAATTGGGTGGATAGTGATTCTTTACAATTTTGATATATTTGGATGCCTATCTGGATGTATTATAAGCACTAGAAATTTAGCCCCTAAAATACTTCTGCTTTTGAGAAAAATTGAATATCAAAATTTACCGGTGCTCGCGCGGTAAATTTTGATAAATTTCAAATAGCGCCTACGGCCATACAATGGTAGCTGCGACCATGAAAATCTCAGAATATGTAGTTGAGATATATAATTTCCAAACGGGAAAAGCCAATTGGTCGATTATAGTCAAGAAACATTGTTTATAGTTACATTAATATTTTGACCTTGAGAGGGAGCTATACAACATGAAAGTGTTAATTGTTTACAATTTCATCACTTTAGACTTGATTTCAACCGCGACAACGATCACTGAATATTGTAAGATCGCATATGCTTCCAATATGTTCATTTGACCCAAATTCATGATCCCATATACCAAAACTTTGTATTACCTTTAAGCAATGTTTCAAGAGAAACAAATATTGAAATCATCCCTGTAATCAAATAAAAGGGGTATATATACCAATGTCTAAAAAATTGTATATTTTCGCTTTGAAATTTCCCTTTGTAGGTGCTCTTTTTTTCTTCAGAAAGTGCCCTTTTTTGTTGGTGCCCCCCCCCCCCCCCCCCCTCCACTTTGGAAGTCGCTCCACTGCCTCTGCCCTCCCCATCTATGATATGATTGCAGTTCATCTAATTAATTTGGCTTACCATACTGCAGCCAACTATACATGTACGGAATATCAGTGGTGCTGGCCATACATCACTACCGGTAGGCTATTATATCAAGTACAAATACAACAACATTGCGCATACTATGCATCGCAGTCGAAATAAGAGCGCAGTGCATTGAAATGTAGACGTCTGCTTTTGATCCTTACTTCAACTCCAACTGAGCTAGCTAGCCATCATAATTTCACATTGCAAGGTATGATAAATGTATTAACTGATGGTGATAAATTCCTGATACTAGTGATAGTGTTACAACGACGTCGACGATCTAGTAGTCATGGTAATATTAAGAATGAAGTTATGAACCAAAATGAAATGAGTGGAATGTGGTGTAACTCCCTGAAATATTTTGAATGAAAGCGGAAAAATAAGAGAAACAGAATGGTGAAAGTTTGAAATATAAGCGGACTATGAGTATGAACACAGTTAGACTATAGGCCTAGTCTATTACAAGGTTTGAGGTTACCGAGCTGAATCTATTCAATCTATGTGAATTGCAAATTGGCAATTTGGTGACTGGATTGTGACATATTACGGACAACCCTCCCATTTTGTCGTGTAAAATGGTGTAGACCTACGTGTCATACAGTGTTTGTCTGTTTTTCACCCTGGACATATATAGATCACTATAAATCAAAGGATGATGTGGCACAATGTGTGTGCGTGTAGTTTTTTTTTATCACCTCAAGGTGTATCATTAATAATAATTTGTTTTGTTTTTTGTTGAACAAATTTGTCACATTTACGCTGCCGATTCAGAGATTTTAAAGTGCATAGACGATGTAATGTATAGGGCTAACTTTGAATCATCTGGGTCAATGCGTTAAGTCAGATGGTCGTGTTGCACGACCTTTCGTAACTTTGCAGAGGGTTTTCGTAAAGTGTCAGGTAAATTGGACCAGATCATTTGTACTTTACTATAGGTAGGGTGTCTGATCGCGCACCCGATGTTGTGTGCTAAAATCTTTCCCATAGAGATTGCACACATCCCTATGTGGTCTACATGCATTGCGCGACCAAGCAAAATTGGTCAATGGTTTTATGAAAAATTTGAAATTCAAACCTTTATAACAAATGATCCTGAAGGTGAAACTCAATAAATGTGGTGTCATATGAAAGAGCAGGTTTTTCTCCATATTCCCCATAGGGGGCCACCCCCGGAATTCTAAAAATATCTTGCTCAAAACAGCGATTTAAACATCGTTTCCATGGTAACTCGGAGATTTACCAATTTCACGAACTGCTCCCCCGAGGGATAAGTTGGGCCAGCTGTAAAGAATATATCCATGCACTTATTTTTTCTCTAGTCCCAAGGGATCATTTGTTACAACAGTTTGAAAATACCCTTGCTCCACACTTTGCATATCGTGCTGTGCATTAGCTGTGCAGCTTTTGACCAGAAATTATAACTCTGCGTGAACCACTTTTCTGTCCATTCTGACCAAAATGCTATGAATATTGCACAATTTTTGAGGGGCTGTATCTTTTGATAGAAACATCGGTGAGTCTTGAAATTTGAAAGGTATTATTCTGATTACATTTGTTATTCCAATATCAAACAAAAATGGTGAAAAACGATCCCAAATTGAAAATTGAAAAATCGTTCAGACACCCTACTATAGGCCTAGATGAGGCGTTTATTATTATTTTATTATTATTTTACAATCCGACATTACGTGAATAAAGGGGCATGTCTTTACAAATGGTCGAGAAATGCGACCACCCGACCTGACTTGAAGACCCAATGATTCGAAGTAAGCCTATGTACCGGTACGGTTTTTACAACTTTTGAAAATTCATAACTTTCTAACTTTTGTCCATCTTCATTCAAGCTTATAAGGTTGATATGATTTTAAGCAGGGCTGTCAACCCTCCCGCATTTGGAGGGAGTTTCAGCTCACGGTACCATGCTCATCCTCCCGGCTTATGAAAAACCCTCCTGCCACACGTGTAAAATAAACCAGCATATTGTATGCAATTTTTACTTTGCTCAACAGGGGGAATAGGGGGGGGGGGGAGGTATTGAGCACTTTTTTAAAATTTAATTTTTTACTCAACACCCCCCCCCCCCCCTCCCATTCCCCCCTGTTGAGCAAACAAAAACTGGCATACGATCTCCCTCGAAGCAGTTCCCCAAAGTTGACAGCCTTGCTTTAAGGGTCTGTTGATTTATCAAGTAAATCGAGATGACTGACTGAAATCTGATAGTCAAGTTTGAAAATCTAGATCAAAAATTTGTGTCTGTAAATTGGCCTCCTTTTAGACCCCTGAAATAGTTTTTTTTTTCAGGGATATATGTTCCACTGAAACTACATCTTACTGCACTGAAACTCCTCATGGAGGAGATCTGTCAAAAAGTGTTATGAAACTCCTCCAAGCAGAAATATTTTTATGTTTTTATATATTTGTGACATTCACTGAAAGCTGATTGGCCTTCTCAATACTGTAAAAAGGATCCAACCGTGGAGAGGCAGATCTATTGGTCTTGTTAATGATGAGATGGCATATTTTATGTAAAAAATAATTTACTAGGTACATGTTGATGTTCTAATCTAAGGCCCAATTTTGGGGGGATATTACTCATTTCTTTATCGTAATAATGGCCATTGAGTGACAATCGGGATATTTGATATCGGTAGCTGAGCGTTAAAAAAGACATCATTCTATGATTATACTTACATGTACAAGTATACACTTGTTACAATATGAAGACGATCACGATAATTTCACTTTTGATATATTATAATAATGAGATACAGATCTTTTGGGGCAAAAAAATATCAATACTCAACTGAGACTACATGTATATCTGACTCCACCAAAGGCTTCGTTGGAGGAGAGCATGCATCAACAGGTGTAGTAATACTCCTCCAACCAGGTGCATGTTTTTGTTTAGGAAGAGAGATGCATGCTCATTGTGTACTCTGTCTAAGTTTGTCTCAACCCGTTGACTACTGAATTATCTAATTCCCATAGGCTTAACACAGGGACCACCAGGTTCCAGTAAGCAATGGGTTAAGTCAGCTAACAAAATATATTTGTACATTCAAGCAGTTATGGTTATCAAGTCTTGTTTCTGGATTTGTACTAGTCCTGATTGTTGATGTACTTGCAGAAATTTAATACATTTCCTCAAAAATCTGCTGTGGGTAGATTAGTTCAGAACCATCTGTATATTACAGATTTTGGCCAACCGACTGTCAGTTGGTCAGAACATGCTGTACATTCTTTTGTTTTGCACTTGCCCGACAAAGTAGAATTTGCCATATTTGGTATGGGGGGGGGGGGGGGGGGGGGTCATTTGCAGTGTTATAAAACTAAGTGTAGAAAATCACTATATATGCAGTATGCATTTATTATGCATTTGCACAATCATGTGAATGTAAATGTAGTTAACTAAACTAGCCCTACCTTAGTTATTGATTACGAGCTCAATAGTCAATACAAAGGTCAAGTCCATTATTTGTTATCAGCATTGACCTGCACTTGTCATGGATGATGATATGATGGTGATGTCATAAAGGGAATTAAGGTGAAGGTCTGCTCTGTCACCCCACTGTCATGAATTGTTGCTGCACACATATGCATGTACACTACTACACTGCAGGTTATTGTTTGAGTAATATCAACAGATCCCTTCTCCATCATTTACTGGCATCACAGGTGTACTGAAAGTTCATGTGGTAAGTGTGTTTGGTAATTATCATGTACATGAAGTGAAAGTTATATATGTTGAGTGAGTGAAGACTGTCTCTTGCACGCCCTGCAACCATGGCAATAGCTCATTGTGAGGAGATTGGTACTGCCTTCAATATTTTTAAGTGAGAAAGATTGTCACTTTAAACAGCTTGGTATGAATGTTAATTGTTTCCACACAATAAAAACCAGTTGCTGTTCCTCAGAACTTTCTGAAAATGTTAAAGAGGGCTATTTTTGTAGCATGAAAGTTCACTATTTGTGTAATTTTGAATCATTCACATGAACAAATTCTGGTTTTACAGTAGTATCTATTTTGGCTAGTGCTTGGTTGCCAAGGAACATAGGCCCAACTAAACAAACCTTACATCGAGTTAACTTTTTATATTCTGCTTGGTCAATTATTCCAATGCTTTATTGGCTTTGGTCAGCTAATGTACTGTCGCAGTGGACTGCCACACTCAACTTGTCATATAGTTAATACAGTGTGTAATGCGCAAATAGAGTTAAATTTAATTTTAAGGACCAATTTACTTGTAGATCTTGGTCTAAACTGTGTTTTAGGGCAGGTAAACGGGGGGGGGGGGGGGGGGGGGGGCAGCTTCAGGTTGAATATGTTAGTATGAGCTGTAGTTTTAAAGAGCAATGTAAAGCATCTAGGCCTATTCAAATGATACAGTAGTAGACTAGAAGTGCGTGGATGACACTGTACAAATATGTGTTGTCATCCAGGGCAGGCTCTGTGAATATCTTGATAAATCTATATTGAGGTCAAGGGTACTTGGTTCGCTGCACTGTGGTCTAGCTACTCTAGGGTAACCCATGGGTATCTCGATCCAGGGTGAGACTGGGGCTCGGTGAAGCTCAAGGACATCATATCAACATTTTATGGCACTGCCTAGACAGCCTCCGTCTTTTGAAGGTGTATCATTATTGAAGTACTTTTTCATGAGCATACATCACAAATTCAGTCAAAGTGCAGTGAACTTTCAGCAATGACAACAAAACCTGAAAACTTTTAATATTAGACAAAACAAAGATTGTGAGAACTTGTTTCATGCTTTTGCCAGAAGGGTATTTGAAAGCATGCAGGGAAAGATTCTGATGAAACTTCCCAGTTTGATATGTTTGTATGAAAATTGATATTCTTGATATGTAAGCTATATTTTGTCAGTTTTTCAGGAGCTAGGGATCTAGGCTTTAATATTGGTTTTGAAAAGAGTTATACATGTATTATTCATTATATTGCATGTGCCTTTAACATTTTGAAAGCTATATCCTTTACCATATTTATTATTTTGAAGTAAAAAGTATCAGGCTGCCAGGATTTTAATTTCATTTTGTCCTACTACTTTACTAGGTTTAGTTTCAGGGTGTTGGTACAATGAGGGCAATATAGGAAATGGGCATGTATATCGTAAAAGGTAAACAACAACAACAAATATGTAAAGTTTTCATTTTCATTCAGAAACCCCACAATTTTGTTCTCTGTGTCTGATGACATTTCAAAATTTCGAGCATGGAACACGTATATGAGGCTTCTAATGCATTAAAAAAATATATTTTTAGAGAGTGTGTGGATATTAGCTCAGTGAAGCATGGGGTCACCCACAGGCTTCTCTAGGGTAACGCCTGGGGAAGGCTGAAGGACAATGCAGTCACTGGCAAGCAATGCTCACTTCAGCGTGAAGGTAGCCTCATTGAGCTCGACAGGTATTCAAGTCGGAAGTCACGTACATGTTTGGGTATTATCAAAGTGCAAACCAGATCGAGGCAGGCAGTCATTGCTGCTAGCTAGTGCTCGTTGGCCCGAGTTGGAATTGGATGTGAGAACAAGGGATCATTAAGCAGGATCATGTGTGGGTACATACTTCCCATATTCAGAGCCATCATAACATAAGAGTGTAGATCAAGTGATCAGGGGTTACAGAGCAGTTGCAGCTAGGACAGCAAGTGGTCAAGATTGTTCTAACGGGAGCCTTCAAGAGTTGTGTGGTAGTACATTTGCTGGAAACGGCTTGCTTTGATGAGACCTGGGTTTCTGTGTATACTTTGGAGTACGTGAAAGCAGCTTGTATTTATAACCATTTGTAAACACCATTTTAATTTTGTAATATAGTTTTCTTATTTCCATTGCTAGAGAGGATATATAAAGGGTAAGGATATTGAAAAGTGAATGATTTTTGTTTGTTCAGTGTATCATTGTATTCATGAGCTTATGCTTTAGAGTGGCAAAGTTTCAGAGGTATATCAGGCAAGTGTCAGAGCTACAATGTATATATACAAAGATATACAAAGTTTACAAACAGATGGTGTTGCAAATGATATTGGTAGAGCTTTATCTGATCCAGCAACCCAGTGTGATACCAGCAGTTGCTTAGCAAACGAAATCACACAACTTCTTGACTATAAAGCTGTCTGTGACAATCATGGATCCATATTGTAAACTCTTAATTAATAGGTATCCAACCATGACCTGACCAGACTAAACAGACTATAAACAATGAAATCATACAAACTTTTTGTTTTTAATGCCTTAGCCTATTTTTATTGACTCTGTTTAAATTTCTATTTCATTCCAGTTGAATCTATTGTATGATTGGCCAGCTTCTTGGTGAACTGTTGTTTAGACCCATCTGATCAAGAACTGAGCTTTGCCAGCAACTTGACGAATCCTACTCATTATGTGTTACCTTGTTACCTGTGGGAAGTGCGAGAAGAAGACATGGAAAGGTAGGACCACGCTCAGGTTCTAATTTTATCTTTCTCAAGCTTTCATTCTGAATTAATCATCCTGTTTCTTCTGCTAATCTTACCTTCCTTATCTTGTTCCTATTCTTCTCTAATTTTACTCCCTTCTTTATATTTTTTATTTTGTTTTTTTTATGTTACTTTGCTTCTTTTTCTTTTCCTTTTCCTTTTCATCTGCTTCTCTGTCCTTTTGTTATATTCAGATTTCAGATTATAGTGACCTAAGGCATATATGTATTAAAGGGATCGTTTAACAATGTTAAATCTGAGATACACGGCCCTACGTGTTATCAGTGTCTGTGATATGGTGTAATATTGAAGCCCTAAAAAAAATTGCGCTTCAAAATGATCAAGAAGTGCCTCAAAAAAGTAAAAATCTTTGAGTGACCGGTTTTACCATACTCGTTTTTCCCAATAGACTGTAGTGTTATGAAAACCGTCAGGCGAACGGTTTTCAAAATTTGTAATTCCAATCATAAATATCTTGATAATCAGACAGGCGATCGGCTTGTAAAAGTCATGGGGTTCCTGACTGACCTAAAAGTTTATAATTATCATTGCATCATGAGCTAAATCCAGAATTTTGTTTCAGAATCTGAGACAAAGTTACCGGATCCCTTTAAAACTAGAAGCTTTTAATTTAAAGCTTTTACTTGAGGCTAAACCATTTACAGGTGCCCAGGATACATCACCCACAATGTAGACTTAAGTCTAGACTCATAAAATCTAGGGCTTTAATATGTATATGGACCCTAAAATTTATCAATCTAGACCAATATCAATTGAATTATAATGTGGAGCTCTGTTTATTTATTTTGTATTTTTTTTGTTTATATTTTTCTTCTTCCTGTAATAGGATTGCCAAGGCTCTTATTTTGTCCATGCATGACTTGAATTTATTATTCTGGGCCTACAGTATGTTATAAAAATGTTTCACTGATGTGTTGGTAAAAAAAAATAAAACCTCCAGGGTAGTTTATGAATTGGACTGCTCTTTGATTTGACTTGTCATTCCTTTCATTAATAATCTCCCACTAGAGACCAAACTCGACAATAATGAATCAACAAAATGATTACGTTGAGTATGTGAGCCGTTGGCACAGCTGTTTGAATGGAGACATTTGAGAAACATGACAGTGATTGTATTAGGAGAGGAAATCACCGTAATCCTTGGCAAATTTTCTCATTTCCTGTTACACTTTACTCTGCAATTACAAGGCCTTTAATTTAGCCACTTGAGCCCTGGAAGCACACCCACTACTCAGTCTCAGAGGATATTGACCGAATACCTTGAAATTATTCTGGGAATTGTTCCAAAAAGAAGAGAATATCAAAACATTGCTGTACAGACTGATGATAAAGTAGTAAAGAGATTCATCAGCCCCATTGCCTTGACCATTTCCTCTTTTAGTAAAATTTTCAAAACATGTCCTGGAAATATTGAAGGGTATTGACAGGAACACCTTGAAAATATTAACACAAATTAACACTTTTTGATAGAGGAGTCCTATTGCTTCTTAATTCTTGGCTGCTCCAACAGTGTTTACTAATGATTTGCCAATTAATAGATGTTAACTGAATATAATTAAGTCATTTGCCTGTTTCCATCAAACTAAGGAAAATGTAAATGCAGAGACCAGAGGGGTGTTTCATAAAGCTGTTCGTAAAGTTACGCATGACTTTACGAACGACTTGCATATGAAAAGCCAAATGAGATGCTCGATCATTATTAAATACATCAACTAAAGTTGAACTGTGCAGATGTAGATTAACATTTTTATGATAACAAACATTTTTAATGCATAGTATATTTTTTGCCATAATTTAATTGAGGTTATTGAAAATATCAGAATTTTTTTGGGGCATCCTATCTGGCACTTATACAAGTAGTTCGTAAAGTCATGCGTAACTATACAAACAGCTTTATGAAACACCTCCCAGGTTAGTTTAAACCGCATGAGGGGTGTGGGTTAGCTGTACGATTAGGTACACTGAGATATTTGATATGTTTGTTGAGAAAAAAATGTGCATTGAAATTCATTCTTCATATATCCAAATTCATGATATTTCCACCTTGAGTTGCTGAGTAAAGTCAACAAACTCAGAACTTGAATATAAGATAATCAATTTCAACTGAAACAGAGTCCTTTTGAAGATCGAATGTATCTGAATGTTGTATTCCCTTATATTTCTCAGAATTTTTTCCCCAATTTGATATGATATATTATTTGTGGGATGTGCTTTTCCTGGTATGCTGCAGTATGATACATTACTGTTTGTGGTGAGCTGCATTCCAAATATAGAAACACATTAACACAAGCATTATTGACTTGAATAGTAAAGGACTAAAGGTCATTTCCTCCAAACATAGACAGTCAGTACGCCGCTGCACGAAAACCGCCCGTATTTATCGTACTCGTATGCAAGCCCAGCGGTCAATATGAATACGTAATGAGCACACGAGCTTGAAAACACCGACTTGTTTCCACCTACACAAAATGGTTTCTTGCTAATCATTTAGCATGAACGATATGTCAAATTGAAGACAAGAAACTGCTCTTTCATTAATCTGAATTAGAAATAAACTGGACTCCATTACCTTATGAAATATTTCCTGTCAAGTACAAGCTTACTTTTTCCGTATTTTCATCGAGTTTATGATGAAAGTGAATGCATAAAAAACGTATAAAACGAGTAGGAACCTCATCAATCTTTATATTTTTGGAGAGTTTAGACATCATTCTTTGTATGGTGTGAAGATCAGGTTATTTGATGATTCGAACGGGTCAAGTTCACGGTTTTAAAAAATAGTTCCACATTAAGAAGATACATGAATACGAAGATTTCCGATCACCTACCGAACGACCATTCGTCAAAGGTGAACGAACTTGTGACTTCGCGGTTTGTTTTCTAGGCACGAATAATGGCGTTATTTCAACATTTTAACCCTATTTCATGTAATTATCTTGGTATTTATCGATTACTAAGATTAACTATGGGCAGTGATACGATTGATTTTGGAAAATTTAGTGTTCGTTTCAAGAAATTTCAATTTGAAGAATAGTATGCGCCCACCCATACAAATTTGTGTAACGAAATTATACGACTTCACCAATGTCTGAATCAGCGAGTTCAGCTGTGTGGGTAGGCGATTTTGAGCAAAATGCAATTGTCATCGAATTTATCACCTAAAGAAAAAATAAATAAAAATCCCATTATTATTCACGGTTATTAGTGGTATGGTGAAGTTCACAGTTGTTAGTACAAAGTTGCAAAACATTATATTGCACTTTATACTATAGACTATACGCCAGGAATGTAAAGTCCAATATCTCTCTGCTTAATTGTTGTTTTTTTCTACCCAAGAAATGATATGTGAACATGTCGGTGTCCAATGCAGTGATTGACACTACACACAAATAAATAAGTTAAAAATACACGGGGGCAATTTTCCCTTCAAACCTTTGAAATTCGGAGGGCAAAGCAATATTCAAGTCATTCTGTTTACAAGGCGAACTGAAGTCACTCATGAATTTGGTCCTGCAAAGGATTGAGGTTGACATTCCCGTTAACAAAGTAACGCCTTCAATAAAGAAACACAGTCCTCTGATCAGTCATACAGTTCACGCATATACACAAACGGGATGTTTCTTTTGAACAATTGTTTTTATTTTTTTTTATTTCTCTTTGAATACAAGAGACAACTTGGCAAGGTTAAAAAAATACATATTTTGGCAGATATTATTATTCATAAGCTAGTCCAGCTGGGACACACACACAGTACTGGCTAGTTTAAGGCACTAAAGCACGGAAAATACAAAAATCCTAAGTTACAATGAATAATGTTATAACACGAATAACTTAAGTTGCTCATGTATTTACATGCTACATTCTGCCATAATATATATTAGAAGATTGTACAAGGAATACGGTAAGTGTGCAACATAAACTATTATAACAAAAAAGAATATAATATGTAATACAAACAAAATGGAGCATTAAATCAGATAAAGAGTATTGTGCATAACACTGGTTTGCATTCATACATGTGATGAATACATACTGGTAAGTGGTTTTCTATATTTAGCAAAAGAAAGAAATGCTGAAAGAGCACAGGCTGCAAGGTGAACATGATCACTACCGGTAGAAGCAACATACATTGTCAAAGTTAAAATCAGTGACAGATAAAGGATTAGTTAAATATTCCAACTAAAGTGTTTCGCCTGTTTACAGAGAAATTCATTTCCGTTATTGACAACATTTCGGAACTGCATGTTCACCTCTGAAGGTGAACTAAACTGTGAGGAAAAGGATGGTCTATCGGGCACATCTTGGGCACTATTCTTGTCAATTTGTAATGATCTCAATTTAGAAACTGAAATATGCCATGAACGTATAACGTCATGAGACATCTCTGCACTGTAAAAAGATATTCCCCTCCTACCAGCATCTCTATGTACAATCAAAAGCTCACCGAACTGGTATATAATCTTATCCTTTACAAATAATGGACTTTTATTTACACGGTCATACTGTAGCGCATCACAACATCTTTTTGAGACAAGATCAGAAAAATATTCATAAACAGTTATGAATAAAAATAACCATCCTCAAGACACAGTCTACATATATACAAATAAACATTTAGAATTTTGAGTAAAAAGTCTTCGTCCGAATCTGATGCAAGCACACAGCTCTGATGCGAATTTTCCATACTTCTAAGTGACATTTTATTAGCACTACTTTTCTTTATACAATACATGTAGCATGGTTTACATATATGGTGACCTTGTGTTCCTGAAAAGTCTTCATTTATATCACCCAATCTTTTCAATTCACTTTCAGGAATATCTTTACAGGTATATGTTTTGTCATCAGAAGTCAGTAATGCTTCACAAACAGAACAGGAATGATAACTTCTAGATTGCTCAAAATGTGCCAATTCAAATCTATGTTTCATGCATAAAGGTATAGTAGGTGGAATTGAAGTGCATTCTTCAGAAAATGCAGTATTGAATTATTCTAATTCACATTCACAATCTCTTAATAATTTATCAACACAACGGTCATAATGGAACAGAAATAAAATAATTCTTTCTTTTTTACGTGTCTTTTGGGTTTTTCAATTTTCTAACATATTTTTTTCTGCAACCACTACAAATACAGTCTGTCATTTAGATATCGGTATTACGTTCCGTAATGATAGCTACAAGGGCATTAGATTTCATAGTACATAAATGGGGCCAAGGAGCCAACTTATCCTTCACCCCAGCAGCAAGAACGATTGATGTGATGTACAGGCTGAATTTTCTACTTCATCCCTCATGGTGATAAAATCACAATGCTTAATCTGAAAATAAGATAAGAGTCAAAGAAAAACTGACTTAATATATATCATTAAAACGTTAATTGATCATCTTGCAACTTCAAAAGTTTACTTGACAAATGGTTGACATTCATATTGAGCAAGATTAATAATATTAGTTCAAATAAACATAATTTTCCTGTATTTTCACAATGCTTTGGTTAGATTACAACCTAGGAACACTGTTTATATACCAGTAATGGAAACAAAATGAAGATTTTTATTTTATGTATTCACTTATTCGTTCTTGAGGAAGAAGATTTCTATTTAATAATGTCACTCAGGTGGAGTGAGATGCTGTGATGCATGAAAACAGCTCAGCCATCTACTACCCTCGAGAATGACACCATTTGGGGAAATCCATGTTGCCCTCTAGGGAAGTCGACAGCTGAGCCTTTGTGCAGTCCCTCGCTCCGCCCATGTCATGTCAACATTCACAAAACAACATGCTATCGTGAAGTCCATAATGTTACCATGGTGGTTAGCATTCATTGAGGAGATAATTACTGAATAAATGGTAACTTTAATGAACAGGATCTTGTTTTTTTCCGAGAATAAACAATAAAATGTGATTCAAAATGAGTTTAATTTGAATTTACTTTGAGAAAGCACTTTATAATTTCCATGTACATAAAATAAATGAAATCACAACTTACTTTGTTTCCAGGTTGCATCTTGAGGTCACGATCAAGGGGGCAATCAGTTGGAAGAGGGCTAGGGGTCACATGACTGGTTGTGATGGGAGATCTTCTACAAGTTGTAGGAAGGACTGTGTACAGCTCCGCACCTGGAACAAAATTATCAACATTAGACAGTGAATGAACAACGCAGGTTGTTTTAATATACAAAGCAATCTACATGACATTAAACAGTTATGCATCAAGATTTCCTAATCATGTATTAGAAGAGGAAATGAGAGCAATTACTATATTATCCTATGGGAGAACATAAATGAACTTTTTTCACCAATCAGAAATTTCACTGATGACTGCTCTTTAGGGATACAAATTTCCATGTAAATGCAATAAATGAAATCACAACTTACTTTGTTTCCAGGTGGCATCTTGAGGTCAAGATCAAGGGGGTGATCAGTTGGAAGAGGGCTAGGGGTCATATGACTGGTTGTGAAGCCTGTGCGGGATCTTCTACAAGTTGTAGGAAGGACTGTGTACAGCTCCGCACCTGGAACAAAATTATCAACATTAGACAGTGAATGAACAACGCAGGTTGTTTGAATATACAAAGTAATCTACATGACATTAAACAGTTATGCATCAAGATTTCCTTATCATGTAAGAAATCACTACTGTATTCTATGGGAGAACATACATGTAAGTGTATATTTTTATAGTTTCACTGACTGCTATTTAGGGAAACAAATTCCCATGTGAATAGAATAAATTAAATCACAACTTACCTTGTTTCTAGGATGCATCCTTGAGGTCAAGATCAGGGGGAGGGGTCAATTGGAAGAGGAGGGCTAGGGGTCACAACGTCTATGAGGGCCTGTGTACATCTCAGCGCCTGGAACCAAAAAAACAAAAACAAAACAATTAACACAGAATGAACACAGAATGAACACAAGAAATAAATCAAACATTCAAGAGTGATTTCCTCAACAAATAAAAAAGCTAGCAAGAACTAGTTCTCTACCCCTGGGCAAAACATGGAATCCCATTTCACAAATCAGATTATCATTAACTTTTATTTAGGGAAATATGTGTCTGTGTAAAAGTCAATATACACAAATGCACACAATGAATACGATGTGGCTGACCGGCAAGTTTGACGGTAGACATGCGATTTGAATTTTTTAATTATTTTTCTAACATCGGTGAGTTGAATTTTTTTTTTTTTTATTGCTATTTAGGTGTCATCAATTGTCACTAAAGTACCGATTTTAAGTGAAATCAGTTGAGTTTTGTACAGTGGTGTTTGAAATGTTGAGATTCAAAAGAACAGCTTTTAATACACAGCCAAGGTCGTAATGGCTAATGCAGCCATGCAAGTCTAGACTGACTAGAGTCTAGACCACACATATATGTGCATTACTATCCTGGCTGTATATTAAAAGCTGTGCTATTGATTCTCAACATTTCAAACACCACTGTACAACACTCAACTGATTTCACTCAAAATCGGTACTTTCGTGACGATTGATGACACCTACATAGCATTAAAATACAATTTTTTCAACTTTCCGATGTTAGAAAGAATTATTTAAAAATTCAAATTGTGAGTCCACTGTCAAACTTTCGATCAGCCGCATCGGCATGATTGTGTGCATCTCTGTGTGTTACGAGTGTATCGACTATTCATGTAGGTCTATTCCAATGCAGTGCAGTGCTACTGGTCAATACGCAATAGCATTGACTCATCTTGACTTTTAATAGAAGTCTAGGTCAAATCCTATTTGGAATTCAATCTAAAAACGTTATTACTAATAATCCCAGTCCCATTTGATGCCTGAACACATGAGGAAACTGAAATTCAACAGAAAATGAAATAGTTTCGGTCTTTGAGCCAACAATTGCACTGAAGACTCCATGAAAATCTATATGTGGGACAACACTATACAATCGGTATGCACTACGCCCATTCGCGCGTTTTACTATTTTTAGACCATTTCGCGCCAGTTCACCCAACTTCGAGTACGTATTTCCGGTGAAAACATGATTTTCTCGTGAATTTGGGAAGCAGAATTCACTAATTTCCTGTTGAGGAACCTCAAATTGGACAACAGATTTGGCAATTTCAGACATTGCTGAACACATATCGACATCAAATGATCTTTTTCTAGTTTCGAACGGGTCAGGTTCACGAAAACAAATTTTAGTTACAAAACTAGGGACGAAAACTTCTCAAAATTAGGCTTCATTGCATGATGCTGTAAAACCGTAAATTTTGCGGAAATATATCAACATTTCATATCATTCGAAAGGAAATTTTCTGGAGATCGACTTACCCAAACATGGCTGCTCAAAAACTGAGCATGCGCGAGAAAATAGAGTCTACGTCATCCCTTCCAGTATTCTCGCACGATCTCGTAACTTCTCGTTTGTGGATATTATTCATCGAGCTGTTTCCATCGCACGATAACGCTCGCACGATATGCTCATTAGCGAGCGTGCAGCGGGCTGACTGTAGAATTGCCAGTTTGCACAAATATGTATTGGAAATCTTTGCTGGATTATGTCAAAGTGTCTGAGTTGAATCACCTACCCTTCAAAAAGTTTTAAAAAACCATCATAACCAGAAAGAAAGTTAAGTTCTCTCAAGGATAATACGACACATCGGATGATACTTGCATCCCTATATCACAAATAGATCTTATCTGCATTAATTTCTATATTTGATCAAGGCTGTCATTCAAATTTACTTTTCAATGTTAGACTTGGTTTGTAAATAGGATGTTGCACATGACAGTTATTCATAGATGACAGTGAACTGGACTGTTTGACAATGAAAAGATCTCCACACAATCTGTTCCTCATAAAATTTAAGGAACATAGCGGTACATGATTGTATCATTTCTTGATTTTATGTATGTATTTATTTTGTTTTAAAGGAAGTGACATTGATCTGGAAATAGCATGTCTAAATTGACAATGATTGACTTTGATTGATTTTTGCATTTTCAAGAATCCAAATATGTAAATCCCAGTATGTTGTATCTGTCATCACTTTTCTCTCTATCTCTGTGAATTCTTTCTGTTTTGGTCAATCTTTAAATCCTAAACTGTATACAAATATATGTCCCCTGAAGTTTCATGTAGTAATTTAAAAGATAGATTCTTGATTAATTCAGATGAAAATGGCACTGAACAAGTGTCTGGTCTCGGCCGCCTCACTTGATTTGATGAACACAAATCAATTTTTTCATTCTCTGTTTTTCTTTCATTTATTTCAGGATGCGGCAAACACGCCGAGCAGGTGATGAAAGACGTGCCTGAGGGAGAAAGATGCAAGTGTCCGAGAGGAAGCTAAAATGGTATCTAAAGGATGCTCAACTCTTCAATCATACATTACCATGTGTCATGATGTTCTATCAAGTACTATGTGGGTTAGGGAAGGAGGAAGGGGTTGGGGGGGGGGGGGGATGGAGGACGATGGTGGAAGAAAAATGGGGGATGGGGAGTGGAGGGGTTGGGAGGGGCTTATAGTTATCACTTGGAGCGGATGCCGGTTCTACAGTGTAGATTAATATTTTCCCTCACGTGGAGATTTATTAAAATACTCTGGAGCGAAAGAAATATTATTTGTTATCCTTCAGTCGATTTCAATGACACCTGAACTTTATGAAAAGATTTTTTAAAATTTAAATTCTGGAGCAGGATTTTGTCATTGATTTTTTGTTGTTGCTGTTGCTGTTGTTGAAAAAAGATGAGGGAAAAAACTAATAATCTTTATTTAGACCTGACATAAGAAAGCTAAGAGGATCATTGAAAACTTACAAAAAAGCAGAAGTACACACACACATATCACTTGTAGGAATATCTGTCAAAGCTTTGCATGTGATAACAATTATTAAAAAACAGTCACCAGAAACAGTGAAACAAGTCGGTCATATTTAGATTTGATGAAACTATGCAAACACCAGGGAAATGAGGGAAAAATGGATTCAGGCATCTCATCTTCATTATTGATTTAAATTTTATTGTGAGTTGTACTTGTAAACTTCCGATATGTAGGTGGCATTGTCTAAAGTGACATATACGCCCATTGCTTGTAAATATCTTCATTGAAGCACATGGTATTACGTTTGATTGCTATACATGGTTTTGTTGTTGTTTTTGTTCAAATATATATATTATTTGTATACTAGTCATTTTGCTGCAAAGATATCTAGATTTTATATATGATCTGAAGTGCATAGACAGATTATTAAATGCTTATGATCCAACTGATATGATTCAGAAATAGTGACGAAAAGAACCGTCATGGATTACTGAATTAATACATAATAACCCACCAATATTGTGAAAGTTTTAATTATTAATTGTTTGTGTTATAAGTAGTCAAACCTCATCACTAAGAACTGTGTTATATCAAACTCTCATTATAACAAGGTAATTTGGGGTCTCTTCTCTCTGTATTCCAATTTCCAATGTTTTTTTAGCCCTGATATAACAGGGTTGAGGTGTAACATGGTAATATTCTTTGGTGCCAGGTTTTGTATTAACAAGGTTCATTTTAATATTCAAACAATATATTGCTCTGTTCCTTTGGTAGAAATAAGGTTTTTGTAATAACTTTAGGCTTGTCTAGAGCCCATGATGCAAAGCTTTATGGACCATTCTAGGGGTTACCGAATGCAGTATTTCATTGTCATGCACAAACTTCCAAGAAAGTGCTGTATGTTAAAATGATGTGTGGATCCTTGCTACCAGTACCGTATATGTTAAATGAGCACTTGTTATGCATTTAAAGGGAAACCATGCTATGTTGTCTCCTGTTCAAGACAAAAATTGATCATTGTACATTTCATCAGATTCTAGTTCCATAAGTAAGAGAGGCACAGTTGCCTTATTCAATTCTGGTTGCTGTATGTAAGATTAGCAATCTTATTGATGCATGCTAGTTACAAAGGCTCCTTCTCAAGTAATGTGATAAATCACATTGGTTTACCATTTTCAGTTTTTTTTCTTCTTTTCTTTTAGATAAATGGGGATGAGAAAAAATATCTGCATGTAATGAAAAATATATTGTGCATATCCATCACGCAAGGTGCTCGTAAGTTACCTCAGCTCTGCTGAACAACATCACAGTACATTAAGCACGATCAATAGTGTACTGGGCATCTCAATGTGCACATCAGTGTCCTTGCCATTTGAAACCACGCGCATTTCATCACGTCTTGATTTTGTAGATCTGCACATCTGCACATCTTTGCTGCGTTTAATCGCTTTTAACTGTGCACTATCATTTTTTGATTGGAACTTTTTTTTGGTAGGAAAGAATGATGTACGGTCATGTGGTGTTATTTTACCAATAAGATTGTCTACATTCTAGAATCCTTTTATGATCCTTTCATTTGACAACGTTTCTCACAACATTTGTAAAGTATCCTGAGGTAATGACATGTACACACCTCTTTGTATTATTCTGATGAGAAATATTTTGCTGCATATGATGAATGTTAAAGTTAGTAGCATTTAGCTCACTTCAAACGAAATGAAATGAAAATGAATTTCAAGAAAAATTGGGGAAACCATGCCTGATATGGGTACAGTTGTCAATGAAGTACTTTCAATAATTCATTATTTGGGGTAAATACTGTATTCTCATATATTTGTTTAACATGATTGTATTATATCTTCAGAGAGTTATCAAGTATTTGGGAATATCTTGCTTTGTTGTTATCTATATTAGAAGCTAAAATCACTCAACGAATTGTAATTTAAACAAATCTCGAGTTTAATAAGAAAGCAATGCTACTCTCTTTGAGAATTCAGATGAACATAAGTCTTGTATTTATTCCACTGTTTTAAGACTGGTTGCTGCATGTTAATTGAAATTGTGATTTTCCTTACTGAGAAAAGTATTTATGTTTGTATTTTATCACATAAATAAAGAGATATGAATATAAAGTCAAATAATTAAAGAGAATTGTATTTTTTAATATTCAGACAAGATTGTACAGTGTGTTTGTAGTGTTTGAAGATTAGAAGAAAATTCTGTAATTTGTCATGATGTATGCACATTGATATAAGTGCATAGACAAATGCAAAGAGAAAAGGGAGGTGGACAGCTGGATCCCAGAGAGAGAGAGAGGGAGGGGGGCAAAGCGGGACAGAGAGAGAGAGAGTGTGTGTGAAAGAAGGGGATATTATGAGTTATGTACAGAATGGAGAGAGAGAGAGACACACACACAGATGGGTAAAAATACTGAGATAATAAACTGGAATAAAGAGAATGCAAGTGTGTCAAGAGTATATGTTCAGGAGTGTTTTTTTCTGTTCAAATTACTGTTTTCAGTAATCCAGTCATGAAATGAAAATTAGAAATTGATTTTCGTATGTTCCTTTTGTTAAAAAGAAATCCGATACATTTTATGGGATGAAGAGGTTGTCACTTGGGGCTCTATATTGGTGGTATATTCTACACACCTAGTTGGGGTTTAAACCAAACTAATTTAGTCGCAGTAAGCTTGTATGAATACCAGCACTGGTTACTAATTAGAATAATATCACTTGTTGCCTTGTGTTCACCTGGGAAACATTCATTCTTTTCACCTTCCTATTTCTCAATCATACCAACAACAATCCAACAGCTCTTCTCATCTCTGACAACATTTGCACTCTGTGTAAGTAAGTCTTGACAAGCGCCCTCTTGCAAGGAGGAACTAATCAGCCAGTTCATGGTTGCAGTCTGAGCATGAGCAGATAAAGGTCATTGCAGAACAAACTTTGAAATAAACAGAGACGAAATACTGGATTCGTGCTCATGAAAGTTATGTAATCATTATGTACATTTGGGGCACTCCATGATACACAGGTGGAATTATTCATTACAAAGGGGAAACATGGCACCTTCATTGCTGTAGGAGTGATTATTTCAAAATGTACAAAGTTGGACCTCTTCATTTTTTGAAGATCTGTGGATACCGGTAGTCGGGGTCATTGCAGTAATGTGCTAACCGTGAACTGGTCTATTGGAGAGGGGCAGACCAGCTAGGTCATGGACTGATTGCGTCAAGCAGTGGACAGGATTGTTATTTGAGCAGCTAACTAAACAGCTAAAAACAGAAAGTTGTGGAGAACTAGTGTCTCAAGGTCCATTTCATTGCCACCCCCAAGGCCTTTAAGTTTCGGGAACTAAATAGAAAGTCTAAAATTCCTTCAATCTATCAAAATAGGTTGACCGGAATAGACTCACAGCAGAACACATTCAATAAGAAACTTCTCTTCTCAACAAACAACAAGACAGAAAAAAACAAAAACTGACTCCATTATCTTGAATCGCCATGGCACTGCATTTCTCCCTCTTTTAATACAATGATTTACATACCCACCCTAGTATGGACGTATATATATATTTAAACTTGATAAGCAACAGAAAATATTCATAAAAAGTCCTCTTTCCATCTTCTCAAATGGCCTTACATATCTTGTTACAATGTGCTGAATTCTGAATAAACGACTACATTAATGCCAGGTATATCAATAGTAATTAAAGCTCCTGTAATAGTGTTAAGATTGTCAATGATTCAGGATTCTTAAAGAATATAACATGTTGAATGGTGGAAAGGCCTGTGGTTTAAAATCTTCTCTTTTTTTTAGCTCAGACATCTATGCATGTAAAACTCAACACATTGGTTTTCCAAGGGTGCATGACCTTCATATTTCATCTTTGTAATAACCTGTTTTGTTCTTCACCTTAAAATTGCTCTTTCATGCTCACTCAGGATTTCCATAAAAGACATTACACTCTCCATTTTTACTCCCAATCTACAAGCTTAAAAATGATTGTCAACATCATTTTGAAATACATAGTTAAAACTCCTGGCGATAATAATTCAGTGTTAAGTATTTCAACAACCAACATTGTTCTATGTCTATTCTTTCCATGCATGCATGATCAAAATGACTGGACATCACAGCATGAATGGGTCTCATTTAAGAACAAAAAATTGTTTTGTTTTCCTTCCATAAACACTTTTGTTTCTACATAAACAAATTAAAATGACACACTTTCTGAATACAAATTTTAAGTAGATCATGATGAATACAAGGAATATTTGAAAACGGCCTTTCTATCTTTATCTGAACAAATATGATGAAATGGTTGAACTTCCAATTAATAGATATGTTCTATCCCCAATCATGATTTCTAAAAGGGAAATAAATTTGTCAGGCCAGAAAGGTGACCATCATTTGTTTATCTCCTCATAACTTCCAGAGCCATTTGAAGAAATTTTTTATTTTGGTTTTATTCCATTCAGATGTATGAAGAATATCCTATTTTAACCAAGTGTGTACCCATGATTGAGATAATGGATGCTGTATTCCCGAACATACATGCATATTACAATTTTTGTCTTAAACGGGAGATAACATAGGGTTTCCATCCCTTTAAAATGCATAACAGTGTGTATCACCTTTCATAAACGCATACTGCTTCACCATTACATTCAATTTCAAAGATGTAATAAACTTGGAGATTGCTTGTTGGAAAATACTCAAACTGATGTCGGCAAACACAGAGATGAGAGTCAAAATATATAAGTATTACCTACACAAAACTATCCATTTGAATACATCATTATAACAGTTATTCCTGTCATCCACTGTAAGTCATCATATATGTTGAAAAGATTTTAAAATCATTTCATTATCAAAAAAAGAAAAGATACAATAGAATCTCATTGACAAGATCCAGTGAAGGAGAATCGAACAACAAACCTCTCGGAATAAATCATATAAAAATGAATACATTTGATAAGTGATTCTTGAAGTTTCGTTTTCAATAGCATAATACACATTTTAAGTAGCCAACAATTCATAATTAAATAGTAAAATTATCAATGTAGAAATGTAAAATCGAAATACAGCTAAATTCATTCAGAGGGTAAAATATGTCATGTCATTATGCTTATAGGATTACAAAAAGGATCATTAAGTATGAGAATATAAATACACATACACAAATTTGAAAATTCTGATTGTATACTATAAGAGTCAAATATTATTAGTTGTTAGGTGCAGTCAAAAATATGGACTAAAAAATTCATTGGTAATACAATTTTCCATGATCCTACTGCTAAAAAATAAATTCAACCAAAAATTGGCACAGGTAAAAGATTCTTTAAAAGGTGGCAAAATCAATAACTACTCTCACAAATTAAAATCGTCTCTCTCTTAGATAAAGAAAGAAAGAAACCAGTGCCCAGCTTGCATGCTTTAAAACATTTTTGTACTATTTACATGTTGCAAATTGGTTGTCTATACACAATATACATTATACAGATCTTACTTTACATCAAATCTCTTCACACTTTTCTCATTTGGTTATAAATTAAATGCTTTTCTTCTTTTCACACAATATTCTATTTACAGTATCACCAGAGAAAGATGGCTCAAAATATCTCATTCGTTATGTCGTACAATCTTAAAATAAGCATTATAAAAAATCAGGAAAATACAGCCTTTATGCGATCAATATTTCGTACATGTATAAATAAAATGCTATGTTTTATTCAATAATGAATTATAATATCATTCAAAGATAGAGTTTGTTTCATAATACTAATTTACATGGGTATCGTTTACTCTATAAACCTACCTATGAACAATCAGGCAAGTCCACTGCATTATCCTCCAGAAATAGACTTTTGACATAGACAATTGACTCATTACAGAACCTCAAAAGGGTACCTACATCATTAAAGGGTGAAAAACAATTTTCTACCACAAAAAAACATAGAATATGGATACACATACACAATGACGGGTAGTAGGCACGCTTTACAAAGAATCGGTGGCATAAAACTTGCAACGGTATGAATTTATCTGACTGTGTTAAAGGCACTCTCTTGAGTAAAACACAATCATCATTATACAGCTCATAATGTCTAGTAGGTATGACACAAAGAAAATTAAATGACTGGGGTTTTCAAATGAAGTTGAAAACTAGAAATAGAAAATCATAAAATGAAATGTTGTTTGTGATCCATGGATGGTATATTTTTCAAAGCAAAGTCTGCTACCACATTTACACATAAACAAAGACTTCTTCTCATAAAAAACTACCAATGAGGCAGTAGATTGTATGAAAAAACATCACTCAATTAATGGGTAGGTAGAAAAGATGCAGCCAAACCTGTCCTGGTGGCCACCTTTCCATAAAGGCCACCTACCTATAGTGGCCATGTAGTATGTCTCCCTCAAGAAAGAAATATGTGTGGTAGAACCTGTCTACAGTGACCATTTTCTCTGTTTCCCTTGGGTGGCCACAATATAGACAGGCTTGACTGTACATTACTTTGATTGAAACAAAAGTATATTACTCTTCATGATAAGCTTGTCTCTTTAAGCCAGACAGTATTCGTTTTAAATATCAGCTGGACAAGTATTCCTAGCACTGAACTAATGGACAGACAACCTACATCCTCTTGGTCTACCCTAACTAGATCAAATGGAGATGAATACTCCACTACTATTAAAGTCAAAGTCATGCATATAAAGCTTCCTCATAACTGTGTCTCTATACGGTTCAATTATGTTTAGTGAAAAGCAGGAATTTTTCAAATCTTTTAGCTTTGATGTACGCTTGGCAGTATTTAGTGATTTCAGTTAATATTGTTTTAAGTACTTGTGAAGAATTATGGTGGCCGTTTCCTCTGGTTTGAGGATACTTGTTGGCAATTTTAAGAAAAGTTTACCACAGAAAATTGAGGTTCTTGAAATTATTTCACCATGATTTGTCAAAAATTTAAGTATTTCAATCTGTTTGAATAAGTAGAATTACTGATTAGAAGTCAGTTCTAAAATCAGGTTTTATTGATACAAGCACTAAAATGAAATGCAGATGATGAATTTGACTGATTCATTTAATGTGATCTGGAAAAATATCATATACATTGTAATCGCAAAATTAATCAGAAAACTCTCAATACTAAATCCAAACTCAGGTTTTCTCTTTCTCCACCTCTGTTACATAATTATGTCTCGCACTGGTGGGTTGGTTCCTATTTGCATAATTATTCTTCATATGGTATTCAAGCAGGAAGAAGTGAAATACTGGTACTCCATATGTGGCTAACTCGATTGCCAGAAATGTGTTTAATACATATTTTGTCTGGCTGCTGTGCCGTATAACTACTAGTCCACGATGGAAGCATACCACCGGTCTTTCAATTTCAGACATGTAAATCCTTTATTTGTAAATTCGGGTATCAGATCATGAATCATTGGCTGGAACTTTAATGTAATTTATCCTCTTTAAGTGTCATCCTCACAGTAGTCATAATAGATATCAGAGCAAACGCCTGTCGAAGATATAGACATACTGTGTTGCTTCAGACGGTTTCTTCCCATACACTCCACACTCCGCCCTCGTCTTTCGTCCTTGTTCTCGCCAGTCCAGTTGATACAGGCCCTCCATCGCTGGCCCTTCTAAGTAACCTTTGACCTCCGACCACACCCCCTTGCCCCTCACCAGCAGTCGTCTGCTGACTGGATTTAAGTCCTTTGTTCTTTCCTCTGTCTCCTCCTCCCTCTCCTCCTCCTCCTCCATTGCCAAAGAGAGTCTTCTGAAGCTCTATGAGTTGTTCAATCTCTGAGAGTGAGGGGTTGGCATGGTTACTGAGGAGTGATTCCAGGAGGTTAGGTTCATCAGCTGGTGATGTAGGTATGCTTTGACTCCTTTGGTGTGTAATGACACTACCAGTCTCCTGTGGTTTACTGTGAAATCAAAAAGAAAGATACAGAATAAAGGCATGAAACTGCTATTGACATAATCTACACAGCAACCACACAGCATCTATTTGACTGGGGGAGGCTACAAATAGACTAAAATCAAATATATTTAGTTATATGCAAGGGTGCTGATTTTGCATATTAACCAGACAAGATTCCAAGTAAGCATTTCACACCGTAAAAGCATAACATACTAAGTCATTTTTATTCCATCTATCTCTTCTTAGAGAATAATGAATGATAACTTGACAGAAGTTCATTTCACTCATAAAATGGTGTTGTAGTCTGGTGCATATCAAGTCACTGGACTATGGACTTTTTAGTACAAGATTTAAATAAAGGGGGGTACATTGAGCATTTTTCATGATTTAGGGGGGTCTCCAAGGCAGGAAACGCCCGCGAAAAGGCCGCGATAGGGGGTTTCGGAAACGTTGGCAGTCCTCAGATAGGGGGTGCTTTCAAAAAGAGGGAACAAGCATATGCGTACCCTAAATAACACTGAGTGGGGGGGCCGGGGATAACGGTATTCAACACTTTGCATCCTCAAGAAAAACACTTTACAATCCAACTTTTAAGGCTTGTTTACATGTGCCGGGATAAATCATGCCAGTTTACCGCAGGTGTTTCATTTTTTATAAAGCATATTTAAGCATACTGCACTTCACATTGTTGTATCTTATATTACACAGATATGCGATTAAGAATATGACCACTCTTGTGTGCAGCTACTTTTTTCATCATCATTCAGAACACACACACAAAAAAACACACCAAAATAAGCTGGAAAACCCCAGCATATTTGAACAACCTTTCATTATTTTCATTACAATATCATTACTTCAACCTACCTCGGTGAGCCGATGGGTAGAGAGTTCTGTTTAGTAACAGTCTTGAGAGGTTTAGGGGACACACGGCGTGGAATCATTGAACGTCCATTCCTCTGAGAATCTGTGGATAGGAATAAACAGATAAATCATATTCATTGATGTGAGAGATGAAATAAGGACACTCGTTAACATATCACCCTGTGCCATGCAGAAGAGTGCAAATACGCCTGTGGCCAAATTTTATTTGTTAAAGTTTAGTAATGAATGGATAGAAAATTGTAGAGAAGGACTACAATATTATAGAGATATCGACTGCTTTGAGAGGCCTGGCTGTTTTTATATGCTCTCGGGAACCGTGCAGATTCTGCCATTACCCTGAGGTGCGCCTGGGTGGGCGGCACGCCGAGGGTTCATGGCAGAATCTGCGCGGTTCCCGAGAGCATATAAAAACAGCCAGACCTGGAATATTAAAGCAGTCGATATGTCTTTTATATGCCGAATTCAAACAAAAATCTACAAAGAATTCTTACCTTATTCTTTTATTGAGTAAAGATTGGTTAAACCATCACAGAAAATCTGAGAAACTGTTTGTTTATCTTTGCCGGAAAAATGACTGAAATTTTCGATTAGTTGGGAATCGCAGACAAAAAAATACTGTATGGTGTCCGCGCTCGCTCAAAGAACATTTTAACACGTAAACCAATGGGTATCGCAGCATAACTTTTTTTTCTTTTCCGGTAAACAAGAATTTTGAGGGATTTTACTCTTGGACTATTAAACGGTTTTGGCATTTTTCATTTTTTTATGGGAATGGCTGAAATCACGACTCCAATTTCGACCAATCAGATGACTGGATTTCTTAAGTGAGGTATATAAATCGCTCTAAACGATTTTAGCCACTGTAGGAAATTCAAATTCAAATTTTTAGAATTGTACATCCAGAGAAAAAACCATTTTCTACCACTTCATTTTTTGGGGGTACATCATAAAAAAATTGTATTTTTGTAAATAAAGATGAAACAAGCAGAAATTGGACATGAAACTAACATCCGAGACACCAACTTCCAACATCTACCAACACTACTTTTTTGTCGGTTTTAATGACATCCTACCTACCTGAGCTTATGAGGTCCATATGGGCCTGGTTTCTTGCTAGTAGTGCTGCTGCTTTATTGCTGGTCTTGCTCCGATCTAAGCTCTTACTCCTCCTGGGCTTCTTACCACCACTGCTAGACTTCTCAACAACTACATCTACAGCGGGAGCGCTGATGCCTCGGAAACCAGAGAAATAGTCATCCGCTTCTGCATGGGGTCAAAGGTCAAATTCAACAAGTGATTTTTTTTTTTTTTTTCTCTCTTCCCCTCCCACTGTAATCTCTACAGAATAACAGATGTAAGTCATTGCTATAATGAATGGATATACGATACATACAAAATATGTTTAGAAACCTGAGAAATAGTCATCCATTTACACTTGGGGTCAAACATCAAATCATGACAAGCTATCTTCAAAGTAATCTGAAGAAGATAGAAATTCCTCGAAACCACTTTATCAAAACAGGTATCAGTTATATGAAATTAAGTTACATTTGACTGATGACACAATGATTTGTTCAATAACATCTTCGTAGAAAATTTGAAGTTTGATCGTAAAATAGATATTTTAGACAAGCATCACATTCATAGCAATGCAAGTATTTCACACAGTTCTAACCACAATGCTTAACAAATTTATTTGATATGCATATGTTTTCCCAATAAAATATATTATCGCTTACTGTAATCTTTTCTGTGATTGTGTGAGTGTAATAAACGAAACTCATACAATTTGATATTTGCACAAAGGGATCATTCCATAGGACAGACTGCTGGCCATTCTAACAAAATCATTGTATATGACTTAGTAAAAGGCAACATTCCCAAGAAACAAATATTGTTTTGGACGTACCTTCATCACTGAGAGGGCATCCTGGTAAGAAAGCTTTATGAAGCAGGACATAGAGGGCAGTGCTAGCAGCCATGTTCTGTTGCTGTATGTGAGTAGACGATGCTCTAGGTCCGTTATGATGGAAGGTATCTTCTATGTGAGGTGCCAGACTGTAGTTCCACAGGAGGCACAACCATCTACAGCAAATCAAGAGTATTGGATCAGTTAAGGTCATCGTCAACACTGATCTAAGAATAATGAGTGCTTGCATATTATCAAATCCCTAGTTAGGTCTTAAGACATTATTACAATAGGAAGGATAGCACTATCTCTGTTAAACAATGATCATGTAAACAGCAGATATCAATTAATACTGTACATTTCAGTAAATGAGATGCATTTCATTTGATTTCAATGACCATGACGAAACTTGCATAACATCTAGATAAAATTTTCTTCTAACTGATGCTTCACATTTATTCTTTACAGGATGCTACATAAGTATTGCATTGCAAAGAGGAAAGGATCTAGTTTTCCAATATATACTTTCAATAATAATAATAGGAAACCAGTTGAAATAATAACGGAAGATACTTTTTCTTTTGTCACACTGCCACTGTCTTACTTTTATTTGGTGAATACTTGATAACTAAGGCACAAGATTGTAACTAGTGTGTACATCAAATATCCAACAGGTTAAAGAATTCTTCATACCTAAGTACCGATCCTATAGCATCGCCGTTGATAGGGCAGGCAAAGAACTGCTTGGGACCTGTACTGAACTCTGGCATGGAGAGCCTGGTGAGGGCCTCGTTGAGTCGCTTCCAGATTCCACTCATCCATGTGAGTACCCTAAGGGTCTCATCAGATGGTGAGGAAGGTATCCAGCCATCCTTCTCATGGATCAGACGCCGGAAGAGGTACCGCGGCAGGATGCTACGGTATGGTTCCTGCTCCCAGTCAACTCGGATCCAACGGAAGTGCTGCTGGACGGTTAGATCAGTGCCAGGTCTGGGTTAAGAAAAAATTATGGTAAAGTATATCAAATTTATTGTTCTAAACCGTGGCTTAAATGTTTATAACATCTATCCATTAATTTGTATCAACTGAAGAAATCCTTCTTATTGATCAGACGCCTGAAAAGGTATGGCAGGATGCTACAGAATGGTACATAAATCCAGTCTACACGGATCCAACGGATGTGCTGGCAATTTCACTTTCAAGTTGAATGAAAGAGAAAAGACGGTAATTGATTCAAAATCTTGTATATATTGCATATACAGAGCGCAGAAACTATCCAACATTAAGTATGTATTCTGCTGCGCTACAAGAGCTCCTGATATGCGTAGATTTTACAGTTAATTGGAAAGATGAGCTTTCAGTTTTGTTTTAAAGATATTCACAGCTAGTGATCTCCTGACTTCTAATGGTAAGTTATTCCAGAGTTTAGGTGCTCTTTAAGGAATGCTTGATCACCTAGCATTATTTTTGTTTTGATAGATGGGATCTGTAGCAACAAAGTATCTCGGGAAGTGCAAGTTGCGTCTGTGTTGATTAAGTTTGAAATTTAACAGTCCTTATTTATATTTGTAACTGATTCAACAGACAAAATAACAAGTAATCTTACCCTACTCCGTCCACTGTCCCAATGATGATAGAGTTTTCATGTAGTGAGAACATTGCTGAGTTAGACAAGGCTTGTAGTCGGACTGTCATCTGATTCGATCTGTTCTCTATCAGAGGTAGCAGGTCAGCAAACAGACCAGCCACGCCCACCTTGTCTAACCCGTCTAGAACCAGGATATGGACTGACTTGTTGTGGGAAGGGTTGGGCTTGCCTGCTGTAGACTGGACTAGGAATCCTGTATTGTTGGAAGAATGAAGATAATAGAGGGATAAATTCAGGAAGATTTAAAGCAGTGCAGAGTAATGGTCAAGGTTACACATCTTTTTATCAGAACATTTGATTTTTGAGGAATGTAATGTAGTATATGGTATAATTCCCAAATTTCTGAAATCATAGCCTTTTACTCATATCATGATGTTTAAAAGTAACCTCTTCAGAATTACCTTGATGTGGTAATAATACTAAATTCATGTATAAGATGCAATCCTTTGCTTTCCAAGTATATAAAGAAAGTTGACTCTTTTCAAAGGTATATCATCATTTGCTTACTCTTGCTATCCAATGTTACCATCTATGATATGATATGATATCTCACAATTATTTTATTTTTTCCCGCTCATTTTTTTTTCTTCCAGTTTCTGAAAGTGCTGAAAGGCATACATAATAGGCATAATAAATATACATGTACATGTACCTTTGCTCAGTAGCAGCTTGCACAGGTCTTTATGAGTAAATGTTGAATTCAATGACGCATAAGTCATGTCAGATTCCACTCTGTCATTCTTGTTTTTAGCCTGTCAATCAAGAAAAAAATAAGAAATTAAATAGATTAAATTATGACCCAATCATTCATTTATACTTTTACAGATTACATCAAAATAGAAAACTGTAATCTCTTTAAAATTTAGGAAGCCTGGAACATTTTCACAACATTCTGATTGTGCTAGGGTTTGGTTTCTTACACAACATACTGTTTACTTTCCTTAAATGTACAATAATATATTCAAAAATTCAACCTTCATCACTACAACGGTACTTTCTAATAAAATTAGATTGATTTATTTACTACTATGTAACAATATAGGACAATATTTAAAAACCTTGTTAGAAGTTGTATTACAGTGAAGTAAAAACGATTCTGTGCATCATTCATTTAATTTGATAACTAAGTGTTAGACCAACATAAAGTTTATGAGTTGATATGAGTTGATGAGTTTAAAAAGATAACTTCCATACCTGAATGTATTGAGCTAGTTTAACAGCTAGTCTTGACTTGCCAGACCCGGATGATCCATACAACAGAACACTCTTGTACTGCTTAATCTAAACAAATAAAAGCAAAGCAGAAAATTCAGTGAAAATGCTTTCTGTATCTAGAAATCTTAAAACATTGTACCCCTTCGAAAGCTTAAAAGTAAAATTGAAGGTTCTATAGAGATCCTCATTGATTGAAGAGCGAATCATATTCATACTATAAACAGCCATACACAATACTGGCACTTGTGTAGGGCTCTAAGAGTAATTGCATCACAGCAAATGAACTGTAGGTAATTGGTGGTGGAGATCTTTAAATATGAAAGTAATGAACATTCATGATGATCTCAATTTCTCTCTATACATTTAACTGAGCATGGGTTTAAACTGATGCACCATTTTGCTTAAAATGAGACTCTTACAGAAAACAGAAAAGCACTTTATATCATTCCCTCTTATAATAGTATTAAGCTCTTATCATTGACTTGAATTGAGTTGGATGGTTATTTCTGAAGTGGCTCCAACTTACAATTCTGACATAGTTCTGGATCATCTGTAGTGGCAGGAAGGTTTCAAAGGCTAGCTGATCCAGGCGGCCATTTTGGTTGCCATGGAGCTTGATGACAATGTCAGAGGTCAGATTAAAGATCTCATGTGGCTGCATGGATGGTGTTTCTCCCACTGACCAATGCAAGTTTCCTGAACCAAATAGTCAACAGAGAGAATGTGATTGACAATGTGATAAAACAATAATATTTTGAAGCTCTTTGAATTATCATGTAGATTGCTAAAACTTTATAGGCTCTATTCTGGAAAAGTGGTTTCTCTTCTACTCTTTCTTCCTATTTGTAAAACCTACATTATTTTGAGGAAATGTTGTCCGTCATCATACTATGCTGTTCTTGTGTTCAATCATCACACACTGCTAATGAAATATCCCAGAAATACAACAGTTTGAGAAATGATGAAAGGTATAATAGTTACAAACAAACTGGTGCCTCTGTATCCGTAAAAGCAGCAAAGATTGTTAAAAACTAAACAATCACAGCTAGCCTTTACCATGAACACATCCAATTATCTACATTCAGTTTCTAACATTCCTTAAAAAGTAAACTGGCACCTTTCCTTGAAATGTATATTTATCCAGATAATCTTCATAAAACCTCATAACGAAAATTCAGTATAATCTGATTTGATTTGATTCAATATAGCTTGGAGGAGTAGCCCCATCAGTAAACTAGAATACTTTTTTGCAGTTAATAGGGAAACTGCAAAAAAGTATAAATAACTGGATTAATTAATTGTACATTTGTTGATCCCTCCAGCCTCACCTGCTACATAGCTGTGTATGCTGTTGACTCCCAATCCTATATCAATGTTTTCTGGTGAGCTCTCGCTTGAAGGAGATTTATCACTGTTAGGACTTGGCAGTTCATTGTCACTCTCTGGCATCTGTCAATGGCAGACATGTTAGAGTTCCATTAGTTCATTATAGAATTTCACTGATTCCTTCATGCCAAATGAATATAAGCATTTCAAAAGCCAATTCAAATGTTGGTATTTTGATCAACACGTGTATTGCCTATTATTATTATTGACTAGCACAATCATACTCCCATAGAGCCATACTCAGTTTGAAAAGAGTATACTAAACATTATAGTTGGACAAAGATAAACTTAGATGCTGCTTGTAAGTATCGGCTTGCATGGTGATGTAGATATACAGTAGGCTTGCGGGTGCACCATGTGAGAGAGAGAGGGAGGATTGAGGAGTCCTGAAAAGGACTCTCGGTAATCTTTCTTGAGGGTGTGTAGTCCTGAAAAGCAACAGTCCTTTTCAGGACTACACACCCTCAAGAAAGATTATCAAGAGTCCTTTTCAGGACTCCTCAATCCTCCCTCTCTCTCACATGGTGCACCCGCAAGTCTACTATATAAAGATAAACTTGTTCATCTTTCAAAAATTGTTAAAGGGACAGTTGAGTTCTGTTTTCAGACCGCAAATGCCTTCAAAGTGCATGGTTATTGCTCTTATTCTTATCTATGACATTTACAGTGCCCTTTTAGAACCTAAAATTGCTATGAAGATAATTTTAGACCCCAAAATTGCTATGAAGGTAATTTTAGACCCAAAATTGCTATGAAGATAATTTTAGACCCCAAAATGTGTGAAATTTAGCCAATACGGTCAATTCAGCTCCACTTTAAAAAAAACACGGTAACCGTTAATTAATTATTTAATTAAAAATAACAATACATGAGCCAGCTAATTGTGGGTAATATAAGCAACATGAAAATGCCAACAAAAAAGCCAACATCGGCATTGGCTGAAATACGACGTAAAAGGCGTTATTTCGGGTTTTTTTCAACAGTTTTTTCAAATTTTTCAAAATATATAATATTTGTGGTGGTACACAAGTAATAGAAATCGTTATATTTCAGCCATCTCTGAACCGATTTTGATCAAACAAAGATGATTTCGTCATTTAAATATTATGTTCTTTCAAATTTGACACTCATTTTTCATTATCTCATAAAAAAATTATTTTGAGTAGCGCCCTCTGCAACAGAACTCAACTATCCCTTTAATTCTAATTTTGTTAAAATGTATTTTAACTTGGTGGCACCATATGGGTTAATGTGTCAATATAGCAAAATAATGATTCATTTGAGCGAATATGTTCACCAAGGTTAACTAGGTAATGATTCAAGGGGTAATTGCTTAATGATCATGTAAATTACTTTACAAGCATGAACTGTTATGCAAGCCAGAGGAAGCAAGATCCCAATGGACTTTGGCCTCATCCATACATTATGTGGTTAACCATCAAATGAATAAATTGATTAATAGATAATAAAAAATAAATGACTTTTAAATATATTTCAAAGTGGGGACGAAATAACTAGACCCTATGCATACTTGGTTATCTGTGTGTTGTAAAATAAAGAAATGTGAAGTGTTCTTTATTTTGCCTTCTTTTGCTACAACTAATATTGCCTCATGTACAAATGGGACATCTTGGGCAGATTACACAATCATGTAGAAACAAACATTAGCGAGAAACGAATGTGAAGCACACTGTGGCTTAGCCCAAGTGACCTTGGCTTTCATATCATGTGAGATGTTTCAGTTTCAGTTTCAGTTTTATTTTTCATTTCCAACAGAACAGTAAGTTTGATGTGATAATAGCTAGCAGCTGACTGCATACAGATTTATCAAAAATGTATGTGAAGCACACTAACACTTAAATTCACTTTTTGGGGGCATGGCTCACCATGTTATGTGTGGATGAGCCTGCATGGGCAGATTATACAATCATGTAGATATTAGTAAGAAATGAATGTGAAGTGCGCTGTGCTTAGCTCAAGTAAATGTGGCTTACATGCAGGGAATAATTTTCCTCAAATTTTTTGATTAGCAATTTCAGCCGATGGATAAATATTTCAAATTAAATTCTGTACATTTCTATGGAAGAAAACTGCTACACAAAAGATATTTTGTATAGCAGTCATGCAAAAATGCATAGCAAATTGCGATGCGATACCAGGAAAATTATTCCCTGCTTACATGTATCGCATCATGTTTGAATAAGGCTTAAGGGGCAGATAACATGCTTAGATAAATAAATATGAGAGAGCACTGCATTACCTTGCAGCTGTTTGCCAAGACAGAACCAATGGCTAGGTCAAAGGCAGACCATGTCATCCCTGATAGGACAGACAGCTGACCAATTACAAGCTGAGAAGCTTCATCCTTCTGGCCGAGCAGGTGAGGTGAAAGGTCGTTGGAAGGCACTGAACTCTGACTCACGTCCACTATAACACGGACAGTCTTGCCTTCAGCTACGATTCAAATATTAATGAAAAGAAGATTAGGCCTCTAAGAAAGGATAGAACAGATGAACTCAATGATAACTTTTGATTTGGAAATGATGGAAAGGATGGTGATATCCCATCATGTAAATGAAATGTATAACATTCCAAAAGATTACAGTGAGTTAAAAATTGAACAGACTGAATTCTAGTAAGTCTTACAGCATTCCACAGATATGCATTGTGAAGACGCTACAGATTCTAAAACTGATACCGGGAAACAGGCATGCCAACAGATTCCGTCATTTTTAAGAAAAACTTTATACTGATAGGCCTAAGTTATTTGAAGTACATGTGTAAATCCCTGCCACCATCGTAAAATAAAAACATGAAAATTACAAGAATTCAGAAATTCATTACCGGTACATATTCTGATAGATCACTGCAAAGAACTTACTTATGCTGCTGAGGAATTCTTTGCAGGAATCTGAAGCAACATCACAAGGAGTACGTCCTCTTCTATCAGGTACAGCTAGATGAACACTACCGTACTGATGAAGGGCTACAAGCATCTCCTGGAAACACACAAAACCAAAGAGGAGATGAGATGGTATAATTGCATTAATTTGGATATGTCTTATTTGTATCGATTCTAACTACATGTTTGTACACCAAGAATCTTATTTTGATCACACCGATATTAAGACTTGCCATATATAATACACAATATGCCTATTTACAAAGCCATTAGCCCCCTTTTTCAAGTGCCTTTGAACAGTGTTTTAAGTGAATTTGTCTCCAGTAAATGAATGTGTTCACATACACTCATGTTGCTGTGTGTGAAAACACTGCATTTTCAAGAAAATTCAATTCCTATAATTTAATATGTTGTGATAATTAAGTCTTGAGGCCTGAACCTTCAAATTAAGGGGGGGGGGGGATAATCATACACTTCCATTCTCAAAATGACATGAAGTCATCTTACAGTGTTTAATTAAACAAACACCAACAAAAAATTCAAGTGTGAGAAATAGTCATTTCATCACCATTCAACCCCATAAACAACTAAAATCTGGGACTCTTTTTCTCATTATACATCCTCTCCATTGATAACAGATTATGAATTGAACCTGATTCTGAGCAAATAAAATGCACTATCTCTTGAGACCCATGAAGCATTCATGTGTACCCAAGTTAGATACCCAAGGAAGATACCCCAACCAACAGTAATCAATGGTGACAGGAGGTAACGCTTGGAGTATCAGCAAAGAAATTAAGGCCAGGGGACGTACAAGGAGGTTCATTTCATCACATTTACTCTGTCTGTCTGTATCAACATGTTCCATATCCCTAAAGGGGGTAGTAGCAATCCAGTTAAGATTAGATGCAATTTGAAGGGGGGTGGGGGGTAATCGCTCTAGGAGTGATAGGCAGACGAGATGTTATTCTGTAACATGATGATATATGCAGACAGACATAGGTACATTCATGCCTCAGCATATAATGAGATAGCCAATCCAATTTTGTTTTTATGATCATGTCTACTGATATGTCAGGAAATGAGGAACATGAGAGGTCACTATTCAATTAAAATAATTTCATCTATTTACATGAATTATATGTGACTTCTACATCTGATTCAAGAATCTTTGCCAACTTTATTTTAGCAGTCAAATCCCTTTTTCTTGATTTAATTTGGAAGGCTCTTATCAATGAATGTATTAATAATATTTTTTTAAATATTTTTAAAATACAATTCTCTAGGCAATCCCTCTTAACAAATAAGTCAGAAAGTGAAAGAGGCTAAAATATAAAAATTGAAAATATTATGGACGAATGTATTCCAAAAACATGGTAAATTAGTTTTATCTAACACCATGCATCCTTAAATGACTGCCTTACAAAAATTTATAATTTGCTACAAAATGAAATAGATGTGAGATGCTCAGCTGTTTCAAAGGCTGTTCTATTCAAGATGTTTTAAAACAGATTACATTAGGGGGAATCTTAAGACTGGTGAATATGCCACTCAGTCTCAAACGTACAGGTTGTAGTGTCTTTGCCAGAGGGCAGTACATTATGTGGTCACCTGTCTTGCAGAGGCTACAGGAAATCCACTCCATAATCTACTTATTCCCACAAATCTCATTATGTCAAAGAAAACAAGTAGGATGGTGCAGTTTGCACGGAAGAGGGGATAGAGACTGAAAAAGAAGCAGGGAAAAAAAATCTAGTGTGAGAATGCATAAAAATGTTGCAAATATTCAAGAGTAAAAACGAGGAATGTGCTTCAAAGACATCAGCTATAGTAAAAAAAAATATATATAAAAAAAGAAGCTAAGGTTTACTGCTTTGCCTTTTGGACAGTAGCTGTGCCTGTTCTTGACAGGAAAAAAATAATTATATCCCATAATATTTACATGGTAAATACCATTACAATGCACTTATACAGCTATTTATAGTTTCTAGGACAGTGTCGTATTAATTGACTAAATTGATTGACAGAGGGATGACATCACAATGCCTTTAATGAACCATGGAAATCAATCCAGTTGGTCAGTATAATAATCAATACGATAATTTGATGAATGCTTTATCACAACATGTTTGTGCATTGCCATTTTCTCTACAATAACAGTTGATTACTGAGCATCAACTGTCAGCACAAAATAGGAGTAGATGTATGAATGAAAACATCAAATATCAAAAAATCCTCAAAGCTTTTTTGTATTAATTTTTTTTTTAGTGAGGGGTAAAAGGCATGATTATTCTTTGTTGGTGTTTTGTTTTTTTCTTCTTCTTCTTTTTTTTTTTTTGGGGGGGGGTTGAAGATGGGACTCATTTTATAAGAGTTTTTTTCTTCTTCTGAGTAGCTATAATAGTAATCTAGGTAGATATGAAAGGAATATATTCTGGATGGATGTGAAACAGAAACTGCATTCAATCATATACCAAAAAAAATTGAGGGGAATGTTTTGATTCAGTTGGATTGATTAATTTTCCTTAGTAGTAGCTCCTTGGAATACCATCCTTTCCTCTCACATTATCCCTCTCCTATTGTTCTGTGACTTTGAACAATATTCTCCTTCACCACACAATACTTATAAATGCTCCTAGTGTACATCCAACTGACACCAAGCAGAAAGGCTTGAGGAAATAGACTCTGTATTAATCACACGATAATGCAAGGTTTTCCTCCGACAATCAAAAGCATATGTGTGTTGAGGATAACATCCTGTTGTTAAAATAGCAGGAGCAGGGGTTGAGACACCTTTGACAGCTATCACTATTACTCTATCTCAAGATTTCTACAGATGTACAAAATTAACCCTATTCTAACCTTTGATATGGATAAACATTCAGGATATTCCCAAGTGGGAGGGGAAAATACATCTAGTCATAGATGAATTGCTCCACGATGGAAAATAGAACAAATATATTTTGTTCTACCCTGTGTAACAAACATGTTTTCATTCAACAAGCTCTTACTGAATTTGTCTTTTCTGAAAGTTAGATGAGCTGGTTGGTACTACAAAATGGAAGAATAGCAGTGAATACAGAGATACTAAAGCTTTTTGTCTCTCACTTATCAGAGTAAATCACTATCATGAACAGAAAGCCTAAATCAGACACTTATGTAAGTTAGATTTCTTCACAGAAATTTCTGTCTGTTCGTTTGGTTGTTGTTGTTGTTTTCATTGTATGTGTTTTAGAGCTCTCTTTGAGCTTTCCAGATTTAAATTGCTCTATATTCTAAGTACTTTTTTTCAATGATTTTACTGAAAGATGCTCAAAATTGTTTTTGAAAACTTATCTTCCTCACATCACTCAAGTAAACAGGAACAATTTTTGCCAGTGGTCAGTGCTTTGATCCTCCTAACAGTTAGCCCATCTTCACAAGTGTTTGATCGGTGGGGAGGAAACAAGATGGCACTTGTAAGGAAATGTTAGATTGGTTTAGAGGAAGAGTCTTAATTGAGAGTGACTCTGGATTGAGTAGGTGAAGACGGGTTTGCTAACGCATCATGTTTGATCACAACCTGGCTATTAATATAACAGGATTAGGAGCTATGGATCAACACTAATCTGGAGGGAATTCCACAGCATGCATGCAGTTTGAGAGAGCGATAAGGTGATTGAGTGGATTACTCCAGGATCACAATGACCTAGAAGGAGTCGCTTCAAAGAAAAATCATTAGAATCTGATCTTAAAAAATTAAATGGGGAGTTCTTCTAGGAAGACAGATTCTGAGAAATTGATATATAATGTCTGGAGTGCATGCACATGCTATCCTTGTAGTTCATAGCATCAAAATCTTAAGCCAAATGTCATATAGCAAAGTTTGTAAAAAATGAAATTATGACATACAATAGAAAAGGAGAAGGATGGATATAAATGAAAGTGGACCAAATAAGGTTTATGACCAAGAAAGAACTTGGAGGTAGGAGCATACAATACAATACAACAAGCACGTGGGATTGGAATACATACGAAAGATGATTCAACAGGAGCCATGTATGTAAAATTGAAAATCAAGGCTACATGTACGGCTTTGAAATACATACTTCTCTCTGGAAATTTCCTACACTAACATAATTCCTAGCTCCAACCCTGAACCAAACACTAGGCTGCAACCAAGTTGCAACCCTAACCCTTTATCTGATTGCAGATCGGAGCAAATGCTGATTCACCACCTGTATAGCAACAGATGTGAAAAGACAGAGAAACAGGTAGTAGTTTCACGAAACCGTCATAACTCCAAGTTCGCTGACATCCCATTGAAATGTGTGTTAAATTCAATATACGTGTTTCAATGGGTTGTCAGCGAACTTGTATTTATTATGGGTTTGTGAAACCCTCCATAGGTGAACAGGCAAATAACAAATAATGGATAATGGAACAAACAGGAGAGGATGATAGACCTACCTTTTGTCCGGTTGAGGCTAGAATATGAGCCAGAGTCCATCCATCATGATCCATCATATTAAGTAAGTCTGGTGAGACTGGTTGAGGAGTCGTCTCATCTTGGTTGATTTGTGATAGCATCTGAAGGTCAGTCTGTTCACGGGTGGGTGTGTGATAGAGTAATGCATGTAAACTACCCATCTGACCATACCGAGCAGATGCATGAAAGGGTGTCCAGCCAATCTACATGAGATAAAAGCATGGGTGAGACTAAAGAGATGACCAGTATCCTTTTTAAAATGAAGCTCTGACACCACCCAGCAGGCAGATTCTGAATGTATAACCAACTGAATGGTTTCACATATAAGCACTATCATGACCAATTCACACTTGTTTCGAATATGAACCTATGAAGATAAAGAGGCTCTACATAAAGCTTACAATTCATAGAAATTATGTATTCTACAAGTAAACCATCCAGCCAGAGAATACATAATATTTTCAGCCATAGGACTTTAAGAAAACTACATGAAACTAGCATCCATCAAAAGAAATCTCTTACATGCAGCTAGTTATTAAATCATTATACACATTGAACCTTCTTTCAATCTTTTATCTTCAGAAGACAGGAAAATGATTTAAAGCTCATTTCTAATATACATGTAGATATCAAACTGATGTTGAATATACACATTGAAATTGAGATTAGGTTTTGAACTACCATCTTTAAGATGTACGAGCGTGCTAGATCACAAATGTAATCTGTAAATCTTACGTTAGTAATGCAATCACGTTTAGCGCCATTATCCAGTAGGGTTCTGACACATGAGGCGTGCCCACTAGCAGCGGCCCAGTGGATGGGTTGCCATCCTTGAGAATCACGGGACAGGGGATTACATCCATGCTCCGACAGAAACCTCACACATCTACAAAGAACCACAAGCACAGAAATTACATTAAATCGTTGACTACTGAAGCATTTAATTCACGTAGGTTTCATACAGGAGCCGTTCCATTCCTGTGGGCATACCAGTAGGTGAAAATAATTCCTCCCTTTTGATCAAGTTGAAGAGATGCAGGGCTCAAAATATTTTAAAAAAACATTGAGAAAAGTGGATATAAAGATTTATGTCAAAGAGTTCCTCAATTATTATAAAATCAAACTCTCTCTATTCTTGTCGTAAACTTGAGAAACTTGGTAAACTACTTCAAATAACTTAACGTAACGCTGTAGGGTTGATTATTCAAATCTCCTTCAAAGAAAACTCAATGAGGTTTAAGTCTATAAAAACCATTTAAAGAATTTAATATTCAATAAAGAAACAATCATACTAGCTTCTGACAAATCCATTTCTTGGTAGGACATTACATCACTTCTAAGTCCTTGATACTGGGGAACAGGAGTTTGGTGGTTTAAGAACTTACCCTTCATGCCCCTCTCCAGATGCAACATGGAGGGGTGTGAGTCCTTCTGACTGAGCTGTGTCGGGGTCTTCTCCTAATGTTACTAATAAATCTATACTATCTGTAAAATGAAATACAGAAAAGAGACATTGGTAAATGTATTGAACCCGTCATACACACCATCTCCCACAGTCTATAAAGCTTCGTCTACATATAAAGTTAATCAAAGATTCAACACAAATTTTTCTACCACAAAGTCCATGGCTCTGTATCACAAAGGTTTTGTAGTCAATCGCAAAGTGGCAATGGCCAATCAAGATCATTGTTGCAGGCACATATTGTTTGAAAGGCTAACCATTAACAAATCAGAATCATTGTTTCAAATTTGCAATCGATTACAAACTTTTGCATTATGGGGGCCAGAGCAAAATATTGGAGGCCGGTGTAGTGTGCACAAGGCTCATGTAAAAATTTAATATATTTTGAAGTTTGGACAGATATTTTGAGAGTCTGAGTGTACCAAACACATTTTGAGTGTTAAGCCCTGAATCAGCCATTCACGATGAAAACATATTTTTAAGTCTGTCCTCAAGTACATGTACAAAATACATGACTATAAATAAAAGATTATAAAAAACAATGATAATAACTTTGATAAGAAATGTTATATTTAGTTGAAATTGTGCGATATTAGTTTCCCTAGAAATGTCCATCTCTACTTCCAATTTGAAGAGGGAGGCATATTCACTTAATGAATTCTTTCCCCAAAGCTGGTTATCTGCTTCTGACTGGCTGCGGATATCACCTTTCGCTTTCATTATCCCAGCTACCTGACAATCTTTCCAGGCACTCACCTACTTGACCGCCATAAGCAGCTGCATGAATGAGGGTTGAGCCATCTTTCTCTGGTGAAGTTCTATCATGTTGCTCCTCTATCAGCCTACAGAGCGTTGCTGTGTCCCCTTGTCTAGCGGCCTGGTGGAGAGGGGATTCCCAGGCCGATGGGCACAGGGTGGGGCGGGTTAGAGAGGGGGGACGGCCTGCAATGGGGGAAGGGGGACAAACAGAAAGGAAGATAGGATTAAAGATACAGGTGCCTCTTCATTGGCACTGATATTTTTCTTGGTAAAGTACCTCTAGGTCTTGTCTTGAGCTATGACTGATCACAACCAATCACAAGTCCTTTAATCAAAGGCAAAGCAACAATTGCTTATCTCACATCTCCAGGGATGTGCTCACATCTCCAGGGATGTGATTAATATCAAAATGAAGTTTAATTGTGATGAATTTGGATCAACCCCAACTCTTAGAAGAGAGGGCCTAGCTAATATGCAAGATGTTTATAGCAGGTCACTTCAAGACTAAGATAAACATGGAAGGGGGTGTTGTAGAACTTGCTTCATCAGAAAACATACAGAGCTGGAGAAATATATTAGAGGGTACAGGTTTACTCTCTAAAAACTTGAAATTCATATCGAGCTCATAAACAGTGAAGGCTGATACATGTAAAGGCTGATACATGTAAAGGCTGATACATAGATCACTGGTTTTCTAATGATCAAAATGACAAAACTAAAAGCCACAACTAAAAACTTGAAAACAAAATCTAGATTTGATATACATTTGTAAACTTGGTGGTAGTGAAAGGATTTGTGGCTACATTGTACATGTAGAAAATGGCTCTTGAACACCAATGCAAATGGATATTTTGAGGTCTATGAACATGGAGAATTGGAAACATGGCAAGATTATTCTCTGCTCTAGTTTTCTTAGTATAGGTCCATGGTTTAAGCTAGGCTACAGTGACATACACCTTGTTTTTTAAGTCGCCACTCCGTTGCTAGGTCAAGATGTATGGTGAGGAAATCATTTCAAGACTATGAGGAAAAGGGCAGGGCATGAGAAACATGAGAAGATCTTTTTTTCTTCTCTGCTCTACCTGCAACCCTGAAAAACATTCTATTTTTCATCAGTCGCACCTAGCTGTATGACCAGGTCAAGATGCAGAGGGAGGAAGTCACTTCAACACCACGAGGAGGTGGAGGAGGAAGAGGGAGCAGGATGTTTAGAGCGAGGGGGCTGCAGACTATAGTATGGTGCATGAGACCTTTATTGACCTGATCACACATGCCTTGTTTGGCATGTCCTATACAACCTGCATGTTAGATTGTACAAGGAATAACTGCTCCAAAATACAATTGTTTAGCACAAAAAACATTTCTGCAGGCATTATTGCCCTACTAAGGTGACATTAATGCATCCTCTTAAGACAGAACCATTACATATGGCATATATATATATATATATGAAGACCAGAAAAGGGATGGAAGTTAATTTAATAATTTAGAAGTCGAATGGCACAAGGCTCAGCTCTAAAAAAAAAAGTCTCGTTTCAAAACTGAAGGGGGGTTCTTTCGATTTTTCTACTCTCGCAACAGATTCATATTAAGAAAAGCCCCCTATCCACGGCAATTCCCAAGTAGAAATAAAAAAATTGGTAGCTAAAGTTATAACTCTATTACTTTTCTCCTGTAACACTGAAGTTTCTCAGGATGTTGTAACGTACAAATAAGTATAGATATAAAAAGCAACTCATTCATCAAGCTCTATGATTGACTTCACAAACACACACGGAGTTGAATGAAATAGTAAAGCATTCTTTGAAAGTGTCCGCAAATACTACCATTTTGAAATATGATCTTCTGAGAATATGCTAGGGAACATATGGGCAAGATTGTGGTCTACCACCAATCCAAGTTTCATTGATATGTTATTCATTTCTCTCTCGATCCATCCTTTCATATTTCTGCACGCTTCCATTCATTTAGAAAGCTACACTGCTGGTAAAAATGGAGGAGAGTGCACTCCAGACAGCAGTCCCACTTATCATATATATAGGTATTTCCAATATAAAATGACCAACAACCAAATAATCATATTGATAGATTGATTGATTATCTTCCCCTCTGAAGCATTTTTCTCCCATTGATTTGCCAAAGTATTTTCTCTGATTCCTCTACAAGGAGCCTTCTTGAGTGCCTCACATGTGGATTACTATTGGGCCATTCAAACCTAGATTGTATAAATTGAATATCTGTAGATAGGTGGAATTGGGAGCAGAGTCATGGGGTGAATAAGAGGCATTGCTAGCACCTCCTTTACATACAAATACTCACACATCTACAAATATGAACACGTCACATGCAGTAAATGTGATGTTACCACAGAGGCAAGCTAAACAAGTTATATCTAAAATAAAGAATTAATCTGGATGTCACATCTATTGCATCAAATTGTTTATTTAAGAGTAGGAATTACTTGCAGCTACAATGGAATCCACCAAGGAATGAATGGGCCATGTCATATCCTCTCCAGAGTAATGACAGACCTTGACATTGACAAATTTGAGTCTTTGAAATGCCGACACCTCGGAACAAGAAGCTGCACTCTCAGAATTAGTCATTCCACAAATGCTGAGACATGTTATTCTGTGATACATTATTATTATTATCATGAATTTGGCATCACCTGTGCTGAAGAGGAAGGGGTGGGGGTTGGGGGGTTGGGAGGGGGTTGGGAGGGGGCTTACTTCATCACCTAACCCTAGATTTTCTCCATCCTGTAAATTTGAGGCAGTATAGATGATGTTATCAAACACATTCTTGATAAAAAAATCCCTTTTCCCATTTCCCCCAAACCTCAGGCATGATGAGCATTTGCTGTACATTTGTATATAAAACTCTCAATTTATATGAAATCTTTGCCCCACTTCCTACAAGCAAGCCTCTCTGGCTATGCCACAAATGGGCGCCCACACTAGACAATTGCAAGCTGGCTCGCATCAATGATGCGCAATCAAACTGGGGGCTCAGAGAATCGCAGGAAAAATGTTAAAGGTCAAGAGACCGGCTGATATTTGCTGGGAGCTAACGATCATGGCCTCCAAGGCTAGCAGTAGATCAATACTGCTCAACTTGTCTCAGAACATATGATGAGATGTCATCCAGAGTATTATTGGGGAAGAGGATAAATCTATAAGGCCTCAAGGAGAGATACTGGGTATTTTGCGATGCTGCGATACTGCCCTAAGGCTGTCTCATGAAGAGAAATGTATTGACAATTTGAAAGGTTAGATGATAAATATTGCAATATCCCAGTTGAATGCTTCAATTGTTTTTATCAAGATGACTTGCTTCTGCAGACACAACTTGATGATGCAATTCAGAGACTACTCTCGAGATGTAGATAGAAGAAGATGCCCCATCAAGCTTTACTGATAGACCATACTTGTCCATTTGATAGCGTTCTATTTTTATCATCTCAAGTAAAGACTCTTTCCTTTCTCATCGGGTCAGGGAGCGAGATTGAAATCTAATCCTCTATTGTTGCACAGTGTGTCACATCTCAGTGACGTCAATTTCTACCCTCTCAAAGATTTATTGGCTTTTGAACCTGATCCTAGCCTGCAAACGATGCTGACTGTCAGCTTAAAAACAATGAGCAAAGACCTTTCTGATGACAATTAAATGCCTATATGTTATAAAAATGAGTTCCCATGCCTCTACATTCCCAAAATCACTTTCTTTCTTACAAATTAGTTGCTACTAACATGGTGCTTAATGTATCTCGCTAATATACCTTGCAAAATCATCAATATAGCGGTCTACTTTAATGTGAGTTAAAAACATCCATATTTTAAAAAAAGGCCTACAGAAAGTTCACCATAAAAATAAAAAAGACAAATGCATCAAACATCCTTAAGTGTCCTAAATCTTTTATAAATAAAAAGCAATAATAAAATTTCTGTACATTTAATGCCAGTGCAATCATATTCATATCATATTAAAGGCTAAAGTCAATAATAATTCATATTTCAATCATAATTGCTCCTTTATACTATATTGATAATATAGTTTTAGTATAATATGAGGACCTCTGAGCATCTTGAATAAAACTAAACTGCAGTAGTCACTGTAAGCTTGTATTAGAACAGTGAATAGACTTTAAAATTAATTTCAAAGTGCACTGGTCTTTCAGGTTTTGGTTACTGAAATCAATCTTCGTTTGACTTTCAAAGCCATACCTTGATGCACCTCATTCATTATGCAGTCCCATAGCAGTTTAAAGGCCATCTACATTTACATGCTGGCATCTTTTGCCTTGTGCTCCCTCTCAATCAAATGAAAGGAAGCCTGTATCACTGGTAATCTCTTTCATTATCAATCATACTATTTCTTATTGAATTAGAGAGTGCATCTTTAATGGCATACGAATCAAAGCAAAAGCTAAATCTACGGCTGTGATATGGATATGAATGTTAAACTGAGTTGGCTGGGAGCCTCTAGCTGCTAAGGGTAACCGTACTCTTCATATCATGAGATTAAAGCAGTATTCCTCCAAGGTTTCCAACAGATATATATTGGATCAGGAGGGAGACAGAAAAGGCAAATGGTGGAGCAAATAGTATTCAGTGATGTAAAGAAAGAAAAGAGGAAAACTGTTTTCACATATTTTTATGAGATATGTGTAAAAGAGATTTTTATACAATTTTAAGACTTTGTAAAGAGAAAAGGGATATTCTAAAAATATTTGTCTCCACTACATGTATACATGTATGTATATCACAACAAAAAATAGATGGGTACAGTTTAATATCTAAGTAATTAGGAAGGGAAAGAAGATATATATGTAAGAGAGAGGGGGAAGGCAGACAGACAGACTGCCAGCCAGCCAAGAAAATATAGAAGAATAAAAAAGAATGTGAGTTTAATAAAAAAAGAAAGTTACAGAAGAGAAATGAGAGTATTCAACAAGAAATTTTGCTCTGATCTAACAACTATATACTTTGGAAATGGAGTAATATTTCAGGGTTAAACATTTTTTCCACTTGGGTTGTGTTAAGACTGATGATGATGATGATGATGATGATGATGATGATGATGATGATGATGATGATGATGATGATGATGATGATGATGATGATGATGATGATGATGATGATGATGATGATGATGATGATGATGATGATGATGATGATGAT